TTCCCCTGCCACATCTGGCTTCTTACATTTCTTACAGCTCAATTCCTCCTCGCACCAAGACAAAGGAGAAATGACACTGCTGCCACCATGCCAGTGCCCCAATCCCACCAGTCCCAGCAGCCTGAGAAGAAGCTGAGAAGCTTAAAACCTGGAGCTCGCGTGCGGTGGCGAGTGGATCTAAGGATCTCGGTCTTAATCTCCCTCCTCTGCTGCATTCCTTAGTAGTGACAGCTACTTCTTGCAATATTCCTGACTGTGGGCTCTGAGGCACAGCTTTCCATCTGCCTGTCCAGTATCCAGCCAAACAGGTCCACATTCCTGAGCAGAAACGCTAGCACTGCCCCTCGGAGCAGCTCGAAAGCCTCGGATGGAAACTGGAACAAGTCACAAACATGAGGGAGGGCGGCAGCAGCCAGGACCAGATCCACAAAAACGAGGGACAGTGGCACCAGCAGATCCACAAGAACAAGGGACAGTGGCAGCACCAGATCCACAAAAACCAGGGACAGTGGCAGCACCAGATCCACAAGAACAAGGCACAGTGGCAGCAGCAGATCCACAAGAACAAGGGACAGTGGCAGCACCAGATCCACAAGAACAAGGCACAGTGGCAGCACCAGGTCCCGCTGGCCCAGCACGGAGCCCGGGGACGTGCGCTGTGCGTGCCTGGGTGCCAGCGTGAGCCCACGCTGGTCACACCCTGCTCTGTCTCTACTCCAGGTTGTAAAATGCCACAGCCAAAACTTGTGCCCGCGAGCGGGTGCACAGGCCCCTGTGGCTCTCCCTGCTCCCGCTGCCACAGGGCCCCAGCTTGCTCCTGCCCACTGCCAGCAGGACCCAGGGCTGCTCCCGCACCCCAGCGTGTCCCCAGGTGCCAGGGAAAGAGATTTGTATTTTTCTTTGTAATAAAAAGGCTCTCCCAGAAGCTTTCTGCTGATCCCAAAAGGATGTGAAAGCAATAAAACCCCTCCTTATTTTACAACCGAGCTGCAGGATTTTTTGCTACTGAGCACAACGACCTAAATGCTTGATTTCATAAGCAGAAGGTCACACCCTGCACCAGGAGCTTGGGACTTGCTGAGTCCCCAGTTTTATCTCTGGGGGGGTCTCACAGCCAGACCTCGGTAGCTGACCTGGGTATCTAAACATCAGGGCAGCAGGTGAGTGGAGCAGAAAATTCCTGAGCTGCTGTAGACTAAAGCAGCCAGAGCCCCAACTAAACTTTTTCAGAGCTGATTTTAATGTTTCACAGTCTAATATTTCCTGGTCTTATATAAATGCTTGGAAGGGAAAGTAAAATTATTATTATTATTATTATTATTATTATTATTATTATTATTATTAACAATGAACTCAACCACAAACAAAACAACAAAAGAAAGGCAAAGAAAACAATTTCTGAAATACTGCTGGGAAAAAAGGGAGAATGAACAAATGGGGGTACAAAGTATTCATAAATGCTCTGCTGCCCTATCCAAGATTTTATCCATTTAATTCCCAAACGAAATCTATCACCCCATTTGTCATGACAGCACTGGGGAAAAACTCATCCTCTGTTTTTCAGAGTTATCACATCTCTCCCTGCCCCAAGTGAAATCCCAGCTCACACACCGCACCCCACAACCAAACGGGACCCCCTCACCGGGGATTCCTCGGTGCCCTACACCAGCCTCCAGCCCTAGGGATCACCACGGCGATAACGAACCAGAACCAGTCCCGAGGGCAGCGGTGGAAATGGGAATTTGAACGCCGGTTTCCAGCCGGGATCTGCCTCCCCGGGCTGCACCCGCCGCCGGGACTGCGGGATGGGGGTCCCGGGATGGGGGTCCCGGGGCGGGCTGGGGCGAATCCCCTCTTTTTCTCTGCACTTATTTCATTCGGGGTTACCTGCAGCCGAGGGGCCGGAGCGCTGCGGGCTGGGGAAAACACTCGGAGGGGAGAGGGTGGCGATGCACCGCGTCTCCGTGATGCCCGCAAAATCCCTGGAATTATATTAACGGCTGGAAGTTTATTTGAGAAGGAAAAGGAGGGAAAGCAGATACTCAGTCAGGGATGCTCCCAAGTAGCGCTCCGAGGCTCCGGGCAGCATCTTCCCCGCGCCGGGCAGCGGGGGACATCGGCATGTCCGGGGCCCGTCCGGGCTGGGGACATCGGCAGTGACCCCCCTGCCGCGGGGATGGCCCCGAAACCCCGGGATACCGGAGGGGACAGGCTGCGGGGACAGCGCGGAGCTGCGGGCTCTTCCCTCCCGTTCCGGGCTCTTTCTGACTAAACGCGTCTCCACGGACCACGGACGGGAGTTAAAAGGGAGGTTTGGGGGTATGGGGCAGGTGATTAATATTTTGTTGAACCAGGGCAATAGTATCTGGGCAACTAATTAGGCGAGATAAATCTGTTTTCACACGCAAAGATTTCTATCAGGTTTCTGTCCGACGGCCATTCCGGGATTAATCGGTATTTGGGATCTCGGTGGGATTTAGGACAAAACTGCGCTTTTTAGGTTTACCCTCGCTCCCTTCAGAGAGGGGGTCCTCAAGCCCTGCTGCCCAGCCGCTCCCTCCGGCTCTTTCTGCCCGAGACCCGCCGGGAGCTGCCTCAGATGGTTTTAATTTAATATTATTTTTCCTGGGGTGTCATTCACCCGCGGGGGCCCGGGCTCGGCTCCGGCCCCGCTGAGGCTCCAGAACACAGCTCAGAGCTGACAGAGCCAGCGGAGGGAGAACGACCACATTTTATACATTCTAAAAAAATTAAATAAAGCCAAATGTAAAGGAATTTATTCCCGGGCCGTGTGGAGGGCAGAGGCGTTTGATCCGGGATTCCCGGCTGCAGCTTCCATAATTCCTCCGATTTCTTTCGAGCTGAACTCGCCCGTTTGGAAGCTTCCAGGGGCAGGGAAAGGGGAGCGTGGCCATGGGCTCCGGTCCCCATTCTCCGATCCCTGACAGCGGGGTGGGTGACGGAGCGGTGCCGGGACGGAGCCCCCGCTGCTGCCGCCGCTCCCAGTGCTGCCCAGCTCCCCCCGCAAACACGCTTTGCATTTATCGATTTCTCCAGAAAACTCGGAGCTTCGCGCTCCAAACACAGGAATAGTAATAGAAAAAATTAAAATAATAATAAAGAGGGCAAAAACAGGGACGGAAAAGATATATTAATATTTTAAAAATTTAAAAATACCCAAACAAGAACGGGCGTGGAAGAACAAGTGTCCGTGAGCACAGGGGCTGCGGTCAAGCTTTTTTGCACCGTTCCTGCCTTCAGCCAGAAATATTTTAATTTTTTTTCTTTCTTTTTTTTTTTTTTTGTTTTGTTTTTCTTTCCAAGACTAGAGAACTAGAGAATCTCCAAGGGTTTTTTGCCCCGTTCCTCCCCTCAGCCCAAAAAATTTTAATTTTTTTTTTCCTTTTTTTTTTTTTTTTTTTCTTTTTTTTTTCCTTTCCAAGACCAGAGAATTAGAAAATCTCCAAGGGCAAAAAAAAACAGGCACTAAACAACGACAAATCCTTCTGATAGAAGACAAAAAATTCTAAGTAATGGCGCTTTTGGAAAAAGGAGGGGAAAAAACCCCAATGAACCACTATAACTCCAACCGAACTTCCAGACAAGCATTCCCACTGCGGGATATTTCCCGAGCGTTCCGGGTGCTCCTGCCCGGCCCAAGCTGCCGAGGTAAGGTCGGTGCCGGCTCACGCACCCCTCAGCTTCTTGCAGCCATTCCTCACTCCCGAATGTTTAATGAAACGCCTCTCCAGCGTTCTGATTAAAGCTCAATTAATGCGGGTCATTAATGTCCCGCTGGCAGCCGCGTGTTCCTAGAACAGCCTTTTCTAGGGAAAGGGGCTGCGGCGCACCGGGAGCGCCGCTCCCCCCGGAACGACCGGTGGCAGCTGGGGAAGAGCCGCACGACCGGGAGGTTTTTCAGGCAGTTACCGGGGATCGGCTACGGCCCGGACCAGCACCGGGACGGCGGGGCCGTAGCACCCACCGGCCCACGTTACCGAGCCGTCCCGGTGGCTGCGGTCCCGTTCGCACCGGGGCTCGGCGGTTAAACGCGTCCTTCCCATCCACATTTTTCTGTAAAAAATCGCGGGGAGAAGCCAAGAGCAGCGCTGGAATATTCCATAGTAGGGATAGCCCCGAGCACCGCACCGGATGCTCCCGGCTCCCCCTCATCACTCTCACAACGCCCCGGCGGAAAATTTAGTGCAGAAATATTTGGGGAGTTCAGCTGTTCTTCCCTCCGGTTCCTTGGGATGTGGGGGACTGGGTCAGGGTGCGGGGCAGAACCGGACGCGGGAGATCTCGGGGGTCGAGCGGGACCTCTGCCCGCAGCCCCGATCTCCGCGCCGGCCCCGGAGGGGAAGGCTGCTCCTCCCCTCCGGTCCCGCAGCGAAGCCCCGGTTCTGGAGCGGCAGAGAGGGGTCTCCGCAGACCCGGGTTTTGCCGAGGTGGGGATGCGGGACGCTCCCGGCTGCAAGGACGGGCAGCACCGGCCCCAAAGCCGCGCCACTTCTCGTCTCCGTTAAACGCGTCCTTCACCTCGGTACCAGTCCCGCCGAACGGGCCCGATCCGGGGCGGTGTGATGCCGGTCGCGGCCCTTGCTGCCTCCCCCGCCACCGGGCGCGGGGATCTGACCGAGGGCCGCCGGGGCATCCCCGGGCTTTCCACACAAACCGTACGCGGCCGCCGGCAGGGTGGGCCCCGGGGCTCCCCGACAGCAGGGTCCGCCCGCCCGGGCCCTTCGGTACCGGGAAGAAGCGGCGGCCGCGGTACCGCCCGAGGGAGAGCAGCGGGCCGGGGGCGGGTGGGTGCGCTGGCCCGCCGGGACCCGCCGCTTTCGTTTTAGTCTCGCAGGGGACAGCAGCGAACCCTTCCCGACGGGCGGGGGGCAGCCCCGCGGGAGGGCGGACGCGGGGGGACCCGACGCTGGGGAGCCCCGAGGGCAGGAGCGGGGCCCGGTCCGCTGCCGCTTTCCGCTGAGCCGCCGCGCTTTTCTTACCTTTCTTGATCACGGACTGATCGAGCAGGTTCATCCCGCCGTCGTCCACGGCCTGAAAGCACCGAGGAAGAGCCGTCAGCCGGCTCCGGGCACCGGCTGCTCGGGTGCAGGGACGGCCCGATCCCCCCGCTGCCCCCGGCCAGGAGGAATTCTGAGGGCACCAACGAGCCCCAGTAAAAGGGAATCCCCGTCCGGTGTTTCTGCTTGCTCGGGGGTACGGACGCCTTGGAGCCCGACTTGTCCCGGCCTGGAGTCCCCGGTCGCACAGGCAGAGGGACCTGGCCCCGTCCCCGCGCAACCAACCCACCCCGGGCATCCTCCCGGTGCTCCCGCCGTCCCCCCGTACCTGGATATCCTCGAGGCCGTGGTGGCCGAGGCCGTGGAGGCCCAGCGGGCCGTCGGTGAGGCCGTGGCCGCCGTCGGGCAGCCCGTGGAGCAGGCGGGGCACGGCGGGGTACTCGCGGCGAGGGTCGAGCCCCAGGGCGCGGTGGGTCTGCGAGAGCAGCCCCGGCTCGTCCTGCCGGCCGCGCTGCGGGGGCCAGGCCGGCTGCTGGTGCTGGTGCAGAGGGCTGAGCGCCGCGTACGGGTCCGCCAGGTGAGGGTAAGCGGGCTCCTGGCCCTGCGGGTAGGGCAACGGCGGCTGCGGGTACGGCGGGGGGAAGTAGGGCGGCTGGAAGTCGGCGGCAGGCGTGTGGCAGAGCGGCGGCGCCGAGCCATAGGGCGCCTGGTTGAGCGAGGGCAGCTGCGGCAGGCGGGCCCCGGCCGGCGCCCCGGGCAGCCCCTCGGCTCGGTCCTGCGGCGGCGAAAACAGCGGCGGTGAGGCGGGCACGGACCCCCGGCCCCAGTCCCCGACCCCCCGTCCCGTCCCGTCCCGCCCCACCGGGCTCGTCCCGCACTCACCATGCCCGGGTAGCTGTGCACAAGCATCGGTGCGGGCCCGCGGCAAGCCCCGGGCGGGCCGGGCCCCGGGGGTGCCCCCGTCTCCGCCCCTCTATCCCGCCGGAGCGGCGTCTCCCATCGCCCGCCCGCTCCTCTGCGCCGGCCCCGACTCCATGCACGCCAGTTATAGCGGCGGGGGCGCGCCCGCCGCCCCGGGAGCGCGCGTCAGAGCGCGGGGACGGGGACGCGCCGCCCGCTCCCGCGGGGCCCCGACGGCTCCCGACAGCGGGCGCGGCGGGACGGCGGCGGGAGGCGGCCGGGGCTGGGGGCGAGGGTCACCCGCTGCCCCCTGGAAGAGTGGCTGGTGCTACCCCCGCGCCGTCGGGCAGCCCCGGTCCCCTGTCGCACGGTACAGCACGCCCTCCCCCCGGTGCCACCCCGGGTCCCCTGCCCCGGGCCTGAGAGTCCTGCCACGGAGCGCCCCGGGCCGCACCGAGAGAGCCCCGAGGGTCGGGAGAGCCCAAGAGCGCGGGCGGGCTGCGGGGCCGCGGCGATGCTCTACGGTTTGACTTTATTAGCCCGAGCCGGGTGCGGGACCCCTCCGGGAGCGCTGCGAGGGCCCCGGCGGCAGCTGCGACCGCCCGCGAGCGCGGCAGGAGCGGGGCCCGGGGCCGGTCCTGCCGGGACAGCTCGGGGCTCCTCCCGGGGCGCTTCACCCTCCTCCCCGACGGGGAGCGAGGAGCGGCATCCCGGACTGGGGACAGCGAGAAGTGTCTGGGGGTGCTCCGGGTCTGGCTCCCTGCCCGAAGAGATGGACGGGAGAACGGGCGCCGGGTGCAACAGAGCCAGGGGAAAACGGGGAGCACCGACGGGCAGCATGCCTGCCTCTCCGCCCTCCTCCATCTCTCTCTCCGCCCTCCCTCCGCCTCTCCATCCCTCCCTCACTCTCTGTCTGAGCCCTCCCTCCGGGGCAGGACGAGGCGGGGCCGCAACACCGGACAGCAGCGGGGCGAGCCGGACAGACGGAAAGCGACGCCGAGTGACCCCGATGACATCCCCCCGTCCCTCCGATATCACGGCCACGCAGGTGCCACGGCGGAGCGGCGATGCCCATCGCCACGGGCGCACGCACACGCTCCCGGACACCGCGGTCACAGCTCCCCACGGGCGCCCTGGCCGGGCTGTGGGGTGGCGTGTCACCGCGGGTCCCCGCGGTCTCACCGTGCCACCCGCAGGGTATCGGCCGCCCATCGCTGGCAGCGCGTGTTTTACGTGGAGCAGAGCACAAACCCTTCACCCCCAGCCGCAGCACGCCGCGCTGTGTGATCGCCATCAACAAACACAGCCCCACACTGCAGTTAATTTAATTCCACTCTTCCCGCCCCGAGCTACAGCTCCCTTCATTTTCATTTTTCCTCTGAATTCCCACAACTCAGACCTCTTTGATTTCCAGGTTTAATTAACAATGCTCATTAAATGAATTTTTATTCATTTCTTTTAATATTACCCAGCCACCTGTCTTTAGGAGGCATGGGCTGATCGTTTATTCTAATTTATTTCTGTTAAAGATGGCATTTAAGGGTGGGAGGAGGGATATGAAGAGGTATAGAGGGTTGATCCATTCAAATCTCTTCATCCCCCTCAAATGCTCTTCAAGGACGCTGCTCCTGGAAGTTCTGTATTTATTTTCCACCAGATCCATTTCATTTGCTAGGAAAAATTGGATTGGACATGCTGTATTTTGCAGTTATGTTCCAGTTCATTCTTAATGTCCCTCGCTCGTCTAGTGCGTATAATGTCGAGTCTTTATTCATCTGAAAGAGGTGAAACTGTGCAAAATCCAGGCAGGAAGGGTTGTGAAGTCAGCCTGCACAGGACAGCAGGCGAGCAGGAGGATGGTCCCTTGCAGCAGCTTGGAGGGAAGCTGTGTTTCCACCCAAAAATGAGACAGAGCAGAGGAAACCTGCAACACTGACAGACAAAGGGAAGGAAAAACAAAAGGCAGAGCTGTCCCACTGCCCCTCAAAGAACATGCTGGGCCAACTGGGGTCGTGGGAACACATCAGGCTGGGGCAGTGGGCCAGGCCAGCCTGGAGCTGTGGGGCTGTGGGGGGTGTTGCTCTCCCCAGCACAACACAGCAGTGCTCAGGAAGGAGAAAAAGGACCTTGCAACAGACTCTGGGCTTTAGGAAACCCCCAGGAGCTACCCTGCCCTGGCACCTTCTCTCACCTTCTCTGGGAGCACAATCAGCACCTTCCCAGCCCTGGTGTCCCACCCAGCAGCACCCTCAGAGCCCTACAAGAAGCAGAATTGTCCTTGAAAGATGTCCAAGACCCACTCATGGACAGGAGGCACTCAAGTGCTGATGATGAACAGTTATTCACTTTTACTGATGTCCTGAGGTCCCATGCAGGGCCCAGGACTGTCACACAAGGGGTTGTCAACACACTCTCCCAGCAGCTGCCTGGTTTTTTAGTGGTTCAACCTGGCCAGGACAATTGCTGGGGTCACCTGAGCACAGGAGGCTCAAACACAGCTCCCTGCTTTTTAGCATCCCTGTTTAAGGACCACGAGTCCAGCTGTGCTTGTGTTTTGCTCTGCCAAATATCCTTTGTGTTTCCTAACAGTGATGTGGTCCTGCTGATGACCTCAACACCAGAGCTGCTCCCTCACTCCCCAGCTACAGAGAGCATTCGCTGTGAATCTGGGCAAGGTCTCCACCCCAGGGACCACTTCTTGCACATGGATCCAAGCCAGAAATCTCTGAAAAACTGGTTTTGTAACAAAGGTCCCAGAGCTCCTTCCCAGGAGATCCCCAGCACTGCCAGGAGCTTGTGAGGGGCTTGAGGCAGCAACTTCTGCTCCTGGGGGTCAGCAACAAACGGACTGGTGGAGCAGGGTGATGAGAGCACTGAGACTGAAGTATGTGAGCAGAGCTCTTCCGTAGCCAAAGAAGAACCAATTCTTCTCCAGAAGCTCAGCTCCCATCAACACCTCAGGGAAATACAGGCTGCCTCTACTAATTCCCACATCCCCTTCTCAGAAGGAGTGTCCTTGCTATGGGTCTGAAGAGCCAAGCAGGGCTTTGGGGAGATCAGGGACCCTGCTGAGGGGTGGGCAGGGAGTGTGGCAGCCCCCTTGCTCCTCAAGCCTCCACTCTGACCACCCCTGCTACATCTCATGGCAGGAGAGAGGGGCCTGCGCTGGGTTCTGGCAGCACAGCAGCCAAATAACAACCTTATGAAATATTTAATTTTATTGCCAGTGCTTTTGGGGTGAGATGAATAACTGCTGTAAGATAACATATACCATGGCCAGGTTTGCAATGGCATTATGACATTTAAACAGTCAAAGAGAAACAGAATGTGGATCTGCTTCTCTGGGGCCCTGTCCATTTTGCTGGAGCACAGTGAACAATCATCTGGGTCCTGGAGAGCTTGTCCTGGTGTTGGAAATGCAATGGGAGATAAAGCACAGTTTGCTTTGGGTGTTGCTGGCTGCAATCCCACTCTGTGCTGGGATCTCAAACCCTGGCAGAGAGGGGATGTCAGATGATGCCACATCCACCTCTCTGGCACCAGATCATCAGTGCCCGTGGCTGCCAACTGCCAGGGGCAGAACCTGTGGTTGGGCTTGCAAAGCTTGGGGTGGCTGAGGACATCCTGCAGCCTTTGAAGGCTTGGCCAGGCTGCCAGGGCACCATCTCCCTCGCGTGGGCTGAGCCAGCCGGGCGTGCTGGGGCCTGTGGACTGGCACACATGGAGCCAACGGAGATGCCCACGTGGTAGGAGGCTTCCAACAGCCCCAGTGCCCTCCCCTCCTGAACATGCAGTGCTCATGTTGCTAGCACTCAGTCCTGGGGAGACAAAACAGTCTTTTTGGGGATGCTCTGTCCAAGAATGTTTGGAAAGTGCCCTGGGACAAGAGAGCAATGATACTGCCCAAGGAGCTCTGCCCCCTCCACTGGCATTCAGCCTGGTAACATCCCAGAGCAACGTGGGTGTCTCACCCCTTCCACTGTCAGCTCAGGAGCTGGGAGGGGCTCATAGGGAGACTGTTTTGTTTCATGCAAGGAAACAAATACAGGACAAGACATCAGGGTCTCAGGGAGGGTCCAGCTCTGGCAGGGCACAGATGGTCCTGCTCACACCTGAGGGGACTTTACACCAAAGAGTGAGAATGAAGTGCAGATGTTCCTCTCCAGGCACCTGCTAGTGGCCAAACCCCTACTCCCTAAGATGGGGAAGGATAAGAATGGGCTCTTGGTTTGCTCCCAGTAGCCTCAGGAAATTAAAGACCAGCAACCAAAGGCCTCTGGGTTAGGACTGTGCTAGTGTTGAAACTGTGGGTGCAGGCTGGATCCCTGGTCAGGTGCTGGAGCTCCAACCACTACCCATGGGAATGAACCATGGCCAAAACAGATCAGCTGCCCACAGCAAGCCCAGCACTGCCCTGGGATAGCAGAACATCCTCCTAGTGATACAGGTCATATCTCTCATTAGCACTAATTAGTGGCTGCCATTAAAGGGAAGCCCACACCCCTGACCAGAGGGAAGAGAGCATACAGGACTGGGAACACCTGAAGGTAAAGGCTTTGAGAGTTTGGGTGTTTTTTCTGACACTGCATTGTATTCCTAGCTTTTCCTGCTGGTGTGTCCCTGTGGTGCAGGGATGTGTTCCCGGCAGGCTCAGGAGCCTCTCCCAGCCCAGCTCCACAAAGTTCTGCTCTTTTCCAAGGCCAGGAGGCTCATTTGCTGGTTTGGCTCACACCGCTCTGCTGGCAGCGCCTGCTTTTGTTCCAACTTGCACTGGCTGCTCAGGGCTGAGCTGAAAAGATCTAAAGATACTTTCCCTGAGCAGCAGCCTCCTCTCCAGTTGTGTAAGGCACTGGCTCTAATAAAGCAGTGAGCCAAAAACACAGTGTAAAGCAGGAATACACCGCCAGCCCTCCTTTGGAGGCAGCTTCGCGCTTGATTTTCCCTTGATCAGACGATTCCACAGCCCCCTCCAATGAGTTCTCATCAGCGCCTCGGGCTGGCAGCAGAGCCGGTCCCGGCGAGGCAGCAGCTCCCAGAGAACTCCTCGGCTGACACCTGGTGGAAAAACGGGAGCAGGGAGCGCCGCTAGGATGAGCCTCAGCAGCCACCCCGTGCAGCCGCTCCTTCTGGGAAATACCCGTGGGATAACGCGGTACCAGAGAACTGCAAGGCCAAGCTGTAAAGCCGGCACTACCAGAGGTTTACTCCATGGTACATGTGGCCTTTCTCTTCTTAAAGCAAGACGTTCTTTGTTCTGCAGGGAATCAGCAAGGAGGAGTTCACTCATTTTGGCTTTCACACCCTAAATAGAGCAGAAGCAGACTGAATCCTTCACATTGCAAGAGTGGAAATCTCTCCCTGTACGTCCCATCCTGTCAGCAAGAAGGAGCAAATAGAAAATCCCATGGATGTACTTGGTGCAGGTGTCTGATGGGGCAAAACAGGCAACAAGTAGTGCTGGGAAGGTTTTCAAGATGTGAACTTGGGATGATGGTACAGTAGAGGGTATGAACTGGGGGATTATCCGGCAGCATGGAATCTTCAAGCCACAAGGAGTTATTCCCAATGCTATCAGTAAATAATAAAGCTTTTCCCATTCCTGCCTTTTTCAGGGTTCTATGTGTAGTTACTAATATGTGCAGGACTCAGAAAAAATAAGGTGAAATAAAGGTGAAAAACAAGGTGCAGGGCTTACTGTGACCATATCAACGGGATGAGCAAGCATCCTCTCAGGGCCCTGGGCAGAAAAGAATTCCAGCACTGAGGAGTTTGGAAAACAAACTGACAAAATGTCTTTAATAACAAAACAGGCTGTTTTTACAGAGAAATCCTCACAACAGGTCAAGCAAGGGCATGCTGAAATGTTCTGAGGCAGCAGCAGTTCTGCACACCAATGTGGACAGTGCTGATCATGCTGGGTGCTCATGCATCACTCCAGTTTTGTAAAGTTTGGTCATTAAAATGGGTTTTTTTGTGCCCATCTGGCAGCAAAGAGCACAGCAGAAGTGCTGAACAGACCTTGTGCAGGTGTCTGCCTTCATTTCCCACCTAGAGCGCTGCTGGCTCCTCCCTGCTCGGCCAGACACTGTTCCAGGGCTGCCATTCCATAGAGATTGGCCCACTCCGTGCCGTGGTGGGACAGGATCACATCCCTGCACTGCTGGCTGGCTCTGGCCAGCTCCACCAGCACAGCCTGGAACGCGGCGACGAGCTCGAAATCCACGGAGGCTGCAGTGGCACGGGACAGCAGCTGCGTGAGTCCCTGCAGCCAGCCTGCCTGGAGAGCGGCGCGGGGCAGCCAGGGGAGCAGCGGGACACAGCCGGCCAAGGCCTGCATTGCCAGGAACCAGAGCTCACGGATGTCATCCCAGGAGCTCGTGTAGGCGGGTGACACGGCCACGGCCAGGCCATCGCTGCTGGGGTCTGCCTGCGCCGCGTGGGCCTGCGAGAGGAAGCGAATGGCAGCTCCAAAAAACTCCTTGGCAGACTGTGCTCCCTGAAGGGCTGGAAATAAAAGGAAATTAAGGTTACAATGCAGAGTTTGCTCAGTCAGAGAAGGGCCCCGTGGTGGGGCTGTGTGGAAGAGGACAACATTTTCCTGCCCTAAAAAATCTCTTCATCCCAGCACATCAGCCTGCTGAATGTTTCACGCATTCCTTGCTCCCGAACATTTTTGGTTTATCACTTTTCCAATGACAAACTGGACCAGTTTCCCTTCTATTTGCTTTCTCCAGCCCAACTTTCCAGCTCCTGGTCTCTGCCCATGCGGCACAACGTGGGCTTTGCCAATAGGAACTTCCTTTACCTGCTGACCCTGCCAGGATCCTGGCCATCATCAGGCCCAGAGTGGCAACGTTTGCTGCCAGGACCAGGTGATGCTTCTGGGGCAGCAGAAGTGGAAGAGACTTCAGCAACACATCCATCAAGGAGGAAAAGGTTTTGTCACGCCTAGAGAGAAAATAAACCCTTTTTGACACATTTCCTGAGCAGAGCCAGAAGCACCTGAGAATGTCAAGGTTAAACACAGCACCAAAAATACAATGAAATTTGGGTTGAAAAAGGAACATCCCTTTTCAACAAAGCAAGTTAACAGATCCTCAAGCTTGATGTACAAGGCACCCTTTCTTCCCACTGCCAACCTCAGAGCCAGCTCCCACAGCTCTGTTACCTGACCAGGTCCGGAGCAGTCACAACCAGGTTAAGGAAAATCCCACACATGGTCTGGAGACTCATTTCAGTGCTCGTCAGAGGCGCTGGGGCCGTGGGCTCGGAGGTCAGAACCTCCCACTGCTGCAGGAAGTACTCACACAGCAGTGCTGGTGCCCCTTCGGCAATGAGGATGTCCCGGGGCCTGTCCTCTGCTGTCAAATGGCAAAAGCCAGGTAGCAGAAATCTGGAAGGGGAAAGAAACTGGGAGCATGAGGTAGAATGGGTCTAAGCCCTGCATTTACATCCATCTCGGGGGAGAAAGCCCCATAGAAGTGGCACTGCAGGGAGAATAAAAATAGAAAAAATATTTGAGCAGGTTTGCGCTAAAATGCAACAAATGTGTGCTTAAAATGCTCACCTCAGAGCATCCTGAGGTAAGGCAGAGCCCTCGCTGCTGACCAGCTCTGCCTGGGGAACACTCACAGCTGGGCTGCCCTCCTTGAAAAGTTTCCTGGCATAATCAACAAGGAAAGGCAAGAGCTCACAGATTTCCTGCTTGAGGGAGGATGTCTCTTCTGCCATCCAAGCTCCAAGGACTCGAACAGAGGCAAAGATGAAAGGATCTTGCAGCTCCTCCTGTTTGACCTGCATGAAGAAAGCAAAGTGACACATTACTGTCACTGTACATCAACATTCCACAGGTCTGGAAATCACAGTGGGTCAAGAGGGAGAGTTTGCTCCACACAGAGGCACCCCCACAACCTGTTCTTTGTTAAAAGCCCTGCATTACCTGCCTCAAGTAGAAAATTACAGCTCCAAATGCCTCCTCCATAATCCTCATGAGCTGCATCTTCTGCACATTTTCTAGCAGAGGGTTCTCTTCCCTCAGGCACTCCTGGATCCCCATCTCCATAATGACATAGCAGGCTGCCATCACTTCTTTCTTCCCCTCCACCTCCACGGCATCTGGCTCCTCCAGGGTCAGGCGGACCTCCACACAAGCCAAGTTCACCAGCAGGGCCAGGAACTTGCTGCCAGCTCTCCCTGCAGGGATCCACTCAGCCCCACAGGCCTGCACGAGGCCAGCTGCGAGCTTCAGAGCGGGGTCCCGCTGTGACTGGCTGAGTTTGCTGCCCAAAACGTCAGCCAGCCCTTTGTAAAGGCTGCACAGGCACTCGGAGCCCTGCGAGTTCTCTGTGAGAGGAGGTGACAGGGGGATGAAGTGAGGCAGAACCTGACACAGCTCAAATTTGGTCATGTCTTCAGCCTTGAGGAAGTCACTGGAGAGCTTGCTGAGCACAGCCAGGAGCTGTGGAGCATCTCTCTGCCAGCACTTGGCCTCTGCTACGGCCAACAGCCCCACAAGCAGCGTGAGGGCACGCTCAGAGCCGTGACCACCGTTCAGGTAAGCCTGGCACAGGGCAGACACTGTCCCTTTGGTCACCAACTCCCTGGGGCCCCTGGCCGTGGCCAGGACAGCGCTGAGGCACTGGTACACGTCATCAACCATGGATGTGCAGTCTGGGTCACAGGGGGACAGCAGGACGTCATTGAAGGTCGGGATTTTGTTCAGGATCTGGGAGTGCCCAGCTAGCTCTGGGTCGGTGCAGAAACAGGCCAGCAGGGTGAGGCCGAGGGCACGGAAGGTGTGCGGGGGGCAGCCGGCTGGGGGCTGCTGGGAGACCAGCAGGCGGGTCGGGAATGTGAATCCGATCGCGCTGAAGATCTGGCGGCGGGTCTTGGCATCCACCTCTCCGGCTCTGACCGCTTTGGTCACCTACGAGGCAAAACAGCAGCGAGCATGAGCATAGCAAAAGGAATTGGTACATGTACAGGATGGAACTGCTGCACATCAGAAACTAAAACAACTTTATTTAGTGCAGGGAAGGACCCACTGAGCTGGCACTTGGTCCGAGTGCTAATCCAGACATCTACCACGGTGTTTCAAGAGTGTGGCAGCACTGACTGACCCTCCACACTCCCAAGTCAAGGCCACGCTCAATTGCTTTGCTGAAGGGAACCCCAAAGCTCTGAAGCAGCTTTGCTCTGAGCTTCCAATCCCCACCTCTCCGCATCCCCCGGGCACTCCCGTGTCCAGCAGGGCGTTTGGCCTCCCCTTTGCCCTCTCCGGAGGCGATCCCACGGTTCCTTACCAGGAGCAGCGCTGCGAACTGCTCGCTGTCGTTCCTCGCGTCTCTGAGCACACTGAGGCACCGCTTCAGCGTGGCGTGTCCGTCCCCGGAGTCCGAGGCCATGGCCGGGAAGCGCGGCTGAAGAACTAGAGGGGAACGTGGGCAGCCTTCCCTCGGCTCCTTCCCTCACGGTTTCGGCCCTTTCCCTCACGGCTCTGGCTCCGGCCGCTTCCCTCGGCCCTTTCCCTCACGGCTCCGGCCCCTTCCCTCACGGCGCCCCGCCTGCGGGAGCGCGCCTCCTGCACCGCCTGCCCCTCCAGCCAATCCGCGCGCCGCCTCCGCGCCGCCGGCCAACCGCGTGCCGCCTTGTTGGGCGGTGCCCGAAGCCGCCGCCTCCGCGCGGAACTGTGGGCAAATCACCTGTGGCTGCGCGGCCTCCGCGCCCGCCCCGCCCGGTGTGACCGGGAGCGGCGGGGGAGCGAGCGGCGGGGGCCCGTGGCTCCCAGCCCTGGCACTGCCCGCACGGCCGGACCCAGCCCTGGTGCTGTTCAGGCGGTTCAGCTTCCGGGTGAGCGTGCGCCGCCATGGCCGCGGGGCAGGAGGCCGCGGTGCCCCCGGGCCCGCCGCGCTGGAGCCCCGGCCGTGCCCGGCGCCCGGTGCCCGCTTGAGCTCGCCGAGGAGCCGCTGAGGAGCCGCCGAGCCTCGCCATGCGCCCTTGGTACGTACGCGCCGGCGGCACGGGGCGCTGCCGCCTCCCGCGGGGCCCGGGCCCGGCGCCGGGGCTCGGTGCCGGGGCTCCGGCCGGGCAGGAACGGGCACCGGGGCTCTGGGGCGGCGGAAAGTTTCCTCAAGGACCTGTTGGCTGAGCGGGCGCGTGTTTACATCTTCCCCCGTGAAGTTTCCTGCCGTGTCTGTTCCTGCTCTGCTGCGGACGGCTGAGTGCAATTCCTCGAGGTGTAACCAGCCCCGAGTGCTTGCGGAGCGCTGGTGGGTCTGGCTGTGACAGCGTTCCCTGTTACAGGTTGGATTTGCCGTCCCAGATTCCCTTTGGGTTCTTCAGAACTGGCCTGTTTAACGTCGTTTAGTGCCTAATGATGCTTTCATTGCTCCCTTAAAATAGATACTATTTATTACCTGTGAAATAATTAATGTTCTCCTACCGCATCACCTAGAGATAATTTACATTCCATTAGCATATGGGGCTGTTAAATAGCCTTCGGCCTCAGGAAGGCGGAGAAGTTTGGTGGTCTCTGCCCTGTGGGGCAAAACAAGAAGCAAGCCAGGGCGTTAGCTGCCAGTTTCCCAGCGTTGCTGTGCTCTCGTTTCCCTGTTTGTGGCTGGCACCAGCCAGCACGGCCGTGCCTGTGGTGACATCGCCGGGCAGATGTGCAGGGGCTGTCAGTGCCTGGGTTATCCTCGTGCTGCTGCTGGGTGTCCAGTCCTCAGGCACGTTTCAAACTGGAATTTCCCAAACGCCTGTTTGGAAACCAGTGGACAGCTGTTGTGATATCAGATGAAAAATGGGGTCTGGAGGAGAAAACCACAAGGGAAAGGCTCTGTGCACTCGGCACTGGGAGCTGTGCCACTACAGATTTCATTTTGGTATCAGACATTGATAGTTCCTTAGCAACAGCTGGACTAATCACAGCTGATAAGACATTCCTTTTCCTCCACAAATGCTCTGTTCACTTTGCACTCTCGCTGGATCTGTGCAGGAACATTTCAATTGCCACGGGATGTTTTGTGTTTCATACCCTGCGTGTTTCTAGAACCCTGCTGCTGCCCACAAAGGCCATGGAGAAGAGGTTGGAAGCCAAACCCAGCATCAGCACCCGGTTCCTGTCCCGATACTGCCTGGGAAAAGCTGTGAGGGAGCTGGGAATTCTGCAGCTGTTCTACCTGTGCACTTGCCTGTGTGCCTCGTGCTCCTCTGCAGGTGACTTTTCTGTTCTCTCTGGGACTGTGGGTATGGATTTTTATGGTCTTTATCCCTCTTACTTGTTTAAAATACTCTGAGAGAAAAGTGAAATGATTTACTAGTAGATTTATAGGATTGGTTTTTTTATAGGCTTCCTTTTTAATTGTTTTTTTAACTGAGAAACCAAAGCAGTTGTTTTTTTCAAACCAAACAAAGCACCACCCCTAGCAGTTACTAAGTGGGCTCTCAAAAGTGTAGCTTGTATCTCAGAGAGAGCTTTTTCTGACCTTAATTTTTGACAAAATGGACAAGTGATAATCTGGAAAATAATTTAATTTAAGGAAACCAACCTGGAAAGGCTGGAATGTTTTTTAACCCTAAGATGTTTAATGTTCTTCCCAAGAGCCGTATGTCAGAAGTCTTTATTTGCCTACAGGCAATGGTTATGTTTGTTTTTTTATTTCCTGTTCAAACTTGAGCAACCAACCTCCTGCTCAAGTAAATAACCAAGTTAGTGGCTTGGATGGAAGTTTTCCTCTAATAGATTGTGTGAGGTTTGGTTTGGGAAGGGGGTTGGTTTGCTTTGTTTCCCAGTTATGTGGCTGTGTTCTCCAGGCAGCTGCAGTATCCCTGTTGTGTTACTGGACTTTCCTGGACAGCTCCCAGTGGCAGATTTGGTTAAGCTAATGAGCTCTGTGATCTTAATTAGCTAATTCAGACCCTGGAAAAACATGTTTGTATTCCTGCTAAGGGTTGTGTGTTTGAATGGTGAGTGTTTCCTTGTCAACTGAGCTTCCTCCCTGCATTTCCTGGCTTTAGTAATTTCTTGGAAGTTCAAAGTCAGAGCTCCTAAGAGACTCCTAGAGGGTGTTCTAGACAGTTTTGGTGTGTTTAAGGGCTGCTCTGCTTGGAAGAGTTAAAGCCAGGACTCACAGACTTGTTAAGGTTGGAACAGTGCAGGTCTGAGATCATCAAGTCCAGCGGTTAAATGAGTGAAGAGTCCATTAAATTAAGGCTTTTGCGTGTGCAGAAATAAATGTAATTATATGGGCATAGTTACCCTGATGTGGCCATTTTTTCCATTGCAGAGTTTTTGTTATTTTGGGCTTGTTTGTGTCACTCAGGCAGCGGAGTTAGTGAAGCTGAGGAGGAGTTATGGCTCCTAGAAATGAGCGTGGTCATGTGGAGTTACGCAAGGGGGACTGTGTTGACATAACTGACTGACTGGCTGTGTGGCGGGTTTGAAAAGTCCATAGAGTCAAGTCTTTAATCATTAATCTGCTATCAGGCAGGATTAACTTCCTGGGCAAGTCTGTAAACCTGAAGTTATTAATAGAAGCTGTTCCTGTGTGTTCCATTCTCCTGCTGCTCAGCAAAGCTGTGAGCTGCATCCCTGGGACAGGAACTCCTGAGTTCCTGGGAAGAGCAGTTTTCTCCACTAATGTGACAAAACCAGTATGGAAAAGTGACTAAGCACACCCACAGTGCAGGTGTCTTGTGACTTGTGTGGTGCTGAGCTTAGGAGGGAACTCATCCTCAGGAGTGTTCCTGCTTTCCACAGATGAATGCAAGTGTAGATTCTGTTTTCTCCCAGGGCATGTAGAGTTGTCTGAATGTTTGATGCCCACCAAAGGCCATGGAATTTGAAAATGCAAAGTGAAAATCAGTATGTCTCTGTGGAAAATTCACATCTGGCATGCTGGGAGTTGCCTGTTCACTTCTGTCATTGCTGAGAGTTATCTGAGTTTTAAGCTGTCCATGTACAGCAATTCAGAAGAACATACTGGCTAATTTCAAATAAATATGTCCCAAGTGGCCATTAGCAGAGTTCTGGAAATGAAATGTAGCCAAAATATTATTCAAATCTTGTTTTAGCAGTGTGTTAAAAGAGAAGCAGAATACTCTCAGCATGGCAGTGTTGTGTTACCCAGGCTAAGTCATGGCTCTGACATGCTGAGGAGATGTTTCTGGGGGTGCAGGATTTATATTTGAGATGAATAAATATGATACCTGTGTTATGTAGTGATTTATCACAAGGGATATCTTCCCTAGGAACATTTTTCTTTTAAATGTGCCCCATTCTGTGTGTGCCCCAGTTCTAAGCCTGGTACTAGAAACTGCTGCTGAATTTCACTGCTTCGTATCAAGCCTTCATTTGAGTGGTATGTGTGAGCCAGGCCTGACACATGAGGAGAGATGGATGAGCAGTGATGGAGGAGGAGGAGGAAGGATTTTAGGAGTGTGGGAAGCAGCACATTTCCCTCATGCAAAGGATATATCAGCGACGGTGATTCACCTTTAACAGAAAGGGAATTTTACAGGCAAAACATAAATCTGAGTGGAAGAGATCCTGTTGAAATTCACGGGAATGGTGTAATTCTTCAATTTGTTATTGTTTTTCCAAGTCTGGAGAGAGTGTGTGTGCACACACGTGGGTTTGGTGTGTACACACATTCCATATTCTGTGCTAATTCCAGCCCCATCAGGTTGGTGCCAGGAGCTTGTCCCTGCCTGTGTCTGTGACAGCAGTGCCAGGGACTGGCAGTCCAGGCATTCCAGGTGTGATGAGGCTGGCTGTTGCCCTGGGCACACAGATTCCCTGTCTGCTCTCTCTCCAAGGAAGTGCTGTGTATTGATGAGGTGTGATGAGAGTGCTGAGATTTTTAAAGGTGCTGATGTCAACTTCTCTTGCTGTTGAACATTTGCAGAGTTTCTTTTACACGTTTCAGTGCTCAAGTGAGGCTCTTCTCCCCCTTCTGCACAGTGGTGGGTTCAGACACCCACAGGCAGCTCTGTCCCCCATGACTTGGTCACTAAACTCAAGTTCATTCTCAATCAGGATATTGCAATTTAAATCCAGACTTTATTTTAATGGAGAAAAATGTTTCCCATTTGTGTTATGTTAAAGAACTCCATTCTTGACAGGGAGGGAGCCAGATCTGGAGCATATTCTCCAGCTTTGCAACTCCCACTTCAGCAACACTGTTTGTAAAGTAATCTTCCAATGACCTATTATCACTTGGATGCTGAACACAGCACAGAGTAACAGTCCCATAGGTCATTAGGCTATTTTTAGGGAGTCCTTAATCTGCAGAGCTCTGAATTTTGGAAGCCTTTAATCCATTGATCTCTGCAAGCACTCAAAATGTTCATGCTAAGAAAAAAAGAATCCATATGCAAAGCAGTTGCTGCTTTACTGCAGAGCTGAGACCTGAAGTGGCTTGACTCTTAACTGAAATTATGTCAAATGTTTGAGGGTTTTTAATGAAAAACACTATGGCAGGGTGGGTGGCAAGGCTTTGCCTTGCAGAACCCTTTTCTAGAAACTGTTAACAACTTCCCAAGTGGAGCAAATTCAGTCAAAATAAGCAACTGATGTCAAATATCAGCATGGAAGAATTAAAAATGCCTCTGTACTGTGCACCAAGCCAGTGCCACTGTTTGCAGTGCTTTCTTTCTGGGCAGACTATGGGCAGAGAGGCAAGGCCATAACTGGTTAGAGTGAAGAACTGTGCTTGGGATTTCGGGGTTCAGTTTCTGGCTCTGAACTTGCTGTGTGGCCTTGGTGCAGCTGCTCATTGTGGGCATTATGGGCTCCTCTGAAGCAGGAACATTTCTGTCTTCACTTCTGCTTCTCCATCCCTGTTGGAAAGGGTGGTGGCTTAGGTAGGAGGAGCAGATTGTTCTTAAAATCTTGTGTAAGTACTGGATAGTGAGGCCAGGTAGAGATTCTGAGAAGTCAGATTTACTTTCCTGTGTTCCTCTCCTGTGTTATTCCTGTGTCCCAAATTCATCTTAACAATAGTGATGAGATCTATTATCCACTGCTTTAAAGGACTGAGAATTTTGTCTTTTTGTCTTCCCCTCTCTTTCCCAGATGCAAATTGGAACGGATCTAAATGTGAGCTGGGGAAGATCCTGCTTGGTGGCCGTTTGAGATCGTGGGCAGGTCACCATTTGCAGCTTCTGGAAGGGTTCCATTCTCTGAGCTCCTGTCAGACCACTTGCTGCCAGCGCCCCACCTGTGATGCCTTTTGGTTCTTGGAAAATATGTGCATCCAGGTGAACTGCACCGTGCCTGGCACGTGTCAGGCCAACAAGACTGGCTTTTCAGATTCTGTTTTGGTGTTCTTAAAGAAATCGAAAAGCACAGAGCACTTGTTAAACTTCCATGTGGAGGGTGATATGAAGACTTGGAGTCACAAGTGGTTGGACTGGGACATCCCTGTCCAGAGGAAGAAAAGACTGCGGAGATCATTCCAGAAGTGGAGGTTGGCAGGTAACAGGGTGCAGCTGCTGAGAAGGGATCTGGCAGAGAACTCCAGAGGCAGCAGAACAGAGGAAACAGAACACTTGAAGGATCAGGTCCTGAGGCACTTAGTGGCAGACAGAGATGCTCCTGAGAAAGAAAATCAAAAGCAAGACTTGCTGAAAAATGGACAGAATTCAAGAGAACTGAACCCCAGAAGCCCACTCCCTCCTAAGAGCAATAATGTGAACAGGTCACAGGATGCTGACGGTGGCTTGCCCCAGGTAAGTGATTGCTGGGGCTGGGGTGGGGCTGTCTGGGACAGCTGTCACCCTCCTCAGTCTGGCTTTAGGTTGATTTTTGACTTGGAACTGCCCAGGGATGGGATACCTTTTCAGGTTGCCAGTTTTCAGCCTCCAATCAACAAGGCACAGCCTGTGGTTTGGGGTTTTGTTTGGGTTTTGGGGTAGGTTTTTTCCCCCCCTTTTCTTAGGTGGGATAAACTGTGTTGAAGTGGGAAGGTGAGGCAGGATGGAGTCTATGATAATGCTTATCCTCTGTCTAATCACACACACAAATGTGCTTGCCAGATGAGAAGGAAAGGTGACATGTCAGTGGCAATTGTCTGGGAGCTGAAACTGTTACCTGTTCAAATCCACACAATGAAAAAAGCTGTTTTCATTTAAATCCTGAATCGGGGTAGTTAAATACATTATTTTATGGAGTCATGCACAGAGCTCACAGTGTACTTCAATGTCAATCTGCTTGCTTGAGTTGGCATCTTAATTCCAAATGTTCTCTTTTTTGAAGAGTGCTCCAATTTCTCAAATCCTCCAAAGCTTACCTTGGCACTGGGTGAATGAAATCAGTTTAGTCTCTACTCCAAATACATACAGTGTTAAGCCAGCACATCATGATGTTACAGAGAATTTGGCACATTTGAATTGTTAAGTGATGTTTGTATTTTTACATCTGCAAATGATTTTTTGAACCTTATCTCAAAAATGCTTGTGCACTCCTGATGGTGAAATATAATTCTACTTTGTTAAACTGCTCCTGAAATAGCTTTTGTCATGTTTCAGGGATTTGGCTTTGTACAAAACTGGTGCCTCTGGTTCTGGAAATGCCTGAATTTTTCAAATCAGGTTGCAGGTAGGGCTGTGACTGCCTGAGCCACCACCCTGGAGCAGGATGTGGCGAGCAGCCAAGGGACACTGCTGAGAGCTCCCGGGCAGCCCGGGTGACACGTGAAACCAGGCACTAAAACTTGACAAATGTTTGATTTTCCAGAACCCCCCCAGCATTCGAGGCTGACTTGAGCTCAGATTTCTCTCTCCCCTGCAATGCTGCAGCATTTCCACCCTCCCTGCTCTTTCCTCCTCCTAGGAGTTGAGCTGAGCATGGTGACCCCATTCTCTCAGCTGTCATACATGTGAGGAGATGTCTTTGCAGCCACTCCTAAATGTCTTCTCTTGCTCTTGGGGAACAGCTTTTACATCTCCCTGCTTGTTCTTTTTGCAGTTTTGTTTTCCAGGTTATCCTGCTATTACTGTCCAACGTGTGTCTAGTAAACTGGTTGCAAATATTAAATTACACTGATTAATCAGCTTGTGAATGTTGCTGAACGTGCAGGATTTCCTACCTTTAGGAATTGCTTCCATTGTCATTAATGTGCACTGTTGGATGTGTGCTGGGGAAAGGTTTTTGCTTTCCTGGATGATTTTTGCTAATAAGAAAGTCCATGGCTCTTAATGAAATGCAAATTCTTAAAAATAAAAACATTCTACAAAAATATTGTGACATGATGGAATTCCTGGCGTTTGCATTTTTGAGGTTTAGGATGGAGTTTTTGAGCAGAAGGAAGAATTAAAATATCCACCTGGGCTAATTCCAGGATTATTGAACCATCCAACTTTACCTGCAAAATGCAAAGCCAGCTCTGCAGCTGTCCTTGCCCTTCAAATCCAAGAGCAGTTTAATGTGAGCCAGCACTGGGGGCTGTGTTCTTGGGACATGGCCAGACCTTCCAGGAGGGAGGTATTCCAAGCTGGGATCAAAATAAAGTTACACCCATGAGTAGAATTTCTCCTGGGCTACATTTGGCCCAATCCATGGAGGACATGGCTGGGTGCTTAATGCTGTTCTTTAGGAAGGGCTGGAAGATGGGGACAGTACTGGCTGTTCATACCTGAGAGCATCAAACACCTGAAGTAGGAAAGGACATTTGAAATCAGAGTGCTTTTTCTCCTCTGCTGCTGCTGAGCACTGAATGTATGGAAGGCAAATCTTTTCCTTTGGTCTTGCAGGCTCAGAGAGAAGGAGAAGGACAGTTTTGGGAAAACATGGCCTCTGTGGGTTTTCATTTTCCTCTTGCAGTTCTGATGCCTCCACAGCCATCTGGGATAGCATTTGCTAATGTGCAGTGAGCATTAATTTCTGGTTTTACTGTATCCATGCTATGGGACCAGGATAAACCACAGTGCATCCTGCTCATCAGCCCTTAACTGAGGGAGATTGGTACTTTTTCATTAAAGTGAGTGATGTTTTCCAGGCACCAGTTTTTTTTCTATCTCGTTGTAAAATTCCCTGTCAATTTTAAAATATAGCACACATTTAATAGCCAGTCAGGAGAAGTATTTAACTGTGGCATTGCTGATGAGCAGGGCTGCTGCAGCACAGCAGCTCTGCAGACAGACTGGAAAAGGCTGCAGCAGGAGTGTTGCAACAGAGCCAGAGAACTCATTCCTGCCCTCACATCAAGCCCACTGTTTGGCTCTTGCTGTCACACTTCCTGCAAGTTTTTCATTCACAAGGAACAAGGAAATGTCTCTCTTTACCACCAGCAGTAGTTCTGTAATGGTTTGTGACATTACGTACATTTTAGTGTCTTAAGAGTCTTCACAGATGTGGCACTTACTGCAGACAGCAAGGACAACATCTAAGCTGAGAAGAGCCCAATTTGTAAGTTCAGACCAGGCCTATTTAAATTAAAAAATAGAAGTAATTTCCAGGACAGAGGTATTTTTCTCTCAGATAACTTGGGCTTGGTGTGGATTCTGATGCACAGGGCTGCTCTAGTCCCTCTAACAGGCATGGGACTCTCAGACAAGGACACTGGGTTATTTGTCTCAGGCCAAAGGCATTTAGGGGTGGAATCAAAATTGTCTGAGGCTCCTGTGTTGACTCAGGCCAATGTGTCACTCCTCTCTATTTTCTAAGCTAATAAGATAGGACAGCTGGCAAACTTCTAGTCTCCTTGTCATTTATCCCCAAGAATGAAATAATCTGTTCTTTGCTTTAAAGAATTCAGAGTTATGAAGCAAAGATAAGAAATGTCTCAGCTTGCAAGCATTAGAGGCATTTTTGACTGTTGTGTTGCCCCAGGCAAAGCTTATCTAATTCGAGCTCTCCACAGACATTTGGCTGTCAATTTATCCTGAAGACTTTTGGAAGGAAGAGGATCTCTCTTAACTGTAAAGTGGGGTTTTTTTGGGAATTAAAAGTGAGTCAAGTAAGCATTCAGCTCACTATTAATATTGCCAAGCAAAGTGGGGACTCTGCTGTGGCCAGCAGGTGAATGTGGATCTCCTGTTTGTTTTTGTTCTTGTCACCCTTCTGGGTTGATTCTTGAGAAGGAAAAAGTGATTTCCCATAGTGGTAGGAAGTCATGGGAACATTCTGGTCCTGTGCCTTTCCTAAAGAGTCTGTCTCACTTGGGTTCCTGCCTGGCTGTTCCCCTCTTTCTCCTGCCAGCATTTCAAACTTTATCTTGAGGAAAGGGAGTCAGTACCCTTTGCAGTTGTCAGTGGGTGGAAGATGATACAGCTTGGGATATCCAGCTGTCCTGAGGCCACTGAGGAAGAGCAGCATGCCAGATTTTTTTCTGTATGGATTCCAAAGAATCCATACTTCTGTTTAAGCCCATTAGCAAGAAACCAAATAAAGGAAGACAGCTTATGTCTGTAACACTAACAAATAGTGTTGGATTCCTTGGTACATAAAGCTCAGATGTTAATCAAACAATTGTTTTACATTCTGTGAGCAAAGTGAGCTGAGAGATGGTGAGAGGTAATTATTTGCCCAAGGCTGAAACAAAAACCTTGCAGAGAAGCCCTCAGTGCCTTCACTGCTGCACCTGGCTTGGCTGCTTGTTCAGTGTGGGCAGCACAGCTTTATTTTACAACCAACATTTAGTGTTTTCTAAAGCCCAGCCCGTTTACTGACAAGGATGTTGCCCACCATGGTCTGGAGTGTTTTCCCAGTTCCTGTTTCCTGGACTGAATGCCAACAGCATGGTCTAAAAGTATATGGAGTATATTTCCTTCAATTTTGAGCTTTTAATCACTCCTCTAATGGGGAGTAGTGGTGGGAAATCCAGCTCCAAAGCACTTTATGAGTCAAAGATGGTAAATTGCTCCCTTTTAAGTATTTAGCAGATGTTCTCAAAATAGAGTTAGTTAAAAAAAAAAAAAAAAAGATGTGCTACACACATGGACTTCACCATGGAGGGTAAATTGTCAGGAGTATGGTCTGGCAGGCTGGGAACTAGAATGGGGCTAGGTAAAAGGAATTTTCTGATGAAAGAAAGGAAATTGTTCCTGCCACTCTGATTATTTTCAATCAAGTGGCTCATCCTGTGTGGATGTGAGCAAACTTTGTGCCCTCCAGCTCCTCTCCCTGCCCAGCAGCATCTCGTGGGGCAGGCATGCAGGGAGCTGTGTGTGTCAGCTCACCTTGCTTTGAAGAGTGATTCCAAAATAAATTTCCTCTTGCTGTAATAATTCAGTTATTACATAAAAATGCCACTGCAATCCTCCTGCTTCATGTTGGCCAACTGCATGGCTTCAGGAAAACGAAATCACAGCCAGAGTAAATGAGCCCCAGTTTGTGGTCCCTGTCTTCAGGGGCTGTCTTATCCCACCTTTCTCTTCTTTTAGCTCCACTCACTGCAGTTTTCAACCTGGATCTTCTCTTATATTTGCCACATCAACAGCCTTGGTACTTAAATGCTGTAGCTAAATCTGGTGTTAACTGGTGTTCAGCTGGGGTAGAAATGGCCTGTCTGCTCTGGAGGAAGAACATGGAGAAACACTTCAGAAGAGAGAGGGGAAGCTGTAAAAATTCCTGCTTCTGGAAAAACAAACCAGGGATTTTTCAGCCTCCCTAACTCTGAAGGAGGAGAAAGGCAACTTAAAACTGCCATTCAGTGTTCAGGTCAAACTCAGACAACTTCTTCCTTTACAGATCCACACAGGAACATCTGCACCAGAATCATCAGTGCTGGCTACGTTCTCCAGCCCTGTGGCACTGGACTTGACAGCTCCAGGGAAGACTGAGAAGCCTGGGCAGCCTGATGATGCCCACCCTCAGTTTCCCACAGCCAACCCTGTGCCAGTGAAAAGCACAGCAAAGGCACAGGCAGCAACTTCTGTGCCCAGTGGAGCCCCCACAAATGGCAGTGTTCCTACAGCCCAGAGCAGCACTGCTGCAGCCCCAAGCACTGCTGCCACCACTCCAGGTGAGGACTTGTAGGGCTCCAGCAAATGGCACCTGCTCAGGCTTTTTCAAGCCACAGCAGTGTGGAAAAATAGTAGACAATTATGGTACCTTGGAGAAAATACTGAGGCATCTGTGTCAGCACACGTGCTGTTGGATCCTAGTAATTCCTGAGGTCTGGAATGGGACTGGAGCTTCCTTAATCTGCATGTGACCATTGCCTGTGAGGACAGCTGGGAACTAATGAGGATATCTCAGTTCCCAAAGTGAAGGCTGAGATGTGATGCAGGGCAGAGTCCTGGGAAGTGTTTTTCCAGTAGCCTTGGCACGCTGCAATCCATCAAATCGAGCAGAAATCTTAATGTGTGCTCAAAAAAGGGTGTAACTGATTATTTTGTGTCCCTGAAGTGTCACTGCACGGTTCAGCCGTGGAGAACAGAGTACTTGGCTGTTAGCCCATGCTTTGCTCTGCAGCATGATGGTGTTTCTGTTCACACTGGTATTTCCTAAAACAGACTGTTGAAAATGCACAAAGGCCAGAATGCCCTTTGGCAGCTCTGTTCCCTGAGCCAGGCTGTCAGCTCTCCCTGTGGGGATGGCTGAGCACCGGGAATGGCGTGTACTGCTCGTGTGGTGTCTCAGAATTCACTTCATCCAGTGTGCTGAAGCATTCACAGCTGAATTTCTTTTGAATTTAGGGTGCCTTTCCCTTACAAGGGAACAAATGGAGAGTGTAAGGGAAGCACTGCATGCAAAGATGGTTTTTGGCAGGAAGCTCATTTGCTGCTTGTGCTGACAAGTTAATGTTTTTTGGTTTTTTTTAATTTATTTTAAGGGCTTACCCCAGCTAAAACTGGAAAACATGCTTTAAACATCTTCATTGGTTTGTCAGGGCCTCCTGGTTTTGCTAACCAATCCAAAGATGATGTAAAGAGTAGTTTTTCCAAGGTTTTTTATCTGTTTGTCTGGGTTTTGTTTTTATTATTTCCTAATGAGATCTGATTGGTTTTTGCCTTGGAACTCTTTGAAGGTGAAAGATTGATGGAGTATTTGAGAGGGGGAAAAAAAAGTGGTTAATTCCACTAGTTATTAAAATTGGAAGATAGATAAATAATAGATAATAAAGGTGGGGAAATAGCTGAATGTCTGAGGTCCTTTTTTCCCATTTTTTTAATTTGGGTTTTTTGTGCATACCTCCGAAACATTGCCTTTGACAGGGTCAAACTAAAGAAAGAATATTTTCTATGCATAATTCCCAGGTCCATTAATAAAAAGACAAATATAAAGCAAAGGGGAAGGGAAGAGAGAGATGAGGAGGCCAAGAGGTGTTTTTAAGAAATGTGTTGAACTTTCTGGTTATCTTAATGCTAATAAAAAGCAGAAAAAATATGTCCCTGGCTATAGTTTTCAAGGTTATCCTGTAGTTTTTAAAAGGAACCTGTCAGTTTATTTGAAATGGAATGGAAAGAAAATTCTTGAGTGGGGGTGGAAAAGAAAATACAAATAAAAGGACCAGGTTTGTATCTTGAGCCTCCATACCCAGAGTGGCAGCTATGCTAGTTTAAAAAAATTCTCTTAGCCCTCAAGCAGTTTTTCAAAAAAGAAATTCTGTGGATTCTTTATATATTTGTGAAGTTCTGGAATTGCAGTTTGGAAGTAGCAGTGTTTGTCTTGCTGTGCCACGAGCCTGCAGCTGAGTTCTCTGCCAAAAAGCTGTCAAGTAAAACCCTTCCCATCCTGCTAGACCTGGGTGAAGAGACTCCCTGTGCAGGGCCCAGGGGCCACGTTTCAGCACAGTATCTGCAAAGACAGAGGTGACTGAGTAATTTTGGGCTTGTTTAAAATTGTAAACCCCCGATTAGTGCTTGTGCATTGACAAGGAGAGCAAAACCTGAAATGGGAGGGCTCTTGAGGGACAGGATGTTTACAAAATACATCATCATGTGTAGCTGGGGTTTATTCCATAAACTGAAACCAAGGTGGGTTTTTTTTTCCCTGTTCCTCTCCAATTCTGTGTTTATCTCTTTCAGCTATGAAGGAGCTGGTGGTTTCTGCTGGAGACAGTGTTGAAGTGACCCTGCCAAAGAATGAAGTTCAGCTGAATGCATTTGTGCTCCCTGAACCACCGCCTGGTAAAGCTTCCCTGGGAATTCTGCTAAGGGTTTGGGATGTGAAAAGGCAAACAGTCATTATGTGTGGCATGTAGTAAGGGCAGTCTTGAAAATGTCTTTTGTCAGAGAGCACTTTCCTGTGGAAGTTTTTCATACTCAGCTATTACCTTGTGCTGCCTCTCAGAGAAAATAGTGAGGCACAAAAAAAATGGAAAGTGCTGCAAAGCCAGTGGATTTGGGAGATTGTGGGAAGAGATGGGAGAAGAGATGGCACATTCTCAGGGTGGTGTGTGAGGAAGAATTGGACTTCTAGGACTTTTAGCATCTATTCTTGATATTTGCTGATAGGAACTGAGCTGTATTAGCAAGTGATTGAAATCTGAATTGGGGTATTTGCCTGCTGAGGAACACATTCTGTACACTCCTCATTTCATCATGCAAATTGTTGGCAGGTATTTTTAAAGTTCTTATTTTAACTCTGTCCACTGTGGCAGTGGGAGCTGTAGAGGCAGGTGTGCTCCATGTTGTGTGGCAGCAGGGATTGATTCATTCCTGTTCAAAAATTCCTGTGGCATTCCTGTGTCTGCAGGATCTGAGGATGTGATAAGGCTTTTCTCTCTTATTATCCTGGAGCTGTGATTGTTCCAAAGCTCTTTATTGCCTTGGAGGCTGAAAGATGGGTTTTGATTCCAGAGTAAACGAGTTTAGAAGCACAGATTGTCTCTTTTCCTGGGTATATTCCCAAAAAGCCACAGCCCAAGCTGTCTCATTTCTCCACAGTGCAGCAGAATGTGCCTTGTAAATGTTTAATACCTTTGCAGTTCTTTAGCGTGGCAGAAAGACAGGCTTTGAAAACAAACATCTGGACCTTTTCTTTTTTTTTTTTCTTTTAAGGAACCACATATTCCTATGAGTGGGAGTTGATTACTCATCCAAAAGACTACAGTGGAGTAATGGCAGAGAAGCACTCCCAGACCCTGAAGTTGTCTAAGGTAAAGCTTTGGCTACTTCATATCTTGTTGTGTTAAATGCCAGGTGGAGAATATGGGGACCCCAGCAGCCAGGAAAAACTTGTATGGGATTTCAGGATGAATAGGAAATTGCATGATGGGCAGGCAGCCAACATTTGACTGCAAGCCCTCTTCTGAGGCTCTTAGAAAAAGGAGATTGATCTGGCACGAGGGAAGGAAGAAATTGATTTCAGGAGGTACAAGCTGCCTACAAGCAGTGTGACAAGGCACACAAATGGCACAATTTAACAGTAACGAGGGGTGGGAATATTCCTGAAGCAGTGTGGTAGTCTGTTTAGGTCTGAGCCTTGTACTGCCCACTGGAAGAGAGTCTTGCTGCTTCCATTAATGAGAGTCCTGCAATACCTCGTGGCATGTCCCTGGCTGCTGCTCTCAGACAAGCTCTAACAGGGAAGGGGTTGCCAGTTCCTGAACGTGGGGAATTCTTAACAAGGAAATGGCTCTAAGTACTGTGAATATACAGTTCTGTACTTGAGACATTCCTTTGAGCAGCCTGGATTCTACTGCACTCAGAAAAAAATCTGCAGGCTTTAGTAAGGATATTATGCAGAGCCAAACCTTTGGAAAGGAGTGTGCAGGTCTCTGTCAGGGCTTCAGCCTTTTGGGTATCAAGATTGTTATCACCATCCAGTGGATGGTGAAGAGGTGACTGCCTGGCTCATGTCACCTAGAAGGAAAAGAAGAAACACTTGCATTTATAAAAATACACAAGAAGAGATTTTCTTCTTACATGCAGCCTTTTTCACCTCAAATGCAATCTGCTAGTTCAGATTCCTGTGGCCAGACAACCTGAACTAATCTCTGTTATCTCTCTTCTGTTTGCCTTTTGTTGCTGGAAAATAAAGCTTGACTGACAATCCTGTGGTAGAGAGAAATACCAGTCTTTGGTTTCTGCATAGCCATTGTAAACTAAAATATCTGTAATACCATTTTGGCCTGGAAACCCTCCTTTGCTGTGTATGCAGAGGCTGAAGCACAATTTTCTGTGTGCTCCTGTGCCAAAGCACAGGAACTTGACCTTCCAGTAGGTCCTGACAAGGTGCCACCAACCTGTAGGTAAATAATCCTTTGTGCTTGTTTCCAGCTTACTGTTGGCCTGTACGAGTTCAAAGTCGTTGTGGATGGGGAGAATGCTCATGGAGAGGGATATGTGAATGTAACAGTGAATCCAAGTGAGTGCTGGGATTGGATTTTCCTTGATTTCACCTGTCAGTGACATGCCAAGGCAGCTGTACCCTGGGGTTAGATTATTTGGTTTGGTGTGGTGATAGTTCATTGTGCTGTGAACTTGCAGCATATGTGTGTATATATATATACACACACACACATATATATGTGTATATATTAAATAATTTCCTGAGATCAGAAGCTATTGCTAACACACAGCTATTTTTGCTGTACTGTATCAAGACAACTACTTGATAAAAGAGCTCTGATCCTGATAGGGAAGTGCTCAGCAAACACCTCACCCTGAAAGGCCACTCCTTCCATAAAAACTAGCTGCAGTCTGACAAAAAGCTTATAGCTTTTTGAGCAAAAACTGAAGAGAAGCCAGAGCTTTGAAGCTCCTTTGGAGGTTCCTTTCTTTCCAGTCCATAAGGAATATCATTCCCAACCACAGGCAGGTTAAGTCAAATCTCATTCCATATTTTAAGGTGTGGTTTGCAGATGAGCTGCAGATGAGGTACAGCATCTTGTGCTGACTGCCTCACTTTTTAGGTGGCCTGTGTAAAGAGACAACCACAGGTGTCAATAAAACCCCTTCATTTTGCAGTCTTCAGCAAGAGTCCTTGTACAAGCTTTGTGGGTAAAGAAGGGCTCTTGCACTCCCTAAATTAGCAAGTGTGTGGCTGGTCTTCTGGGTGCTGTGGCTGATCATTTCCTTATAAGCAGTGACTTTGCAGCTGGCAGCATGCACCAAAATCCTTCACTTTCCAGAGCAGCAGCCACACTGTGACAAGAAGCTGTAGGTGCTTGACCCAGTAGGGAAAAACTGATGCAGTGCAGCCTTCCCAGAGCACTGGTGTGCTGGCTGCTCCCCTTTTGCTAGCATTGATTCCCCAGGCTGGTATAGAACATGCTGGAAGCACAAATCACTGGTAATTGCTGATAGTTTTGCAGTTCCTTGGCCAGGGCTTTCTGCCTGTAGTGTCATGGTAACAGCTGGGTTGTTGTTGCAGAGCCCCGGGTGAATCAGCCTCCTGTTGCCATCGTGTCCCCACAGTTCCAGGAAATCTCCCTGCCAACCATTTCCACTCTTATCGACGGCAGCAGTGAGTACCTGCAGGTTTAAGTGCAGCATCCAGCAGGGGGGCTTTGTGTTTGGTCCTGGGCTGGCCTTTTGTATAAAGGTTAAGAGAAACAGTGACACTGGCAAACACAGTTCAGTGAAAAGAATTAGCCTCTCTGGCCAGGAGAGCAAAGTACACACAACAGCACCTCTCCATGCTCCTTTTGAAGGGCACTGGCCTGAGCCAATCTCCTAAAAAAGGAAAAGCTCTGGAGGTTGCTGCTTGGAATTAAAAAAAAAAAAAAAATTACTGTCAAAATTACTGGGCTCTTGGCTAAACTTCAAATGTGTAAGTTACTGACAGGACACCTTCAGTGATCCTGGCCTGCACTAGAGCTTTTCAGGAGTTCCTTTATACAAATTCAGGTTGTCTTAGCCCCATCTAGGATTGATTTGTTACAGTTTGGGTGTCTGAGCATAACAGAGACTCTGGGCTTCAACCAAAAATATCTTTTCCCACTAAGTCCAGGGCAGAAGTAGGGACTGACCATCTGGAATCTGTGAAGCAGCATTTTCCAACTCCTTGTGTGTGTGTGTTTTCCTCAATTACTGAAACAGAAAGCACTGATGATGATAAAATTATCAGCTACCACTGGGAAGAGCTGAAGGGTCCCCTGCGGGAGGAGAAGGTCTCCAGTGACACTCCCATACTGACACTGACCAACCTGGTACCTGGGAATTACACTTTCAGGTAGGTCACACCTGGCAGAGTCCATCAGCTCTCATCCCTTAAGAGTGAAATAGATGAGATTCCTGAAGTGTTTATCTGGTTAAAAAGAAAAAAAAAAAAAAACACCAACACAAAACATGGAGAGAACTCCATTTTGTGATGTTCCCTCTCTCCACTCCTACACTTTAAAGTAGTTTTGTAGCTTTGCACTTCAAGAGAGATAAACTGTCCAGCTACTTCTTATTCTTGACTTGTAGCCCTGGTTAAGATGATGGCTGGTCTGTCAGTGCTACAAAATGTCTCTTGAAATGTCAAATCTGAACTCTTTGGGTAAAGGCTTAGGAAGAAATGCAGTCTTCAAATCCAGTTTTTAAATGCAATGTGTTTGTCTCAGATAAGTGAATGAGGTCTCGTGGTTTTGTGCACAACCTGGGCAATAGGTCGTAGCTGATTTTACTTTTGTATTTGTCCTGTGTTTTTCCTTTGGCCTGTATTTTGGTGTGGTATCCATCACTGCACCAGCAGTTCTGTTTAAAGTGAAATAACCTGGAGTACCTCTTACTGAACACTGCTTTCTTGTTAAGCAGTTGGCATGAACTAATCAGATCCATGTTCAGGTGTAGATTTAGCAAAAAGCAGTTGTGTTTTGTGGTACCAGCCTGCCTGAGGAGATGTGCTGTGTCCAGGCCACTTGTGGGTTAGTAGTGCACTTCTGTGTTTCACCTTGGAACTGGCTGTTAGATTTCAAGTGGGAGATGGATGTGACTGTTAATTCCTTGCATCACTTTGAGGCTGATAATTGGACATTTGGAGGAAGTTTCTATTCAGATAAGGCTGTATTCAGCTTTGATCACCGTCACTTTCCAGTGCTTTCACTTCTTTTTTCCCTCTTCAGTCTAACAGTCGTGGACTCAGATGGTGCCAGCAACTCCACCACTGCCAACCTGACTGTGAAGAAGGCAGTGGATTATCCTCCAGTGGCCAATGCTGGCCCAAACCAGGTGATCACCCTGCCCCAGAACTCCATCACGCTCTACGGCAACCAGAGCACGGACGACCACAGCATCGTCAGCTACGAGTGGCTGCTCAGCCCCAACAGCAAAGGGAAGGTGATGGAGATGCAGGTCAGTGCAGGTCTCCAGTGTTCCACCTGGCCTGCTCACTAGCTGGGCTTTTATCTATAATCAAACCAGTTTTAATGGACTGTCAGCAAATGTCTTTTTGAATCATACAGAGCAAATGTGTGATGATTAAGTTAAGTCCTTGTGAAGCTGGCGTTGGTTTAGTGGCTGAGCTGGTGCACCAGCCTCACCACTGGCATCCTGTTCCTTTCTTGAGCAATGCAATTTTAAATCCTGCTGAAGAAAGGGGATTGAGGGAGGTGGGAACTTTAGAGCTGAATCTTGGAGTCTAAATTCTGCTGATACTGGCCAGACTCTTCTCAGTGCTAAACAGTAAATGTTGAAACTTGTTTCTGTGTCATCATTTTTCTTTTAGAGATTATTACTTTCAAATGTATAGAATAAGAAAGTCCATGAATTAGGTTCACAATGTGTGGGATTTGCACAGGGCTCCCCAGAGATTTTACTGGAGTTGGGAACCACTGAATCCCTAAAGGTCTGCTTGTATGGCATTACTTTTATTATGTCCCACAACAGTGTCCTTGTAGTGTGCATAAATTTAGCTGCAAGAGCTTTGCATGCTGAAGTGGCACAGACTCCTGCTCCCATAGCAGGATTTGGTAATAACCCCCTAGAATGTGCTGGTAATAGTTATTTTAGAATCAGAGTCTTCTGGTCCACCATTATCTGCATGAGGATTGCTTTTAATCCATGAAAATCTTTTCTCACAGGGTGTGAGGACACCAGTCTTGCAGCTCTCTGCAATGCAGGAAGGTGATTACACCTACCAGCTCATAGTGACTGATTCTGCTGGGCACCAGTCCACTGCAGAGGTCACTGTGATAGTCCAGCCAGGTAAGCTGCCTTTACCTGCTGTTGCTGCTTCTCTTCCAGGGGTTGGTGTGAGCAGCAGTCTGTCAGCAACCTCTAGATCTTACAGTGACTTTCAGAAAAGCTGCTCTGATTTAGGAACATTCTGGGCTGGTATATTGCTGATAAATGAGCAGAAGAAAGCCTGTAGGAATATTGCCTTTGTGGACCTTTCTCTTATTTTACACAGTGTAACCTAATTGATATTTTCTTACAATAAAGGCAGGATTGTATTTCCAAACAGCTGTGTCTGCCCACAGTGCTGGGTCCTGGGACAAGGGCAGGAAAAGTGGAGCAGTACTGAGAGAAAGAGAGCAAAAATCAGAATTGCTAGTTTTCAGTCTCATTTTATTGTGATGTGTGAATGAAATGCTTATGGGATTTCTTGACTGCTTTTAACCTCACTTTATCTGAGTACAAGGTAGTGGGCAAGGGATGTGCTGGGGATCATGGAGAAGACCTTAATGGTGGTGTTTTAAGCTTCACCTTTATGGTGTGTGTTTGAGAAATCCTGCATTCTTTTCCAGAGAACAACAAGCCCCCAAAGGCAGATGCTGGTCCAGATAAAGAACTGACTCTTCCTGTGGACAGCACCACTCTAGATGGCAGCAAGAGCTCAGATGACCAGAAGATAGTCTTCTATCTTTGGGAAAAAACACGGTGTGTATCACCTTCCATGTGCTTGTGTATCCAAATCTTTCATTTCAAACACCCCCACACCTCCCTTGTGTTCAGTCATGGTCACATTGGGGCCTGACAAGCTTTACCAATGACCTAAATAAGACAAGGATTTATGTTTGATTGGAAAGAACTGGAGTTTTCTTTGAGCATGAGAAATAGCTTTGCCTTCATCTCGAGGCCTGGCTCCCACTCTGAGCGTGGTGTGGCTCAGCTGTTTCCCTTCACAGAAATGGAGCTTGGGCTTGGTCAGTCAGAGACTGACCCCTGTAATCAAACAACAGCAGGGCCTCCTGACTCGATGCTTTTGCAGTTTGTTTAAATGAGGCAGAGTTCTCTTCCACTCTAAATTCCCTGAAATGCTTTAGGGAATTCAGGAAAAGGCCTATGAGTAACTTGCAGTAGCTTTTTCTGTTTGTTAATGCAAAGTCTGTGCAAAGCCCTAGAAATGAAGATCTGTTCTTGCTTTGCACGTTTGTTGTTTGTTTTTTTTTTTTAAATTGGCTCATTGTGCAGTTCACAGGCCAAGTTGCTGAAAGTACCACTATTTGTAAACACCACCTAAGTGCTGTTATCAGTGTTCCTCTGGTTTAAAATTAACCAAAACATTAACCTGCCAGAAATTATTCTTTTTGTTCTGGATCCTGCACTTATTCGTTAGATTATCTTGCTGTAACTGGAGAACATAATTTTGATTTTTATAATGGACTATTATTTCCAGGCTCCTGTTTGGAGCGAGGTTGCCTCCAGTGCTCTGTGCAAAGTTTAAACTTATCAAAAGCTCTGATAAAGTTCCAAAACTAACCAAACCTCTTGTGTCTTGGTTAGGGGTCCAGATGGTGTGAAGCTGGAGAATGCCAACAGCAGCATTGCCACTGTCACAGGCCTCCAGGTTGGGACATACGAGTTCACTCTGACAGTGAAAGATGAGAGGAACCTGCAGAGCCAAAGCTCCGTCAACGTCATCGTCAAGGAAGGTACGTCCAGCCACGAGCAGAGCTGCTCACTCCCAGGTTATCACTGGGAGTTAACACAAAACCTGTGTTCAGAGACACAATAAAAGTAAGGAATGGAGGGAGACAATGTGGAGAGTGCTGAAGTGGCCTTGAGATTTGCCCTTTTCTGGAGGAATAGTGTTTTCAGCCTAATCCTGCAGTATTTCCCTTCTCTTCCCTAGGGTTAGACAGGGATTTCTGGAGTACACTGGAGACCTAATGCAGTAATTTTTGGTTGGGCATCTTTCTCCAAGTGCTTTCTCTCTATTTATTTAGAGATAAACAAGCCACCCGTTGCAAAGATTGCTGGTAATGTTGTCATCACCTTGCCCACAAACACAGCAGAGCTGGATGGATCGAAGTCCTCTGATGATAAAGGGATTGTCAGCTACCTGTGGACCCGGGATGAGGGGAGCCCTGCAGCTGGGGTGAGCTTTCTTTTGTAAAGGATCACAAAAATCAGTGCAAGGTAGTGTTGACAGCTCCTGAGGAAATACAGAGCTCCTTGTTGGGCTGTTACTCTGTCATATCCTGAAATATGACAATACATGATGCTACTTTGATCCTTTGTTTCCTCATGCTTACTTTGTTCTGCCTTCCAGGAAGTCTTAAATAATTCAGACCATCATCCTGTCCTTCTGCTGTCCAATCTGGTAGAAGGGACCTACACATTTCACCTCAGAGTAACAGATGCCAAAGGAGAGAGTGATGTGGAAAGGACCACGGTGGAGGTCAAACCTGGTGAGTCTGGGTTTTGTGCTGTACCACATTTGCCTGCAGCCCTCTGGATACAGTGTACTGGGATTAAAATGTGTCATCTAGTTTATAACTGTAAATGTCAAAGGTTTTGGGAATGTGGTTGTGTTTTCCTGTGGTTTTTGAGAGCTGACTCTCACTGTTACCTGTGAAACCATACCTGTGTCCCTTCCCACAGTGCCACTCTGTAGTTCTGTGTTCAAATCAGAAACATCCTGAAAAGATAGCTAAAAACCTGCCTTGTGCCTAGGCTGCTAAATAGAAACTCTGAAGATCTGTACTATCTACATTCTCTCTAGATCCTAGGAAAAATAACCTGGTGGAGATAATTCTGGATGTGAATGTGAGCCAGCTGACGGAGCGGCAGAAGGGGATGTTCATCCGGCAGATTGGGGTGCTGCTGGGGGTCCTGGACTCAGACATCACCGTGCAAAAGATCCAGCCATACACTGAACAAAGGTGGGATTCATCTGGGAGGGTACACAGCAAGGAATTGCTTGAGGGTTTGGAAAATCAAGGCCTTTTGGAAAGCAGATTGGATCGTTGGAACTTGTGGAGTTGTTGCTTAATGTTGATATTCCTGCTCAGATCAGAGTTGCCAAGCAGGTCTTGAGTATCTTTCCCCTCTGGAGTTGGTGCATTGCCCTTGAAAACTGCTGCTGCTGATGTATTTTCACCTCAAACCTGTAAAATAAGAACAAATCTGATTTGTTTATTGAAAATTGTGGACACTGTGTGAAGGGATGTTCTGCAGCTGGAGAAGTAACAGGGCTTGGTGCAGGAGTTTGCTGAAACACAGCACACCAGAGTGTGTAACAATCCCCCTCACCTTCATGCCAAATTGGTAGCTCATACAATCACAGACTGGATTGGGTAGAAAGGGACCTTAAGGATCATCCAGTTCCAGCCACACAGCCCCAGGCAGGGACATCTTCCACTAATTCTGCAGAAGCCTTATTGCCTACACAACTGCTTCAACTTAGTGTATGAAAAAATGTTGACAGCCAATGTAATTTCTGTTTGAAGAGATAAAAAAGCTTAATTTTGATTGCTAATTGGCTTACAGAAAACTGCATTTATCCTAAACACATGGAAGTTGGCTGCTGAACAGGGGTGTAGGTCAGGGTGGTATTGCCTGCCAGGAGAGTGGCAACAAGCCATGAGTGGAAATCTGTTGAAACAAGTGCAATATTGCACTTAGTTTTTATTAAAAGGGGAGTAGTTTTAAAGTGCCTAAAGCATTGAAGAAGATTTAAGGGACATGCTTAAAGTCCTGCAGCAAGTCAGCAATAAATCTGCTGTTACTGTACACCTGGCTGAGTGCTCTGATCTATTGATTCCTTTGTGTCCACGTGGCCTGCTGTAGCAGGAAAATCAGAATTCATTGTCCATGCAAACCTAGAGAGCTGAGAACAGAGGAGCCAGCACTTTCTGTTGTAACTGTAGCTCTCTGTCTCTGCCATGAGCAAGCCAGTCGCCCCTGAGTAAGGCAAGTAAGGGATTCTTGTCATTAATGCTTCATCTGTTTATGTGTTCAAGCAGACAAAAGAGTGGGAAGTGTTATAAAGGAGCAGAGATTGTTTCCTGACAGATGGCTTTAAGATCCCATTTTTGCTTCCACTGTCAAAGTAACTTGTGCTGTTTAAAAAAGAGCTTTTTCCTCTGACTCTTGGTTTGTTCTTTTTCACATACTCTGAGGGTTTCACTGATATGCCATTGACTCATAAGCTCACTAGTGATAATAAATCCCAAATATTTCTGCATCCATTGTGAGTCTAAAGGATCCACAGGGCTCTGCAAGGTGAGCAAGCCATGAGGAACAAGTTATTCTATCATAAAGTTAATGCAGTAAAGCTGCAGAATACAGAATCCTTCACACCTGGGTTGTTTTTGGGCTACAGCACTGGGTGCATTCAAACTCAACTTTGCAAAAGACTGTACACTTCCACTCTCTGGTGCTGAAGCTCTGTGCTGAGCATGTAAATGGACCAAGTTTCAGGGTAGTAAAGTCTGAGAATCCCACAGCGAGGAAGGAACGAGAGTATGAAAACAGCAATACCTTAAAGTTTGGGGATTTGATGCTTAGCATGAACATGCAAAGATCTGCTTGATGTGCAAATTCAAGAATAGTGGCAGCCCTATCTTGGAAAATATGAATGGATCAGATATCTTGAAGGGTTTCAACTGCAGGACCAAGTCTGCCATTACTGCTTTCAAACAGAGCCAGAAGTCTGGTCTTCAAATAAATTTGGGATTCTGAGTAAGTCCCTCTAATGACAGACTGGAGAGTGTGGCTCTCCACCTGATGTTTGGAGAAGCAGTAGGTAATTAATAATTCTTGCCTTTCTTCCAGCACGAAGATGGTGTTCTTTGTGCAGAACCAGCCTCCCCATCAGATATTCAAAGGACGAGAGGTGGCCTGGACGCTGAAGAATGAGCTGAGGAAACAACAGTCAGACTTCCTCATCTTCCGGGCCCTGGAGATTAACACAGTCAGTAAGTGAGAGTCTCTGGGGACAGACTGAACATCTTTTACCTTCTTTTCAGCTGCCTGACAGAAAAAGGGTGCTAAAAATGCCCACACACTTACACTCACTGCAGGAGCTTTCATGTTAATAAATGGGAAACAGAAAATTAAGTCTATTAGACTATTCACTAATCACTTGTTTACCAATTATTTCCATCTATTCACTATTCAACTTCTTATAAATAATTACTTGCAGTGTTGCTGTGAAGATAAGAGTTCACAAAACCAAAAGCAGATTGATACTTATGAAACTAAAATACAGTGTTAATGGACTACAGCCACTGAAATGAGTGTCATCCTGAAAACAATAAACTGCACATCTTGGTAGCTGTGAACCCACTTGTTTCCTGTGCAGCACAAGCATCAGTCTGCAGGAAATGTTCCCCTTCTGTCATTGTTTTACATCTTTACATTAGCACTGCTTTTCTTTTATGAGATCCATCCCGTGAGGATCATTTGCTGATCAGTTTGAGATTTGAAACTAGAATTGTGTAAAGTAATTATTTTCATTACTTCCTGGTCTTACCATTTTGTGGCCTTCAGAAGCCATTTTTCAGTTCTATTTGGTGCCTCCAAAGGATCTGTTTGTGCCTCCAAAGGATCTGTTTGTTTCTCGTCTGTCTCACAGGCGGGGTTTGAATTGGAAAATCAAAACTTTGTTTAAAAACATTTACTAATACATAAATTCCATAACTTGTATATCAAAATGAGGATTTATTAGGCAAAATGTATGTTGCTGGTGAAGTGGGATGTTTCAGTTTGGCAGGAGGCCCAGGTGCTTACGTTTGCACTTCTCACCTCCTGTGATTACGCTGAGCTATGAATGAGCTACAGAGGGGCCACATTCAGGTCAGAGCCTGCAGGAGGGGTTGGCTGTACTGAACTATTTTGTCCCGTTTTTGCCTCACCTGTGAGTCATTTCATTCACCTTGCTGGTTTTGGCCCCCAGCCTGTCAGCTGAACTGCTCTGAGCACGGGCGCTGTGACTCCTTCACCAAGCGCTGCGTGTGTGACCCGTTCTGGATGGAGAACTTCCTCAGGGTGCAGATGGGGGACGGCGAGAGCAACTGCGGTACGTGAGCCCCCCGGGGTGGGCACCTTGGCACAGGAACCCCTGTTTGAAACCCAGGATGGGTACCTGCTGTCTCCCCTTTGTCTGCTGAGATGCTGACACCAGGACACAGACCCTTGTCTCACCTCTGGGCAGATGTTTGATAGGGGAGTGAGTCCCCTTCACACCCTCCCGGTGAACACTCACTAAGAGTTGAGTCTGTTCTGGGTGTATAAATCACAGCTCTCTTCTGTCATCTCTGTCCTGCCACAGGAGAGCAAATTTTATACACCAGCACACAGTGAACACTGCCCAGCAAATCCACACACTGCATCTTGAGCTTCCCAAGGGGATCTGGTGGTGCTGGGAAATGCCAGCCTCTATTCTGCAAAGAGGCAGGCCTTGCCTTTTCTTTCCCAAAAACAGTCCCGTAGAATCTGCACTGTCAATTGTACGAGGTACCAAGACATGTTTATCTCTGGGGTTTTGCTTGCAGAGTGGAGTGTGCTGTATGTGATCATTGCATCTTTTGTCATCGTGGTTGCCTTTGGGATCTTGTCGTGGATGGTGATCTGCTGCTGCAAGAGGTGGGACTGAGACCAGACCCCTGCTGTACCCAGGTTTCACAGCCAAGTGTCCCCAGTAGGAGGTTAAAGATTCAAACCCATTGTCCCAGCAGGTCATCTGCTGAGCCTTGGGATGCTGGGTTTTCTCACTCAAGTGTTTCAAGTTAAATGTTGAAGTTCCAGAACTCTGGGTTACGTTAAGAAGCAAAATTTGGATTAACCTATAAATGTGCAACTGAGCAACATTTTAATGTTTCACTTTGTAATGTGAATATAATCCTAAACAGCAAGTGCTTTAGCTTTGAAGATCAGAGTTGTTTTTCTTCTGGCTCTTTTGGAAATGGACTGTTTCTTAATTCCTTTTTCTCCCCTTTAGACGGAAAGGAAAATCCAAAAGAAAAAGCAAATACAAGATTTTGGATGCAACGGATCAAGAAAGCCTGGAGTTAAAACCAAATCCCAAAGCAGGTAAAACATGAGAGGGAAGAGCTCAGCACTTCCAGAGTGCTGACTGAGGACTCTTCCTCAGTGGACTTAAAATAACAGTGAAACAAACGTGATGTAGGGACTGACAGAGGGGTCTTAGAAGATCTGAGGGCTTGTCTCAGATCTGTATGTGGGATATTTAGTAAAGTCATCTAACTTTTTAGGTTTGGAAATTGGGGCTGAAACTGGCCTGGTCTTGATGTCTCCACTTGGTACCTTAGAAGTAGGAAGTGGATGCATTAAGCTGTGCAGAACAGTCCAACTCAAGAAGCCCAAAATTGGGTCTTGACTGTAACTTCTCCTGCTCTGGAGTTTTCCCCTGGGTTCTGGTAGTTCCCTTCTTGCCAGTATACAATTCTTTGGTCATTCTCTACAGCAAAGCAGGAATTCAGTGGCAGTAAACATCACACTAAACTGATCAACACCTGAGAATAACCTCAAAATACTTGTGTACTGGAGAGATTGAAATTTACTTCTGCTCTGCTACTCACCCACCACAAACAACTGGTTCATAATCTTATTTATTCTTGCTCCTGTGTGCATCAGGCTGTGAAAATTTCACATTTTAGCTCATCCTCTAGTTTTCCACTTAGCAGGTGCATTTCAGAGGGAGATCCATGAATTCCTCAGTGCTCCATGTGGCTACAGGTCCGTTGGCTCATTCTAGAAAGACAGGATTTGTCTTCAGTGTTCTTAGCCAGCATTTTCCTGCCTGCATTGCTGTCCTGAGAGTGCTTGTCAGTGCTTTGCAAAGATCAGGGAGTTATTTCAGGCCTGGAGTGTTTTTATCTGATACATGAACAAAGCCATGGCCACCTGCTGACTGACCAGGAAAAGAGGGAAGTGTTGGGAAGGATGTGCCAAGTACAGCCCTGCTGAATGCCAGGGAGCTCTGCAACTGCTGTGTGTGTGTTTCATACCAGAGTGTGTCCTGGTTTTTTTTAGAGAAGGGGATGTGTTAACTGTGCATGGAAAAGGGTCCCTGATCCTTGTTTGCTAGCAGAAAATGACTGCTCATCCTGGTATTATCCCATTTAATGGTGTTCCAGCAAAGTGAGCAGTGCCCAAGAGCAGCATGGAGGGCATTGCAGTGACAGACTGATCAGCTGTTCCTCCAAGGACCAGGCTGTCCCAACTTCTCAAACACAGATACCCTTGCAGGAAACCCGGGTGTGTTTCCCTCCCTCAGCACCCAACTCTGCTTTAATCTGGCCATCTGTCACCTCAGAGCCCACTGTGCAATAAATGTGCTAAATGTGCCTCACCATTTGCTCTCTGGTAACTGAACTCATCTTGCTGCTTCTGGGGCTGGCTGCTGACTGAAGTCTTTTTCCCTGCTAGATATGTCCAGGGAGCTTTCTGCTAACCGAGGAAATGTTGCATTTCTCCATTAAGGAAAAGCTAAATTTAAATATTTCCTCTGCTGACAATATCAGTAAATGTCTCTTGTCCTTGTGCATTAATCTAAATTCATTCTGCTAATTTATCTCTCTTCCCTTGCAGGCAGTAGTAGCAGAAAGGAGAGTAGGGAGAGGGTAGTGAAATGGCAGAGATATTCCCTCACACCTGCATATTCTCTTACTCCAGTTGTGAGCCCTCCAAGCATTTTCTAGGCAATGCCCTGAGCAAGGTCAGGGAGACAGAGCTCCCACGTGTACTCACAGCCCCTTCTGGTCACATCATTGCCTTCCTGTCTGCTTGTTGTGCTTTGTGCTGTCTTGGAGTGTTGTTGTGACCTCTGACATGCCAGAGTGTCTGAGACAGGATCATTTTGGCTTCAGCATCACAGGGAATAAGAGACACACAGAGGAAAGTCAGATTCTGCTGCCTCTTAGACGTGATCAGAAAAGGAGACTTAGAGGGGATGGAGCAGGTGAGGTGCTCACTGGTGTTAAAAGAATTTCTAACCTGGGAATGTTTCCCCTTCAAGGTGGCAGACAGAAAGCCCAAGTCCTCAACACGAGCCTGATGCACTCAGAGTCCGAGCTGGACAGTGATGAAGCCATCTTCACGTGGCCCGACCGGGAAAAAGGGAAACTGCTCCGCAGCCAGAACGGCTCCTTGCGCAACGGACAGCTGACCCTCAAAGCCAAGAACCAGAGGGAGGAAATCCTATAGCTCCCCTTGGGCAGCCTTGGCTGGAGCTCAGCAGGGAAGGCCAATCCTGTCCCTGTCCTACCAGGGCCCTTGGAGGCCACTTTGATTAGGACAACGCTGCTAACTCGTTTCACAGAAAATAACTTTGGTTTTGTGGGTTTCTTTTCATTCAGTTAAAACTGGTTGTACTTGAATTTGAACTTCAAGGGAAATCAAAGGGAGGAGAAGGCAACTGTGAACCCCAGGAGAAGAGTCGGAAAAGGATGGAGCTGGCATCTGGAGAGGGCAGGACAGAACCACTTGGAGCAACTGTGAATGTGCAGGACCTTCCTAAGCCACCTCAGACTGCCGTGGAGGGAGCACCTGTGGACTTCCAGCTCACTTGCCTTGAGAAGGAAAGTCAAGTCCTTGAGCTTTGCTCTGAGCTCCCTTCAGGCTCCCATAGCCTATCACAGGCTACTTGTGCTGTCCAACAGCTTTCTTCTCCTTTACTCCCACCTTCCCTAATGGTTTGAGCACTATTTTAATGTAGACTTGTCCTTTCACATGCACTTGGCTGCTGTTGGGTTGTAGAGGAGGGGGAATGTAAACATTCTGGCAGTTTGCAGGTAGGAGAGGGGTTTGTGGCTGTTCCAAATCACTGCTGCTCTCATGGGCAGTGCTGGGACTTGGTGCCTGTTCATGTGTGAAAAGCTGCCCTGTGGTTACTGCCCAGGCTGGGAGACCCCCTCCTGCAGCAAAGTCCTGCTTGGTACCAGAGCTGGGGGGACACACACCCACCTTTGGTACCTGTGTCCAACGTCTGGCTTCATTCCAAAGCTGTGACATGTTCTGTGGCCCCAGCACCTTCTGTTGGTCACCAGGCCGTCCATGAGGCTGGACGTTATCCATATCTCAGTTATGGAACACTATGTACTGTGGTTTTTTGGTTTGGGTTTTTTTTCCCCTTAAAATTTGCACATCCCAGGTAATGGGGATTGGTCTCTGCAGTCCCCAGCTGGCTGCTCCCTCAGGCTGGCAGCTCACTGGCCTTGTGCTGTTGTGGCTGCAGAGCCCTGTGTGCTCCTGTCACAGCGTCAAGAGCACACGTGGTGTCCTTTTGTGGTGGAAAAGGGAACTCTGGGTACCCAGGGGTGGTGGGCAGTGCCAGCAGCACGTGGCACAGCATGCCACTGTCCCTTCTGCCTGAGCCCAAGGGCAGACAGGGGGTCCTTTCCCATTCCCACTCCCTTATCTCACTGTGCTGCTGTCGTGAGTTGCACCCTGTCCTCGGGCAGAGCTCAGCCTCGTGCTGGCATGAAGGATGCCACTGCTTCTCTGGGGATGGGTGGGCAGTTCATTGCCTTTCTTTGTGTTTAATTTAAAAACTGGAAACTGGTTTCATTGGCTTTTTTTTTTTCTTCTTATTGAGCTATGAAAGCCAAAAGGCTTTAAGTTCCTCAGTTGTATTTATATTGCTGCACTACTGATTTGTGTTGAGCTAGATGAAGATTAAACACTATTGAACGTGAGGGGGTGTTCCCTCACTGAATGTAGTCCTGGCTGCTGCTGAGTTTATTTTTTGGGCAATCAGCTGTTCCTCAGGCGCAGCACTGGAGCCTGCAGCTCTCCCAGTGCTGAGGCCATGGCATTTGCTGGTGTCACAGCACGGGCCACCCTCTGCCTGGGCTGTCTGGCATGCAGCTGGGGCTTGGCTCAGGCTTCCCCTTCCTGGAGGCTCCTGCACCCGTCCTCCCCAGGGCTCCTTCCCTCCAAACCACCCAGGCCCACAGACGGGGAGGGGATGGACCCTGGGGTGCTCCTCAGAGGGCACAGCCCAGCGCTGGCTGTCCCATGGCCACACACTTAACTCCTGGGTGACACCACCCTCTGCGTGTGCCTTCATTTGGATGTAAGTGAACAAACTGTGGGAATAGGAGGGTTTGGAGCTGCAGGGATTGAGCAGGTGTGGCCCTGAGGCTGACCTGGGAGCACTTTGTGCTGGGAGAAGGGAGCTGTTGGGCTCTGCCTGGTTCTGATCTTTGGGGATTGTGCTTTTTGAGCCCCTCGCTCCTGCCCATCCCAGGGAGGGCCCCCAGCAGCAGGTGGGGGCTCAGTCACTGGACATTGCTGCAGGGGTCAGTGCCCTTCTCAACAGACCCAGGGTGGGCTTTCCAGTGAGCCTGGCTGCTTGTTACAGCAGAGGGAATTACAATCCATGCAGCTGTAACCTCCAACACCCTTGTTCAGCTGTGGTTGTTTCCTTCAGCCCTGTGTTTCACTGTAGGGTCACAGCCCTTCACGTAGGGGTGCTGTACTGAGGGGCTGCACCCCAACCCAAGTTTGGGCTTTGGGGGAGGGCTTTGGCCTTCCCTCCCTGCCCAGTGGCTCGTAGTCACTTGCCATCTCTGAGTGCAGGTTTGTGACAGCACAGCACAAGCTCACATTAGATTCCTGGCTCCCATAAGTATTCCCTGGCTGTGCAGCCTCTTCCCCCTCCACGTGTTAACCCTCAGTGCCACCAAGCCTTCAGGAATGGGGGCAGGCTCTGCACCCCAGCTTTGGGGGGCACAAGGACGTGTGGGGCTGACAGAGCTGAGGAGACCCCCCAGGCTGAAGGTGGGAACTTCTGGCCAAAGGTAGGAGCAGGGTGGGCTGTCTGCTGCAGTGCCCCAGGAGCACAGCCCTTCCCAGGTGTGTGCACAGAGCTTTCTGGGGTTTTGGAATCCCTTTCCCTGCTCTCCTCCTCTCCCAGTGTCACTGATTTTACTGCTGGTTTGTTACCCGAGTGCCGTGAGCGTGACCTTGCTCAGGAAGGTTTCTGCATTGCTATGCTTTATGATTTCACAATTAGACACTGGCTACAAGTTGCCCACGTGTGGAAGTTAAAGGCTGAGACATCTGTCAGATGAACCAGCACCTTCACTCAGATTTGTTTCCTTTAACATATTCTCAAGTGCTGGTGAAGATGTTTGAGGCAAATTCTACTTTTGAAATAGTTTGCTCTTAAATCTTTTCCACATCCTGCTGCACAGCTGGGGGTGCCCAACCTGTCTGCACTTTGGTTAATGATGTTTGGTGATTCCACTGCTACTTGGGTCAAGACTAGATTTTTCTTTTTTTTTTTTTTAACAAAATGGTTCTTGCAAATGGGAAGATGTTTCTTGCAAATGGGAAGATGTTTTGCTGCTTTGTCCAGTTTCAGCTGTGGGACAGTTCTCACCTGAGACTTGATTTCACAGGAAAGCAAAACAGCATCTGCCCCACGCCTGCATAGCAGCACCTCCTCATGCAGCAGGGGAACATTTATTAGTTCGTGGAGTCCTTGAAGGACATGGCTGTGGCCACCCAGCTCTTGCTGGGGCTGGCTGTGTAGGGAGCACACTTCAGCCCCACGGCCACCAGGAGGGACCCGATGGCACTGGACACAGATTTTTTGGAGAGGGGAGGAGATTCACCTTCAGAGTTGCCCTTCTGTCCGTGCACAGTTCACGTGGTCCTTGGGGTGGGCTGGAGCCTCCGAGTTCACTTCCCTCAATGTCACCTAAGGACATTGGAAGCCGGATCTGCTGAGCTCCCCAGCTGCGGGCTCTGCTTGCTGGGTGGGGAGAACTTGCAGCAGCCCCGGGGCAGCGCCAGCAGAGGAAAATGGGGTTTCTCACAGCCCTGAGGGCAAAGAGCTGCTCCTGCCTCCAGCAGTTTTTGGTCTGTGTCACATCCCGAGGCGGGGATCAGGGCCTGGGCTGGAGCCTCAGAGCAGCCCCAGGCTCACAATCTGTGAAATGGGTTTTTATTGCTGGAATTTCGCAGCTCAAGAAACTGAGGCAGCTGTGACGGTGGCCAAGGCAGCAGCTCGAGGGCTCTGCCCAGCACGGCTGTCCCGCTCTTTGGTGGCTCAGCAGCCCGGGAAGCCCCGCAGTCCCTCGGGTGCCGGGATTTGGCCGCAGGCACCGAGGCCAGGAGGGGAGGTCGGGGTTGCAGTCGCAGCTACACCACTTGTGCCTCCCTAAGCAGCACCCGTGGCTGCGAAGAGTTAAAAAAACCCAAAGGCTCTTTCCGGAGCCAGAGGAGCCTGATTTTTCCTCTCTTTGTACTCATCCTGCTGCATGTGCTGTCCTTGCTCCGACCGTGTGGATTTGGCGCTGCTCCCCAGCGCCTTCCTGTCATTAGGATTCCCTGGATTGCTGCTGCTTTCCTTCTTCCAGCCGGGCTCTCCCTGACGGGAGCTCCCGCACCTCGCCCGGGTCTCCCGTAACCACGGCGGGGACGCAGTTACAATAACGATGTGCTCGGTAAATCATCCTGTGCCGAGGGTTTCGGCACGCTGCAGGGGTGCTGGTGGCTCCCGGGGGGCTGGGCACACATTGTGGTACCGCTGGCACCCTGCAGAAGTGCCAGAGATGCCACGATGTGGCACCTCCACGCCCGGCCGCGGGAGATGCCCCCGGGGCATCGAGAGCCGGGCAGGAGCTTTGGTCACGGCCCTGAGAGGGGCCGGGGTTTGCGGGGGCTCAGCTGGGGGACTGACCCTGTGCCGGTCATGTCCCCGTGGGAACTGGTCGCCCCACCACAGCCCACCTGCTGCCCGCCACCCTCACGTCCCTCCTGACCGGGCACAGACCCAGCGTCACTCCCCGGCTCGCTGCTGGCCCGCTGGGGGTTGTTACAGCATTTTGGGGTGGCGTGCCTGGCTCGGGGCAGGAATTGCAGAGCATCCCTGCTCCTGCCTCCCCTCTCCCACTGCTCCTCCTGCTGAGGCAGAGCCCGGGGGGCATCGGGGGCGATGCGGGTGCTGCGGTGGAGGCCCGCGGGCACCGTCACCCTCCGTCCATCCCTCTGTCGGTCCAGGCGGGGCCCCGTGCTCCGAGTGAGTCCGTCTTTCCATTGTTCAAACAATCTCTTTTCCACACGCGGTGCCAAAGGCTCCCCGCTCGCTCCCGCACGCGCCAGTATATTTAGCTGCCTCTAAGCCTCTACCTTTCCTTATATAGGAGAGGCCAAACGAATTTCTCACTCTCATTATTAATAGCCTGAGAGGAGCTCTTAGGAGGCTGCCAAAAATAGCAGGCAAACAGAGCGCACCCGGGGTGGGGAGGGTGTCGTGGCAGGCAGGGAGCCGCCGGGACCGCCGCGGGAGGGATGCCACGCTGCTGGTCCTGGCTTTTCCCTTTGGGAACCACGCTAAGGTGTCTCCCAGCATCCTGCCCCGGGCAGGGGGTGCCCCTTGCCCTGCCAGCTCTCTGCAGGTAGGACAGGCGGGGCTCCGGGTGGGCACAGCAGCCCTGTACCCCCGGATTTGGCGGCTGGGGATGCTGGAACAACCGCCCCGTGGGTGTTGGGGACACCCCAGGCGGGTGGCCTGGAGCAACCCAGGGATCCCCATCCCCACGGGGTCAGCTGGCCATGGGAATCTCGTGTGGCTGAGGTGGTGACAGGTTTTACCCTTCTGTGCACTCCACGAGCTCCGTTTTGCCCTCGAGCTGCCCTGGGCTGCTGCTGGGCCCAGCGGTGTGTGTCGGCTCCTCCACGGCATGGCTTTGGGCACCGCCGGGCACCCGGGGGATGTGGGGCAGGTGGCAGAGCTGGCCGGCTGTCTGCGTGCTGCTGGCAGCCCTGTCTCTGTCCGGGAGGGAGAGGGTTTCTCAGCAGAAATCACCCAGAATCGGGCACATGTGCCGGGACACCGAGACCAGGATGGGGAGAGCGAGGAGGGAGATTTGGGATGCCCAGCGAGCGAGGGGTCTTCAACTGCACCCGTAGATGTTGCATCCCCGGCAGGGTCTGCCTTAAATCCCTCCCTCCTCCCTCCCTCCCTGGCGAGGAACTTCTCCCGCTGAACTGGAGGATGCTGCAAGCTCCTGCGGACGAGCCGGAGGAGTCCTGTGGCAAAGTCAAGGCGAGCAGAGAAGCAGCGTGCTCATGCCGGGTGTCACCGCAGCTCGCTGCCGCCAGCCCAGCGTGCTGCGGCCGGTGTCACCTCCAGGACCGTGAGTGGCCTTGCGGGCGGGAGGTGCGGGGTCTGCGGGGGGCAGCGGGGCTTTCCCCGCCGCCAAGGTTTAACCTTCAGCGAGCCCGGCCGGTGCTGAGCCCGCCGGGGCCGGGGATGCTCCTGCTGCGGGGCGCCGGCAGCGGCTCGGCGTGGGCGGGGAGGGGACACCCTGGGGAGGGGGACACCGCAGCCCCCCCTGCTTGGGGCCAGCCCGGGTCAGGCGGAGGAGCGGGGGGTGGCAGAAAGTCTCTGTGTGGCTGGGGGGACAATGGGGCCCGCAGCAGGTCCCTGCTGCAGAGGGGTCCTGGGTGGTGAATGCTCGGGCTCTGCGGGCAGCACCCGGCCCTCCTGCCTGCGGGTGTCCCCCTGCACCGGGGCCGGTCACCCCCTCCCCAGGGAGCCGAGGCGCCCTCCGCCACGCAAAGTGGGGACACCCCACGCCTGTGGGATAGGGTGAGAAACCAAACTTCTGGGCACCTCGGCATCGCATTTTGGGCTCGCACGGGGGGAAGTGCTGGCCACCACGGCCGGGTGCACCAGGGTCATGCGCCCACCGCCCCGACACAGGCAATGCCGCGGGCGAAGGGACGGCAGGACAGGAGCCAGGGTGCTCTCCCAGGCACCCTGTGCCAGGACTCCCCTTGCACCCACCTCTCTCCTGCTTGCCGGGCCTCTTGGTATTTTATAAGACACTCAGCAGCTGCTGCAGTGGGTTTGCCGGGGATGGATGAGCCGGGGGAAGCCGGCTGGGGGGGCAGCGCTGGATGGGAAAACTTGGAAAGGCCCCTGCGGGGCAGCGGCTGCAGAGCTCGGCCAGGGACGCGGCGCTGGCGGAGCCGGGGGAAAAAAAAGACTCTTCCTTTTATAGCCAAGCTGGGGTTGTTGGGTGCCTGCGGACGCGAGGGTGCCACTGCGGCCGGCCCCGGCAGCCCCCCGGCGCCTTTGCCTCCCCCTGCAAAGCCGTGTGGTGCCCACAAACCACCCTGCCCGGGCACGGAGCTGCTCTCGGGGCAGGTGGAGAACACGGGGGGCTGCCCTGCCCGGGGACTCACAGGCGGTCTGCAGGCATGGAGAATTCGTGGAAGAGGGGCTGCCCCAGGCCACAGCTCCCTGGTGGGTTTCGGCTCGGGGTCTACAGCTGCAAAATGCAGCGCTGGGGCTGTGGAGAGCTCAGGGATGCCTTCGGTGGTGGGGGGCACACCCAGGGCTGCAGAGGGGTTGGTGGTGATGACAGGGAATTTCTGGGCGCAGAGAGGGCAGTGGGGAAGGACGGGTCTGTGGAACAGGGCAGGGGCAAGGAGGGGTGGTGGAAACAGGCAGGGGGGGCCCGGGCTGGAGCAGGGGACACGAGGTAGCCCGGATGCAGTGAGCATCCTGTGGAGCTGGGTGCAGCCCTCCAAGGTCACTGGGAGAGCCCAGCCGAGGGCTGTGGGAACAGTGCCATGGGCTGGGGCTGCATGGGCCTCTTGGGCTGGGGTGTCTCTAATACACCCACCCGCTCTGATACTGGGAGACTGCCCAAGGTCAGCCGAGGTGACTGGAGGTGAACTCGGCTGTGATGTGAGAGCCCTGGCTTAGCAGTTTCAGGGTGGGTTCAATTCTGAGCTTTTGGTCCTGGCAGTCCCTGGGAGCCCGGCAGTGCTGCAGCAAATGCTCAGGGCAGCATGGCACTGCACTGCAGGGCCGGCAGAGCCCCAGGGGTGCAGTGGGTGCATCTCTGCAGCCTCGGGCTCAGGACACCCACTCTCTTTGATTTGGGGTGGGACAGGGGAGCTGCTCCTGCCAGACACGCTGTGCCCCACTGCTCCTGCTGGGCTGGGCACTTGTCTTGGCTCCTGGGAGCCGTGTCTGGATCCTCAGGGCTGGATCCCTGGGGACCAGCCATGGGGGAGCTCCTGGGCTGCTGCCAGAGCATCCTCTGTGTCATGCTGTGCCCCACAGCAATGGCTGGTGTCTCAGGGATGGCACTGAGCAGTGACTCTGCTGGCTGTAGCTGCTGTGAGCTGGGCTGGTGACATGAGGCTGTATTTGGCACCCAGGGGCTCCTTGCAGGGAGCTGCGGTGTGTGTGGCCACAGCTCCCAGTGCTGAGTCACGGCCACGCCATATCCAGCCAGCCCCTCCTGCCCACAACCAGACCCCCAGGCACCCCTCACTTCCCTGTCCTGAGAGGGGGCAGGCCTGGGAACCCAGGAACACTCCCTGTACCTGCCATTGTCCCATTCCAACTGCAGATTTGGGGCTGGGAAGATCACTGAAGTCAGGGTGCATCCCCTCTGTCACCCTGCTGTCGCCAAACTGTGCTGGGCACGGGAAACCCCCACACCTCCCTTACACTGTCAAGCTCCCAGCTGAATCCCTCCTCCCATGGGCAAAGGCACCTCCAGCCTTCCCAGTCCAGAGCTGCCGTGTGGGGAGGGGGTGGGGAGGGGGTAGGGAGGGGGTGAGAGGGGCCCAGGGTCCTGTGTCCTCCTCCTGGCCCCTCAAACGAGATGGGCAGGGGCGCATGGGTGTAGGAGGTGGGTGCCCCCCTACACTTGCTTCATGTGCACCAGTCTGAACCACTGCTCTGGCACATGGAAGATATGAGGATGTGGAGTCTGGGGGTTTTGGGGGATGCAGGGGGCCGGGGAATGAGTTGGTGCATCCTGACCCAGCACAACAGCAGCAGCAGCAGCAGCAGCAGGGGGAACCCTTGCCAAGCCAGGGCTCAGGAGGATTCCCCTTTGGAAGTGGTTCCAAGCACAGGCACCCACCCTTGCCACCCATCCGTGCTGGCCCGTGTTGTCTCACAGGACACGGCCCTTGGCTGTGCCCCCTTCTCGCAGGTGCAGCTCCACAGGTTCACCCACAGACCAAACCACTGAGCATCAGCAGCATGCCAAAGCATCCCATCACCCTCAAAGGGCTGCCAAAACCCCCCAGAACACCAGCTTGGACACTCTGCAGACACCCAGGGGCTCACACACGGGCTGGCCATGGCTCCGAGCACGAGGAGCTGCAGGGTGGCTGCGGGCACAGGGGCCATCAGGGCAGTGCCTCTGCCTGGGCTGCACCGGAGAGAGGCCCTGGGGGAGGGCAGGAGCTGCTCCCCAGAACCCCTGCCCAGTCTCGGGTTTCACCATGGCCACTGGCTCCTTGCAGGATCTCACTGGGGCTGGAGGACACGGCCGGCACAGGGACAGCCCCGTGCGCTGCGCCCCCAGCCCCGCAGCGCCCGCCTCTCCCTCCCATCCCTACATACTTCTTCATATGCCCATATGGAGCCGGCAGGTGTTATGGAATGTTAAGAAGTATGTATTTTTGGGCTGGGACCCCCACAGCAGGAGCCTCCATCACCAGCAGCGGCCAGACGGCACCTCCGGAGAGACGATGCGTCCCCTGGGGCTGGTAAAAAGGAACCAGATCAACTTGCAACTGGATTTGGTCCCCTTCAACCAGCTGCAGCGGCGCATGAGCTACGGCACCAGCTGGCCCTGACCGCTGCCGCCGTGCTGCCCCGAGCGGGCTGGGGCTGAGGAGCGGCTGCCGGGAGCGGGACAGAGGGGGGTGCGGAGAGGGGCTTCGGCTGGTTTTTGAGGCTGCCCAGTGGGGAGGAGGCAGGCAGAGTGGCTTCAGATCTGCTCTCAGGGGTGGTGGTTAGCGCCGCGGAGTTTCATGGATCCCAAAGCTGCCGGGGAAGCGCCCGGTGAAGCCGCAGGAGCCCTGGCACAGGCCTGAGCCGCCCCAGCCCGGCGCGGCCTTCCCCCTCAGCTCCCGCCGCTCCCGCCCGAGCCCTTCGGGCCGAAAGGGCTCCTGAGGGGACAGCCCAGGGTGGGAACCCGAGCACGGGAGAGCTCCAGCGCCGCTCTAGCAGAGACAGCCACATCAAGAGTTAACCCGAAAGTGAAACTGAACGAGCGGTTTCAGAAAATTCTGGAATATCACCATCCACCCCTCCCCTCCCTGTCGGGATATATTCGGCCGTTTCCCTTCCTCCCTCCGAGCACAACAGACACAACAGAGGCTGGTGGCGAGGGGAGCCGCGGTCCCACGGTGCGTGTTTGGGGACAGCAGCCTTTCTCTGAGGGGGGGACAGTCATGGGGGGCTGCTCCCCTCAGCGGGCCACCACCACTCAGAGCAGCCCCCGAGCCCTGGGCCGGGCAGGAGCTTGGGCAGGGAATGGGGGGGGTCTCTGTTTTTAAGGGGCAGGGGTGTCCAGCTGGGTGGGAGAGGGGTGGCTGGGGGCGACCGTGCAGGGCAGCAAAGCCCCGCTGACCCCACCTGCTGCCTACAGAAAAAAAATCTTGTTCTTGCTTACCAAGGTACTGGGATTAGAGCAGACTCATCGCAGCTCTTACTCCCAGCCAGCCGACCATGGGTAAGTTGCATGGCTCGTGGGGTGGGGGCTGTGGGCGCTGATGTAGGACAGAACTGGGGGGGCACAGAGACCCTGGGGTTCGGCCCTTCTCCCCTCTCCTCCTGGGTGTCTGCAGGGCTGAAGGAGGGAGGCTCTGGGAGAGCGGCTGCGGCCAGCGGGAACCTGCCCTGCCTGGCACAGGGCACTGGGCTGCAGCCGGGAGGAGCTTTAGTGCCCGCACTCCTGCCCTTGTGTCACTTTTCTTCTTAGGTTTAAAATGCTTATGCATTGGCCTCCTCGTGGGACTTGTCATTGGAGCTGCATTCATAGGTGAACGTCAGGCACGACAAGAGCAGCGCTCAGCTGTGCTGGTTGTGCTGCTGAGAGGGAAGGGGCAGCTCTGGCCTGGAATTCTGCCTGTCCCCGCTGCTGCGGCCCTGCACACTGTTCCTCTCCTGCCGCCCATGGGTGTCCCTGTCCCTGCACCCCCAGCCCTCGCTCCCTGCTCTGGTCCCTGGGTGCTTTTGGGGAGGCCGGTTCTGGTGCTGGTGGCAGGGGGAGATGTGGGTCACAGCAAGCTCCTAACTCTGTGCTGTTCTCCCTGCAGCCGTGGCAAGTGGTGCACCAGTAGCCATAGCTGCAGCAGGGGTTAGCAAGACCAAGGCTGCTGCCTTCATTTTGACAGTCGGTGAGTGGGGAGGGCAGGGGAGATGGCTGTGCTGGCAGGGAACATGGGGTTGCACCCTGTGCTTGCTCTAAAGCCATACCAGTTCTTTAACTCCTCACTGGTTCAAATCTCCTCAAACTGTGGGAAAGTGATAAACCCCCTACGTGGAGGGAAAAGTCAGGACCTGCTGGCTGGTGGTCAGGGCTGAGGGCAGCAGGGCTTGTGCAGGGAGGTGACTGCTCTGTGGCAAGAAATCCTGTGTCCACTGGCAGTGCTGCTCAGAGGTAGAAATGGAGCGACTTGGCGCATCCTGACCCAGCACAACAGCAGCAGCAGCATCAGGGTAGACCCCTGCCAAGCGAAGAGCTATAGCCAAGGAGGATTCCCCTTTGGAAGTGGTTCCAAGCACAGGTTCCCACCTCTGACATCCATCATCTGTGCTGGCCCGTGTTGTCTCACAGGACACGGCCCTTGGCTGTGCCCCCTTCTCCTCGCAGGTGCAGTTCCACAGGATCACCCACAGACCAAACCACTGAGCCTGGCCTGCATCCTGGAGTATCCCATCACCCTCAAAGGGCTGCCAAAACCCCCCAAAACACCAGCCTGAACACTCTCCAGACACCCAGGGGCTCTGGGTCTGAGGCACACATGGGCTGGCCATGGCTCCAAGCACGAGGAGCTGCAGGGTGGCTGCGGGCACAGGGGCCATCAGGGCAGTGCCTCTGCCTGGGCTGCACCGGAGAGAGGCCCTGGGGGAGGGCAGGAGCTGCTCCCCAGAACCCCTGCCCAGTCTCGGGTTTCACCATGGCCACTGGCTCCTTGCAGGATCTCACTGGGGCTGGAGGACACGGCCGGCACAGGGACAGCCCCGTGCGCTGCGCCCCCAGCCCCGCAGCGCCCGCCTCTCCCTCCCATCCCTACATACTTCTCCATATGCCTATATGCACCCCGAGGATGGGACAGCCTCAGTCCAGCTCCAGCAAAGACAGCAACATCCCCTGCTTAAACAGAAAGCAAAACTGAGCGATCGATTCCACAACTTCTCGGAAATCAGTTGACTCACCCCAGCCATTCCTGGCGGGAGGGGCAGGGGTGGGTCAACATATTTTCGGGCGCCAATAGCCCCCTCAGAGCACAAAACACACACCAGACGTTGAGGTGCCGCGGTCCCACGGTGGGTGTTTGGGGACAGCAGCCTTTTTTCTGGGGCGGGGCTGGGGGGAGACAGTAACGGGGGGCTGCTCACCTCTCTGCGCCGGCGGTGCAGCCGCTGGTCCGTGGGACGGGCGGTTCTGGTGCTGGTGGCAGGGGGACATGTGGGTCACATAGGGGACACTAATGCTGCTCTGCCCTCCCTGCAGCACTGGCAAGGAATAAGCCCGTGGACTTCACTATAAATTCCACGGGTCTGCATCTCCATGTTGGTGAGTGGGGAGGGCAGGGGGGCTGGGCTGTGCTGGGTGGAACACGGGATTGTGCCCTGGGCTTACTCTGAAGCCAAAGCAGCCCTTGAACCCATCACTGGTCTGATTATGCCCAAAGTGTGGCAAAGGGATCCATCCCAAGGTAGTGGGAAGAGCCAGGATGTGCTGGGGTAGGAGTCACTGCTGAGGGCAGCAGGGGCTGTGCAGGCAGGTGACTTCTCTGTCCAAGAACGACTGTCCACTGGTAGTGGTCAGAGGCAGAAAAGGAGAGCAGAAAGGGGTTGGGTGTGCTCAGGAAACAGAGCTCCCTGCAAGCCAACTCTCTGGCACACACTGGGGAGACCCTTGCTGGAGAGACATTTTTGGCTGTGCCTGCCTTGTGCTTGTCCATCAGCAGGCAGCCTCGATGCTTCTGGGACATGACTCTCCTGTCTTTACAGGGGAAAACCAAGAGGATGATCTTCCAAAGTGCAGCCCATACAATGAGGTCCTGAAGAAGGACTCCTGATTACCACGGCTAGTGAACAGAAACAGATTTCCTGCCTTCTAAGAGGTCTGATTGATGTCTTCCCACTGCAGGAACTGGAAAGCTGTTGTATTGTGCTTTTTGTTTTATTAGTAGGTTTATGGTTTGATTTGTAATTTGGTTGATTTCTTTATGCTGTTTTCCTTTTGTCTCCACCTTTTCCCAGTTATTTTTTCAGCTAGTTTCTGTTTCTCCAGTCTTTAGCAGTTTACTGAAACTTCTGGGACATGACTCTCCTGTCTTTACAGGGGAAAACCAAGAGGATGATCTTCCAAAGTGCAGCCCATACAATGAGGTCCTGAAGAAGGACTCCTGATTACCACGGCTAGTGAACAGAAACAGATTTCCTGCCTTCTAAGAGGTCTGATTGATGTCTTCCCACTGCAGGAACTGGAAAGCTGTTGTATTGTGCTTTTTGTTTTATTAGTAGGTTTATGGTTTGATTTGTAATTTGGTTGATTTCTTTATGCTGTTTTCCTTTTGTCTCCACCTTTTCCCAGTTATTTTTTCAGCTAGTTTCTGTTTCTCCAGTCTTTAGCAGTTTACTGAAACTGTTTTTCTTCCCTTGGAATTTTATTGGTTCATATTTTGTGATCCTTGCCTTGTTTTTACTCCCAATTCTCCTGATTTGTTGACGATTGTACCTTCCCCTGAGACCTGCCCACACATAGAAGTTTTTGTTTGCCCCTTGATCGGGGTCCTGGGAGAGGAAAAGGGGAAGTTTACCATCAAATAAAGTTACCCTTGGACCCGTGTGCTTCCCTGTGTTTTATAAGGCGCCAAAACATTTGGCACATGGGATTCAACAGAGCTCCAGGGTCATCAGCTAGCTGGGGGAAAGAGAAGCAGCAGAAAGCCACCAGTGACCCACAGCTGACCCATAAAAAATTAGGATTGCCTTGATCAATCAATGCTTTGAAAGCTTTAATAAAAGTGCATTGCGGGTGAGGGTGTGTGTGCTGGTGCTTGATGTGCATCGTGGCTCAGGTTCCTGCCCCACAGCTGGGGATTTGCCGTGCTCCAGGAAGGGATTGCAGCAGGCAGCAACATCAAGACTTAACCAGAAACGAAACTGAGCGAGTGTTTTCCTTGCTGATTTATCGGAAATCAGCTGACCGGCCACACCTCCTACCTCTACGTTTCCTGCAGCCCGTGGCTCCTCAGAGCACAACAAACCCGAGAGGCTGATGTGAGGAGCCGCGGAGCTGCGGTGCGTGTTTGGGGACAGCAGCCTTTCTCTGAGGGGGGGACAGTCATGGGGGGCTGCTCACCTCGCTGCACGACCACCACGCAGAGCAGCCAGCGAGCCCTGGGCCGGGTAGGAGCTTGGGCTTGGAGGAGGGGGTCTCTTCTTGTGAGGGGAGGGGTCTCTTGGGTGGGAGAGAGGTTGATGGGGGCGATCGCGCAGGGCAGCAAAGCCCCGCTGATCCCACCTGCTGCCTATGCAAAAAAAAATCTTGTTCTCTTTTCCCAAGGGACTGGGATTAGAGCAGACTCATCGCAGCTCTCGCTCCTGTCCGGATAACCATGGGTAAGCTGTGAGACTCGTGGGGTGGGAGCCTTGGGTCCTGACAGGGGCAGCTTGCGGGGGGCACAGAGACCCTGGGGTTCGCCCCCTTTCCCCTCTCCTCCCGGGTGTCTGCAGGGCTGAAGGAGGACGGTGCTGGGAGAGCGGCTGCTGCCAGAGGGAACCTGCCCTGCCTGGCACAGGGCACGGGGCTGCAGCTGAGAGGGGCTTTAGTGCCCGCACTGCTGCCCTTCTGCCGTTTTTCTTCTTAGGTACAAGTGTAGTCACTGTTGCAATCATCACTCTGCTCGTCACTGGATGTACAGTTGTAGGTAAGAATTTGGCACGGGGTGAGCAGTGCTCAGCTGTGCTGGTTGTGCTGCTGAGAGGGAAGGGGCAGCTCTGGCCTGGAATTCTGCCTGTCCCCGCTGCTGCGGCCCTGCACACTGTTCCTCTCCTGCCACCCATGGGTGTCCCTGTCCCTGCACCCCCAGCCCTCGCTCCCCGCTCTGGTCCCTGGGTGCTTTTGGGGAGGCCGGTTCTGGTGCTGGTGGCAGGGGGAGATGTGGGTCACAGAGAGCACCCTAACTCTGTTCTGTCCTCCCTTGCAGGAGCAGCAGCAAAGGATCACACCTCTGAGGGTGAGTGGGGAGGGCAGGGGTGCTGGGCTGTGCTGGGTGGAACACGGGATTGTGCCCTGGGCTTACTCTGAAGCCAAAGCAGCCCTTGAACCCATCACTGGTCTGAAGGTAACTGTGGGAAAGAAATCAATCTCAATGTGGTGGGAAAAGTCAGGACCTGCTGGGGTAGGTGTTAGGCCTGAATGCATCAGGGGCTGTGCAGGCAGGTGACTGCTCTGTGGAAAAAAAACTCCTGTGTCCACTGGCAGCACTGGTCAGAGGTGGATATGGAGAGTAGAAAGGGGCTGGGTGTTCTCATGGAGCAGAGCTCACTGCAAGCCAAATCTCTGGCAGAGATGGGGAGACCCTGGGGAGACCTAGCAGCCTTCCAGGTGCCCCTGTAGCCCAAACCACTGATCCTCAGCTGCATCCTGGAGTATCCCATCACCCACAAAGGGCAGCCACCCTCCAAAATACCAGCCTGAGCATCCTCCAGCCACTGAGGGGCTCTGGGTCTGAGGCCAACATGGGTTGGGCATGGCTGAAAATACGAGGAGCTCCATGCTCATGGGGTGGCTGCGGGCACAGAGGTCATCTGGGCAGTGCAGGTGACAGACTGGGCTGACACGTGTTGTGTGTCCCATGCTGTAGTTCACATCTCGATTTGTCTTTGCAGGAGCTGCAGGTCTTTCTCTTGGTGCCAAAGTTGGACTGACAGCTGTGCTGGGTGCAGCTGGTGCAGCAAGTGGTGATTTGCTCTCTGAGTGAAAGAAACCACCAAGTGACAAACCTGAAAAAGGATAAAAACCCAAGTGACAAACCCAAGAAAAAGTAACTCGGGCAACAAACACGAGGAGGAGACAACTGCAGATAAGCAACCCAAGAGAAGCCAAGCAGGTTCCTGATCCCAAGGCCTTGCCATGCACAGTTGCAGGTGCTGGAAAACCCCCACAGACCCCTCAGGGCTTTGCCTCTGCTTTTAAAAGCTTTGGATTCTTGTGAGCAGCAATTTCCCTGAAGCCAATAAATGTGCTTTGCTTGCAGCAGACTTGGTGTTTCTGTGTGGCTGCAGCTCTTGGGTGATGGTGGCATTGGAGGGTGACAGAGCACAGGGCATGTTCAGTGCCCAGGCCTGCCCTGCTCGCTGAGGGTGCCCCCAGTTCCCCTGCACCACTTTGGGGCAGGGCAGTATCTACAGCCCATGCCAGAGGAGCAAAACCGAGTGTGAGTGGGAACACCAGGTGGGAACCACCAGGTGCTGCTGTGCAGGTGATCCGCTGCAATTTTAACTGTGGCTTAGAAACTGCTGAGCCCTCCCCCTAGGAAATCTGTGAGATTCTGTGTACTGCTTTGTAAACTGCTTTTAGATTCCAACGTCATACAGGAAAAGAGGATGGCTGCGCTCTTTTATTAAGTTTAAAGGTTTTTCATCACTCTTCCAGAATACAGATACGATTGAAACAAAAACTCTTTTGAGGGTCTCCATTATTCACCTATGAATACCATACATTGAGCTCTATAAATTCTCGTATTAAAAATTGTCTGTTTAATATAGGTGATGATGCAGTGGTGATCTAGTTACATCTTCTGAAGTAAAACTTTGCAGTTTTATAGCACCTTTCATCACAGGGCTGCAAAGCATCCTGTGGAATTCTGCCTCATAATGCCCAAATGGGTTGCTTGGTGTGTGTCGTGGCTCAGGTTCCTGCCCCACAGCTGGGCATTTGCCGTGCTCCAGGAAGGGATTGCAGCAGGCAGTGTTTCCAGCCTTGCTCCCTGTCCCCCTGCCCAGCCAGGGGCTGGCTCCCACTGCAGCCTGACAGTCCTGGCAGTCCCTGGGAGCCCGGCAGTGCTGCAGCAAATGCTCAGGGCAGCATGGCACTGCACTGCAGGGCCGGCAGAGCCCCAGGGGTGCAGTGGGTGTATTATGAGTATAAAGTTATCTATTTTTTTTTTTATGGTTGCAGAGCTAAAAGAAGTTGAACCAATTGCTGATAAGTTAGCTTCATTATGCAGTCACCTATTGTTGAGAGTTCTTCTTCATTTACCTGTTAATGGTTGGTGATCAGCCTGGCTGGTTGCCAGGGAGTGACACCGGACCCCTGCAGGTAGCAGGGGAAGGCTGTGACATCAGAGCTGGTATGCAGATGAGAATGCATTTCACCAAATTTTGCAATTTTCCCTGAAAAAAACCCTAAAAACAACAAGCCAACTAGAATTAAGAGGCCTAAATGATGTATAAAGGTGAGGAACTGTCTGGGATCCTCAGGGCTCGATCCCTGGGGACCAGCCATGGGGGAGCTCCTGGGCTGCTGCCAGAGCGTCCTGGGGGGAGCATGGCTTGCACCACAAGCTCTGGGGGTTTGGAGACCGGCTGTTTGGCTGGGGGCTGTCTGATTGGGGGGATTTTTTGTGCTTTTGCTTTTGGGTCTTGGTGACTCAGGGGCTTTTTGGGTTTGGGGGCCTCTGAGCCTGGCATTTTTGCCCAGGCTCCAGCCTGCCTTTTGGCTCTTCTGCCCTGGTAGGCTCTCTCCTGCATCCTGTGAGCATCACAGCACTCCTCTAATCTGCTGCTGCTCACTCTCCCTTTTTTCTCTCTGGCTTCCTCTCTCTATCTCCCCTACCACTCCTTTTCCATTTTCCTTTCTGCTTCTCTATCTTTCCTAGCACTTTTTTGTAGGGTAACATCTTGTGCTGTTTGTTTTTTTCTTTATCAATAAACTGTTTTCAGATACACTGTTGTCTCGGTTGACATCCTTCCAGATCATCTATTTTTAAAAGATTTCCTCACAGTTCCCTACGGTGGAAAGCCACAGGATCCCTGCAGAGACAACCCCAAGGTCCAATGTCCTGGAGATGGGGGAGCCCCAGCCCTGCTCCAGCAGAGACAGCAGCGTCCAGATTTGATGAGAATGAAACTGAAACTCAGTGACTGAGCAATTTCAGGGAAATTACCTGTCCTGACATTCCCTTTTGGGATCTTTCCTGCAGCACTTTGACCCTCAGAGCTCAGCACACACAGGACAGGTGGGTGGTGTGCAGTGCTGTGCTCCCACAGTGGGTGTTTGGGGACAGCAGCCTTTCTCTGGGTAGGAGGGACAGTGACAGGGGGCTGCTCCCCTCCCTGCACCAGTGGAGAGAGGTAAGCTAGCACTGAGTTACAGACTGTGGGATGTGCCTGCAGAATGCCATGGCAGCACAGAGAAGCTTGTCTCCCCTGGCCTTGGGAAGAAATGCCACTTGGGGAGTGGCATTTCTCTATGGAGAGGAGCCTGCCGGAATCTTCCAGACACCTGAACAGCACGAGATCATCCCATAGAAGGACCCTAAGAAAGCGTTAAGAGCCTTCCTGATGTGTCAATGTCTGAAAGGTCACTTTCTGAAAAAAAAAAAAAAAAACTGTACAAGGAAATAATGGGTATTGAGGAAGGCTATAAAACCAGCTCATTTCCCTCAGTAAATAACTCAGTATCCCTGCGGGTCGGAGTCCATGCACCGGCGGAGCAGCCCAGGTAACTGTGGGCAGGGCAGGAGCCTGGGCAGGGACTGAGGGGTCTCTGCTCTTATGGGATGGCTGGGGTCTCCTGGGTGGGAGAGGGGTTGCTGGGGGCAATCATGCAGGGCAGCAAAGCCCTGCTGACCCCACCTGCTGCCCATGGAAAGATTTCTTGTTCTTACTTTCCAAAGGACCGGAATTAGAGCAGACTCATTGCAGCTCTTGCTCCTGTCCAGCCAACCATGGGTAAGTTGGGGGTTCGTGGGGTCTGGGACAGGGGACCTGCAATGGCACAGACCGGAGAGGGTCACAGTGACCCTGGGGTTCGCCCTTTCTCCCCTCTCCTCCCGGGTGTCTGCAGGGCTGAAGGAGGGAGGCTCTGGGAGAGCTGCTGCTGCCAGGGAGCCGGAGGGCCGGGGGGCTGGGCTGTGCTGGCTGGGAACACCAGGTTGTAGCCTGGGCTCACTCTGAAGCCAAAGCAGCCCTTGCACCCATCACTGCTCTGAATGTGCCCAAACGGTGGAAAAGGGATCCATCCCAATGTGGTGGGAAGAGCCAGGACCTGCTGGGGTAGGGATTGCGGCTGAGGGCAGCAGGGGCTGTGCAGGGAGGTGACTGCTCTGTGGCAAAAACTCCTGTGTCCACTGGTAGCACTGGTTGGAGGCAGAAAGTGAAAGCAGAAAGTGGTTAGATGGTCTCAGAGACGAGGTGGGCAGGGGCATGGGGCTGTGGGAGGTGGTTGTCCCCCTACACTGGCCCAGCTGCACCAACCCTCAACCCTGCTGACCCAGGACAGCAGCAGCAGCACACTGGGTGTGCAGAGAGGGGTTTTGGTTGGTTTTGAGACTGCCTGGTGGGGAGGACACAGGCAGAGCGCTTCAGCTCTGCTCTCCACAGTTTCATGGATCCCAAAGCTGCCGGGGAAGCGCCCCGTGAAGCCGCAGGAGTCCTGGCACAGGCCTGAGCCGCCCCAGCCCGGCGCGGCCTTCCCCCTCAGCTCCCGCCCGAGCCCTTCGGGCCGAAAGGGCTCCTGAGGGGACAGCCCAGGGTGGGAACCCGAGCACGGGAGAGCTCCAGCGCCGCTCTAGCAGAGACAGCCACATCAAGAGTTAACCCGAAAGTGAAACTGAACGAGCGGTTTCAGAAAATTCTGGAATATCACCATCCACCCCTCCCCTCCCTGTCGGGATATATTCGGCCGTTTCCCTTCCTCCCTCCGAGCACAACAGACACAACAGAGGCTGGTGGCGAGGGGAGCCGCGGTCCCACGGTGCGTGTTTGGGGACAGCAGCCTTTCTCTGAGGGGGGGACAGTCATGGGGGGCTGCTCCCCTCAGCGGGCCACCACCACTCAGAGCAGCCCCCGAGCCCTGGGCCGGGCAGGAGCTTGGGCAGGGAATGGGGGGGGTCTCTGTTTTTAAGGGGCAGGGGTGTCCAGCTGGGTGGGAGAGGGGGGGCTGGGGGCGACCGTGCAGGGCAGCAAAGCCCCGCTGACCCCACCTGCCGCCTATGCAAAAAAAATCTCGTTTTTGCTTCCCAAGGGACTGGGATTAGAGCAGACTCATCGCAGCTCTAGCTCTGCACAGCCGATCATGCGTGAGTTGGGGGTTCGTGGGGTGGTGGGTGCGGGATCTGCAGTGGGACAGCCCGGGGGGGGCACAGAGACCCTGGGGTTCGCCCCTTCTCCCGTCTCCTCCCGGGTGTCTGCAGGGCTGAAGGAGGGAGGCTCTGGGAGAGCGGCTGCAGCCAGCGGGAACCTGCCCTGCTTGGCACGGTGGGCTGGGATCCACCTAAGGGGGGCTTTACTCTTTACTACCAACTCTCCTGCCCAGCTGTCATTTTCCTTCTTAGTTCCAGTTCCAGTCATCCTTGAAATTATAAAGGTGGTTGGATTCATTGCAGTTATCTCAGGAATTACAGTTATAGGTGAGAGTCTGGCACAGGATAAGCATCCTTTGGGTTCTCTTGTGGTGCTGCTGGTGACAGGGAAGGAGGCTGTGCAGGGAGGTGACTGCTCTGTGGCAAGAAATCCTGTGTCCATTGGCAGCAGTGGTCAGAGTTAGAAAGTGAAAGCAGAAAGGGGCTGGATGTGCTCAGGGAGCAGAGCTCACTGCTAGACCAACTCCCTGGCACAGTCCATGGAGACTGTTGCCTCTACAACCCAGAGCAGAAAGGGGCTGGATGTGCTCAGAGAGCAGAGCTCACTGCTAGACCAACTCCCTGGCACAGTCCATGGAGACTCTTGCCTCTACAACCCAGGAGAAGTCCTTGGCTGTCCCTGCCTTGTGCTTGTCCATCAGCAGACAGTGTCATCGATAATCCTGGAACTTCACACTTCTGTGTCTTTACAGGGGGGGGAAAAATGGCCTGACTCTGCCCTCTGAGCAGCACCCAATAGCATGCAGACCACAGAAACAACTTCCTCTGTTCCACAAGGGAGGAAAAGCAAGATTCCTTCCTTCCAAGCATGCTGATTCATCTCCAAACAGCAGGTGATGGAAGGGGAAATCCTTCCCACAACTTCACTGTAACTGGTTTAGATTAATTTTACTTATAAAATCATGTTAAACAATAAATGAACAGTGCCAGCATATCTGTATAGTGGTGATTGTTGTGTGTCCTGACTCAGGTTCCTGCTCAACTTCCTTTTCCATTTTCCTTTCTGCTTCTCCAACTTTTCTAGCACTTTTTTGTATCTTGTTGTGTTTGCTTTTTTCTTTATCAATAAACTGTTTTCAGATACACTGTTGTCTCGGTTGACATCCTTCCAGATCATCTATTTTTAAAAGATTTCCTCGCAGTTTCCCACGGTGGAAAGCAACAGGATCCCTGCAGAGACAAAAGCGGGAATGGCTTGCACCACAAGCTCTGGGGCTTTTTCAATTTTGGGGCCTCTGAGCCTGGCGTTTTTACTTTGGCTCCAGCCTGCCGAATATCTATGCTTCTTTGCCCTGGCCCCATGACCCCAGCCCGCTTTTTGCCCTGGCTCCAGCCTGCCTTTTGGCTCTTCTCCTCTGCCGGGTTCCCTCTCCCCCTGGCGTCTGTCCCGCCTGCCCGTGTCCCTGCCCGCCGCCCTGCCGCTCCGTCCGTGTGTTCCTGCCTCAGCCGCCTGTGTCCCACCCCGCCCGCCTCCGTCCCAGCCCGCCGTGCCGCCCGATCCCCGCCGTGCCCTGTCCCGGCTCCCACAGCTCCTGCCCCGGCTCCCGCTCACTCCCCGCGTGTCCGGCCGGGACCGCAGCGCATCCCGCGTCCTGTGAGCACCGACGGCGCTGCCCGATCTGCTGCTGCTCACTCCCGCTTTTTGCCTCTGGCTTCCTCTCTCTCAGTCTCCCCCCACTCCTTTTCCATTTTCCTTTCTGCTTCTCCAACTTTTCTAGCACTTTTTTGTATCTTGTTGTGTTTGCTTTTTTCTTTATCAATAAACTGTTTTCAGATACACTGTTGTCTCGATTAACTTAACTTCGTTCCAGATAATCTATATTTAAAAGATTTCCTTGCAGTTCCCCACAGTGGAAAGCCACAGGATCCCTGCAGGGACATCCCCAAGGTCCAATGTCCTGGAGATGGGGGAGCCCCAGCCCTGCTCCAGCAGAGACAGCAACATCAAGAGTTGATGGAAATGAAACTGAAACTCAGTGACTGAGCAATTTCAGGGAAATTACCTGTCCTGACATTCCCTTTTGGGATCTTTCCTGCAGCACTTTGACCCTCAGAGCACAGCACACACAGGACAGGTTGGTGGTGTGGGGTGCTGTGCTCCCACAGTGGGTGTTTGGGGACAGCAGCCTTTCTCTGGGTAGGAGGGACAGTGACGGGGGGCTGCTCCCCTCCCTGCACCAGTGGAGAGAGGTAAGCTAGCACTGAGTTACAGACTGTGGGATGTGCCTGCAGAATGCCATGGCAGCACAGAGAAGCTTGTCTCCCCTGACCTTGGGAGGAAATGCCACTTGGTGAACGCCCTAAGGAGAGGAGCCTGCCGGAATCTTCCAGACACCTGAACAGCACGAGATCATCCCATAGAAGGATGATAATAAAGCTTTAAGAGCGTTGCTGATGTGGCAATGTTTGATAGGTTACATAGTGAAAAAAACTTACAAGGAAATAGTGGGTCTTGAAGAAGGGTATAAAACCAGCTCCTATCTCCCAATAAATCTCTCAGTATCCCTGCAGGTCTGAGTCCCTGCCTCCTTTGTTTACACATGGGAGAGCCATGGGCTGGGCAGGAGCCTGGGCGGGGGCTGAGGGGTCTCTGCTTTTATGGCATGGCCAGGATCTCCTGGGTGGGAGAGGGGTGGTTGGTGTGATGCTACAAGTTGGCAAAGACCGCTGACCCCACCAGTCGCCCATGGAAAAACATCTCGTTCTTTCTTCTCAAGGCACCGGGATTAGAGCAGACACATCGCAGCTCTCGCTCCCTCTACCATGGGTAAGTTGGGTGACTCGTGGGGTGAGGGACACAGGATATGCATGAGGACAGATGGGGAGGCACAGTGACCCTGGGGTTTGCCCCTTCTCCCCTCTCCTCCCGGGTGTCTGCAGGGCTGAAGGAGGGCGGGGCTGGGAGAGCGGCTGCTGCCAGCGGGAACCTGCCCTGCCTGGCACAGGGCACGGGGCTGCAGCTGAGAGGAGCTTTATGGCCTGCACACCTGGCCATTTGTCATTTTCCATCTTAGGCTTTCAGCTCCTCGTGATTGCATTCCTTCTGGGACTCATCATGGGACTTCTACTTATAAGTGAGACTTTGGCATGAGATGAGCAGCACTCGGCTTCAATTCTGGGTGCTCCCACAGTGGGTGTTTGGGGACAGCAGCCTTTCTCTGAGGTGGGGGGACAGTAACGGGGGGCTGCTCCCCTCGCTGTATCAGTGGAGCAACCACCAAGCCCTGGGCGGTGGCAGGGGGAGATGTGGGTCACAGAGGGGACCCTAAAAGCTTCTCTATCTTTCCTGGAGCAGCACTATGCAAAGAGAAGATAGCCATGAAAATAAGCAAGGGATCTTTTTCCTTCTCTTTTGAAGTTGGTGAGTGGGGAGGGCCGGGGGGCTGGGCTGTGCTGGCTGGGAACACCAGGTTGTAGCCTGGGCTCACTCTGAAGCCAAAGCAGCCCTTGAACCCATCACTGCCCTGAATGTGCTCAAAATGTGGGGAAGGGCTCAATCCCAATGTGGTGTGAATAGCCAGGATGTGCTGGGGTAGGGGTTGGGGCTAGGACCCCTGCCCTGCCTGGCACAGGACTCAGGGCTCCAGCCAGGAGGAGCTTTAGTGCCCAACTCCTGCTCATCTGTCATTTTCCTTCTTAGACATTCTTCTACTTGTTGCTGCATTCCTCGTTGGAATCATGATTAGACCTGCACTTGTAGGTGAGAGTCTGGCATTGGATCAGGGGCTGTGCAGGGAGGTGACTGCTCTGTGGCAAGAACTCCTGAGTCCACTGGCAGCACTGGTCAGATGTAGAATGTGAGAGCAGAAAGGAGTTGGGTGTTCTCATGGAGCAGAGCTCCCTGCAAGCCAACTCTCTGGCACACACTGGGGAGACCCTTGCTGGAGGCACATTTTTGGCCGTGCCTGCCTTGTGCTTGTCCATCAGCAGGCAGTCTCGATGCTTCTGGGACATGACTCTCCTGTCTTTATAGGGGGGAAACAAAGGGTCAGCCCCACAGGCTGCAGCCAATGCCTTGGTGACCACAAGAAGAAAGCCTGATTACTATGGCCAGTGAACAGAAGGCGATTTCCTTCCTTCCGAACAGCCTGCTTCATTTCTTCCCACAGCATGGACTAGAATGCCCCCACTGACCAGCAGCTGCCCCTTTAACAGATTTGCATGGCTGTGTCCCTGTCCCTGCACCCCCAGCCCTCGCTCCCTGCTCTGGTCCCTGAGTGCTTTTGGGGAGGCCGATTCTGGTGCTGGTGGCAGGGGGACATGTGGGTCACAGCAAGTACAATAAAGTTCCTCTGCCCTCCCTGCAGCACTGGCAAGAGGTGAGACCATCAACTTCTCCATGAATTTCAAGTATTTTGGATTCAGTCTCCGAATTGGTGAGTGGGGAGGGTGGAGAGTTGGGCTTTGCTGGGGGTGGGGGAACACTGAGTTGTACCCTGGGCTTCCTGTAGAGCCAAATCAGCCCTTGAACCCTTCAGTGGTCTGAACCCAACTGAAAATTAGCAAAGGGATAAATCCCCAATGTGGTGGGAAGCGCCAGGGACTGCTGAGGTAGGAGTCAGGGCTGAGGACTGTGCAGGGGGGTGACTGCTCTGTGGCAAGAAATCCTGTGTCCACTGGCAGCAGTGGTCAGAGGTGGAAAGGGAGAGCAGAAAGGGGCTGGGTGTGCTCAGGGAGCAGAGCTCACTGCAGGCCAACTCCCTGGCACAGACTGGGGAGACCCTTGGTGTGCAGCCCTCTTAGCCCAAACCACTGAGCTTTGGCTACATCCTGGAGCATCCCATCACCCACAATGGGCAGACTCCCTCCAAAACACCAGCATGAGCATCTTCCAGCCACTGAGGGGCTCTGGGTCCGAGGCACACATGGGCTGGCCATTGCTCCAAGCACGAGGAGCAGTGGGGTGGCTGCAGGCACAGGAGCCATGTGGGCAGTGCCTCTGCCTGGGCTGCACTGGGCACAGGCTGAGGATGGGACGGGGGGTGGGCAGGAGGTGCTCTCCACAGCCCCTGCACAACCTCTGGCTTCATTGTGGCCACTGGCTCCCATCCAGACATTGAGGGCTCTGTTATAAACCGTGTTTGTATCACCTTGTGCCGGTGACAAAATGCTCTGTGATCTGTACTGTGCCCCATGTGTGACCTCAGGGCTCTCCCCACACTCAGCTGAGTTTCAGTTCCTGAATTCTCTCTATTATTTACCTCACATACACACATTCTGCAGCAGTGTTGGTAAACAAGGCAGCACAGTATTTCCCCAGCACCCTGAGCTTTGGCCTCCCAGGGCAGTGCCCATGTCCAGGGCCTGGGGTGGTCATGGGAGCAGGGTCCAGGTCCAGGGGTGCCCGTGTGGCCCTGCTGCCTGCACTACCCTGGGCATGGGGACACCTGATGGCAGCAGGGAGGTGAGATCTGGGGGACCTGCTCCTCCGTGGGGTGCTCCCCCTTGTTAGGGGAATGGTGGGGACCCTATGCTTAGGCAGGGCCAGCTGGGGACCCCTGAGCTGATTTCTCCTCCTCAGGACTCCTCACAGCTCTTGGTCGTTGTGCTGCTTTGGGCTGGGACAGGGGTAATTTTCCTCCCAGGGGCTGCTCTGTGGCTGTGTTTTCGTTTTGTGCCAAACACGAGGTTGATGATACAGAGATTTTTTTCGCGTTGAGTTTGCCTAGAGCCGAGGCATTTGCAAGCACTCACACAGCCATGCTGGGGAGGGATTTGGGAGTGTGTGGGAGGTTGGGAGGAGACGTGGGAGGGACAGGTGACCCCAAGAGAACCAATGGGATATCCCAGGCCGTGTGACATAACAGGAATGGACAAAGGAGGGGACATTTGGAATGATGGAGTTTCTCTTCTCGCGTCTGTCCCGTCTGCAGGAGTCCCGCTCTCCTGGAGGAGCTGAACCCCTCCCTGCCCACGGGAAGCAGGGATGAAATTCCCGGGTTTGCTTTGCTTGCGTGCACGGCTTTTTGCTTTCCCTATTAAACTGTTTATTTCAACCCATAAGTTTTCTAGTTTTTACCGTTCCATTCTGTCCCCGGTCCCGGTGGGGGGTGGAGGTGATGAGCAAGCAGCTGCGAGGTGCTTGGGGCTGCTGGGGTTAAGCTTCGACAGCCACACAGGGCTCTGGTTTGGCTGCCGTGCCGTGACTCTTCGGTATACAACAGGACCCTTGCAATTGTCTGCCGTGACCCCACACTCTGGAACGCCCCTGGTACCGCGGCTGGGACCCCCACTTCTGTCCCGTGTCCCCCTTGCTGTATCTGACCGCCCGGATGAAGAGTTGCGCTCAGCCCTCTGCCTCCGGCCCGGGCGTTCCTGGGACGGGGCGGCCCCGGGGCGAGCATCGGGACCATTGCAGACCACCGGGCACCGCAGAACCATTCCAGTCCACCGGGCACCGCGGGACCTTTCCAGACCATCGGGCACCGCAGAACCATTCCAGTCCACCGGGCACCGCGGGACCGTTCCAGTCCACTGAATACCGTGGGACCATTCCAGTCAACCGGGCACCGTGGGCAGGTGAGCAACGCTGGTGGCAGGTGGGCAACGCGGGCAGCGCTGCTTCCTTCCCTCTTCCATTTTCCCTGTCCTCTTCCTCTTCGTTTTCCTTTTCCTCTTTCTCTTTTCTCTCCTGCCTTCCTGCCTTTTTCCCTCTTAGCTGTGAGACACAGAGGCAAAGGAGCTGCCACTGGAGCAGTTGCCCGAGCAGGTAAAGGTCTGGCACTCGGGGTCACTGCCAGGCTGGGGGCTGCGAGTGCTGGGGCCCAAGAGACTCAGGGTGCTGCTGTGAGGGAGAGGCAGCACCAGCCTCGAGCTGCAGGTTTCTCTCTTGGTGCCAAAATTGGGCTGACACCTATCCTGCTGTCACTTGGTGCAGGAGACTCTGCCAAGATGTCCAAGAGGAAGCCAACTCCAGAGGAGGAACCCAAGAAGGCGATAATTGTATATTTGAAATCTGGGGAGCACACAGCTCCTGGTGATGAGCCCAAGAAGGAGACAAATTCAGATGAGAAATCCTGGGATGACCCAAATCATGGTGACAAGCCCAAGGATGGGGATTGTCCTGGAGATGGTCCTGACAATGGTCCTGACAGTGGTCCTGACAGTGGTCCTGACAATAGTCCTGATGGTGGTCCCAAGGATGTGGATAATCCAGGTAAAATGCAGGGGAAGTTTGGGTGAGACATCAGGAAAAAATTCTTCACTGAAAGACTGACTGGGCACTAGAATTGTCTGCCCATGGAGGTGGTGGAGTCACCATCCCTGGATGTGTTTAAAAAGACACTGGACGTGGCACTCAGTGCCATGGTTAAGTTGATGGGGGGGTGTTAGGTCATAGGCTGGACTTGATCTCAAAGGTCTTTTCCGGCCCAGTTAATTCTGTAATTCTTTGTGACTTCCCAAGAGAAGCCAAGCAGATGCCTGACCCCAAGGTCTCTGCCAGGCAGCCTGGTAGGCACTGGGAAGCCCCAGAAGCTTGGGCACCTCCTCCTGTATCACTCCTACACCCCTGAAGAGCTGTAGGAGCGATAGGTGCTGCGAAAGCAGAAGTGCATTGCAGGAGGGGCTGTAGTGGTGGTGGGTGTGCAGTTGGGGTGTGGGTACCTGCTGAGTGCCCTGGAATTTGCTGTCCTCCAGAAAGGGATTCCAGTGGGCAGTGTTGCCATCCCTGCTCCCTCTCCCCCTGCACAGGGAAGGGCTGGCAAGGCAGTGGGTGAGTTTGTTATAAACTCTGATTCATCTTGTGCTGGTGGCAGGTGACAGACTGGGCTGACACGTGTTGTGTCCCCCGTGCTGTTCCAGGGAGTTCACATCTCGATTTGTCTTTGCAGGAGCTGCAGGTCTTTCTGTTGGTGCCAAAGCTGGCCTGACTTCTGCCCTGGGCTCAGCTGGTGCAGCAAGTGGTGCCTGGCTGTCCAAAGGGAAGAAACCTCCAAGTGACAAACCTAAAAAATGATAAAAACTCAAGTGACAAACCCAAGAAAAAATAACTCAGGTGACAAACGTGAGGATGAGACAATTCCAGACAAGCAACCCAAGAGAAGCCAAGCAGGTTCCTGATCCCAAGGCCTTGCCATGCACAGTTGCAGGTGCTGGAAAACCCCCACAGACCCCTCAGGGCTTTGCCTCTGCTTTTAAAAGCTTTGGATTCTTGTGAGCAGCAATTTCCCTGAAGCCAATAAATGTGCTTTGCTTGCAGCAGACTTGGTGTTTCTGTGTGGCTGCAGCTCTTGGGTGATGGTGGCATTGGAGGGTGACAGAGCACAGGGCATGTTCAGTGCCCAGGCCTGCCCTGCTCGCTGAGGGTGCCCCCAGTTCCCCTGCACCACTTTGGGGCAGGGCAGTATCTACAGCCCATGCCAGAGGAGCAAAACCGAGTGTGAGTGGGAACACCAGGTGGGAACCACCAGGTGCTGCTGTGCAGGTGATCTGCTGCAATTTTAACTGTGGCTTAGAAACTGCTGAGCCCTCCCCCTAGGAAATCTGTGAGATTCTGTGTACTGCTTTGTAAACTGCTTTTAGATTCCAACGTCATAGAGGAAAAGAGGATGGCTGCGCTCTTTTATTAAGTTTAAAGGTTTTTCATCACTCTTCCAGAATACAGATACGATTGAAACAAAAACTCTTTTGAGGGTCTCCATTATTCACCTATGAATACCATACATTGAGCTCTATAAATTCTCGTATTAAAAATTGTCTGTTTAATATAGGTGATGATGCAGTGGTGATCTAGTTACATCTTCTGAAGTAAAACTTTGCAGTTTTATAGCACCTTTCATCACAGGGCTGCAAAGCATCCTGTGGAACTCTGCCTCATAATGCCCAAACGAGGTAGGAAAGTCTGGCCAATTTACAGAGGGTACAACCCAGGTACAGATTGGAAGGGACAGACATGGGGACATCGACTCTCAGGAGTGACAGGAGGTGTGCACTGGGGCTGGGGGATGAGTTGGCACCTTAGCTGGGGACAAAGTTCAGGTGCCATCACTCTCACCCTTCTCTCCAAATCTGCAGCCTGGCTCCCAGCAGGTGAAAAAGACCAATGCAAATTGCTCTGGCTGTTTGTCCCATAAATATGCAAAAGAGAGGATAAAAAGCCCAGCACACATAGGCCCAAGCCCCTCTGTTGACATATCCAAAGGCTGACTAAGAATCAAGACTCCCAAGCTGGAGTGTGTGGCTTGTGCTGCCCACATCCACTTGGATCTTCCAAGATTAAACCATGTTTTTGGGATTCGTTTTGAGATGTGGGGTGTAAAGCTCTGTCTAACTTCACTGTTTCATTGTCATAAATTCCCATTTCCCACCTGAGAGGTGAAAGTCAGGTATCCCAGGTCTTGTTTCTTTAATAAAAGCTGAATATCTGCTGAAAATCCATCAGCTTAGGCAATGTGATGTCCAATGGACATTTCGGTCCTGTGGCTAGAGGAATCCAAGCTGCCCAAGTTCTTTTGAGCCTTTATGACTTTAAAAAGCCTTCTGCATCTGTGTAACACTCCCTGGAGCAGAGCCAGCACTGGTGTCAGTGCCTGAGCACCAAGGACCTCCTCAGTGAGATGTTTGGAATATAAAACCATTAATCTTAGGGACTTAATATTTATATTACTGGTTTGCCATGTACCATCAATTACCTGCCTCCCCAAAGCACATTCCCAGCACCTTGCAACAGCTCTTCTGCCACTTGCTCTTCCTGGCATGTCCAAAATTGTTCCCTCTGAAAGCACAACACAACAGAAAACTTCTGGAATGCTCCTCGGGGTTGTGGTGGTAAAACTGAAGATAAAAAGACAAGTTCTTATAACTCTGCTGCTGGAAGAAGATGGTGCCAGTGGTCAGAATAAATGAGTGATTTTTCCCTTAGTTTTAAAAAATCCACCTAAAAAAAGGGCTGGGGTCAACTTCCTAACAAACAGTAACACTGTGCAAAACCATTTGACCCTCCACATCATTTCCAAAGCAATTGTTTCCTCCTGGGGAAGATGCAAAGCAGAGTCAGTCCTACCTGCCCAGCTCTGTGGTGCTGGAGCAAAGGGATTTCCCTGTCAGGCAAAGGAGGGGATCCCATGGGGACTCCTCTGTCACGTCACCCCTTGCAGGTGTGAAGCTCTGGCAACATGAGACAAGACCTGCAGCTCTCAAAAGCACAACACACCCATTTCAGTGCTCCCAAAAGTCCTTCTATCCTTTCTTCTCAGCAATGGTCTGTGATTTTTACAGACTTTTGGTGCTCATACACAGGTAAAGCAAAAAAAAAAACCCCAACAGTTAATGTTCAGGAGCTCAAGGGCTCAAAACTAATTTCTTACATAGCATCTTACAAGGCTGATGATGCTACAGGGGAAGTACTGCCAGGGAGCAGCTCTTTAATGAGGGTAGCAAATATTTGTTTTTCCTCTGGCATGTTTAAAAAGGTCAAGGAAGAATGGGGAGGAACCTGTTGTGCTGAGAGGAGCAAAGCTCCAGCCATGTCAGGGTTATGAGCACAGTAAGCATTGGGTGCAGGAGCATTTGTTCTGGGTTTTTGGTTCTTAAGGCAACAGTGAAACTGCTGCTCTGGGGCTGGGCAGTTACTGAGATTGTTACCAAAAGCCCAATGACTTTATTGCACATTCCTCTGAGTCACCTCTGTGAGCCCTGGCACTGAAGCAGCAGCACAGCTGGGGACACGTGATGAGGGACTTTGCTGCTGTTTTAAGTCTCTGAGGAGTTGGAAACTATTCCAGAGAGATCCTGGGATGTTGGCAGAATAATTCCCAAGGTAATTTAACTTCCTTTTGTACCTAGTTCTGTGGCTTTTCATGTGCCCCCAGTCCCCTTCTTTAGTGAACTGAAGCCAGGATGGAGCAGCAGGTTTGCACCTCCTGCACTGGGAGCTGCTGGAACCCTGGTAGCAGGAAGTTTTCCATTTTTCTTTCTCACACCCATCTTTATTGCTTCTCTGTCCACACTGAAACTACAGTTTAAGACTGGATGTGGCACTCAGTGCCGTGGTCTGGTTGCCAAGCTGGTGTTAGGTCTCAGGATGGACTTGATGATCTCAAAGGTCTTTTCCAGCCCAGTTAAATTTAGGGTTCAGCAGGACACAGCATGATTTTTTTGCTTAAAAGAATATTTCAATAAATGTTGTGTGCTCAGCAGTCAGAAATGTTGATTAGAAACAAGATTGTGTTCAGAACTTTGAGCCTGTGTGTATAATTTGTATATACTTTAATCCTTCAAGGTAATCCTTCTTGTGATAACAGCGTGAACTTGAGCTGAGGTGACAAGAAATCCCTCAAGAGGCAAAAACAGCCCAGGCAGACTCTGGGAAAAGCAGACCATTGCCAAAGAGCCTCCAAGCAGGAGTGAAATAGAAACTAAAACTACTTACTGTGTTAATTATTACCATGGAACTGCAATGAAATGTTTCTCACGTCACAGCCACCACACCAAAGGAGTTTACACAATGTTTAACAACTCTGCTGTCAGCCAGTGAAAGTTGAAGTGATTCTCTTGCCTTGCTGAGAGAATCTGAAAGGTAAGTATCTTTCATTCTAAGTGCCTGCAAAAAATTGACCTCAATGAAGGTGTTCCCAGACAAGAAAAAGTGAGGATGCTCAGAGGAAGAAAAGTGTTTCTCATAAGGTACAAATATCCTACATTATTCTACAGGAATATTTCTGTTAAGGAACACTCAACTTTGGAATTATTTTTCACACCACCCCCATCCTGCCCTCCCCACAGCCTGTCCTCACTGCTGCCTTGCTCATTCCCAGGGGGGTCAGGGAAGGGGGGAGCACCCCCAGCAGCTGCCCAGGAGACACAGGAATTCCTGGAGCCTCCCCTGTGCTATGGCCACCGAGGCTCTGGGCACAGCTGTGAGCAGCAGACACACCTCAGACATCCTTAATCCCCTACAAACTGATCTTTCCAGCACGGTTTTCCTTTCCCTGAACCTTCCCAATCCAAACCACTCTGCCTGCAATGTCACCATTCAGTGTAACAGTGGGGAGGGGCAGGTTGGTGTCACAGAGCAAGAACTGAGCCTGCAGGAGCATCCCTGTGCTGAGGAGTGGCCAAAACATCTCCCCCTGCCAGGCCATGGAGAAAGCAGAACCTTTGCTCAGAAATGACAGACACAGATGGGCTTTGGTCAGACAGAATCAGGGGCAGGTTTTACTTTTCACATAATTTTCTGTATTAAAAAATACATCAGTGAAATCTGTTACAGGCAGGGACAGGACTACCGAGTACACAACGTCAATAGACTACTTTCTGATTTTATTTTTGTTAAATTACTTTTGTAACTGCTAAAAAAATAATAATAAAAAAAAAAAAAACAACCAACCAAAACAAAACAAAAAACCTGAAATATTATTCAAGGCTGTTGATTTTCATCTCTTGAAATTTTAGTGACAAGCTCAAATATCAGACCCTTGTTACAGAAGATGGATAACTGACCAGAGCTAGATAAAAACCATACAATTCTCCTCTTCAAAAATAGCTTGGGTTTCCAATGAATTTGTGACCAGTGGTCATCAGAAACACACACCTAGAGCTTGAGAAAACAGAGATACAGACAGTATCTGATAATGTCCTGTCCTCTAAACACCACATGGGAGCTTTACTCTTCCAAAAGACTCAGTAACAGCCAAGCCTTAAAAAAAATCTCTTTCAATTTCCAACACTATGACTAAATCTCTTTGGGTGGGGCGGGATAAAAACACACATGGTCATTTTCTACCACAGTTCTGTTCTCAGAAGTAATACTGCATCCCTTGTACAACACTTTGCCCGTGTTGCAAAGGAAAGAGAAAGAGTGTGTGTGTGTATTCCTGTTTGAAATGACAAAGCCCTCTCTAGATTTGCCTTAAAAAAGAATCAAAACCATAGAGTAGGGAAAGAGGAGAAAGGAAAGCTGCCTTAAGGGAAATAAACTTTCCACGCACCACAGTATTCATTGGTTATATGGACAGACTGCAGAGCTACTGGGCTGGGAAAGGAATTCTGCACAGAGCCAGGACATCCCCTCCTGGACACTCCCCAAAGGTCACTCGGAAGTTTGACCTAGAGCACCTCTTCCAACACAGCCAGGGTTGGCGCGAGGCCGGAGCGGGAGCTGGAGCCCGGCCTCGTGTGACCAGTTAACAGCAGCCAGAGTTGTCCCTTGGGATGGCCAGTGGCTCCTGCCTTCCTAACATTTGATCCCAGTTTCCAAAAAAAAAAAAAAATTATAAAAGTGTAGGTGTAGGTGTATTTATAACAGAAGGTGTCTGCTTGTCTAAAGCTCACCCCTTTCTCTCGTATCCTCTGGAAGAGCTCAAGGATCTCCACGTGTTCCTTGGCAGCAGGCTGGGAAGTCACCTGAGCCACAATCTAGCTCTCCATGCCCACCAGTGTGAGGGTAGATTTTACACAACCATTTTCCTTAAAAATATCTCACAACTTTTAAAAATCCTAAACAGATAAAGGATTTATGCACCAATCCAATGGGTGAGTTCCACTTGGATTTGTTCTGAGGATTGATCCGTGCTGCAGGACGTTGGGATTTGCAGCTTACACAGCTTGCTTCCTTCCAGTTCCAGTTTGTACATCCACTGTGGTACAAAATCTGCCTGTAGGTGACATTATCTTGGCTTATTTGATACACATTTTCCAAAGGCTGGACGTATTCACATTTTGGTGCTTCTGATGTGTATTCAAAGGAAAATACCCCACTGCAGTTAGTCTGATAACTCAATATCAGAGTCCTCTGATTTGACTTTGGCAAGTTCTTCATGTACCTCCCTCACCATAAGAATCCTTGTTAACATGATGTCCAAGGTTCCTGGGTCTATTGGCAATGTGGAATACCATATGGGGCTGTTGGGAACACAGGAGCGCTCGGGCTGCAGGTAGAACACATCACTCCTCTGCTTCACGCTTTCAGAACTGCCAAGGCAAAGGAAACAAGGTTTAGGAACATCACGCTGCATTTACAATCTTACCAACAGTTTAAGAGACAGTCAGCAAAGAAATCAGAGTTACACTGGCATGGCAACACTGTCTCCCCCTTCCTAGAGAGAACAGTTAAGTTGTTTCCAGGTCACTCAGCGTTAGTTGCTTATAAAGAAACAAAGAAAATCAAAGCAATTTCTTTACAGCAGTGGTTCTTCAGTGTCATTCAATTAATGGTAGAGTGATAAATGCATTTGACATACAATCTCTGAGGGAACCTGGTTCTGGGATTCCAGAACTGCTGAAAATGGCTCAAGGCTTAGACTGGATATTAGTGAAAATTTCTTCACTGAAAGGGTTGTCCAGCCCTGGCACAGCTGCCCAGGGCAGTGGTGGAGTCCCTGTCCCTGGAGGGATTTAACAGCCATGTGGATGTGGCACTTGGGGACATGGGTTGTGTTGCCCTTGGCAGTGCTGGGAGAACAGCTGCATTTGATGAGCTTAGAGGGGTTTTTGAACCTAAATGATTCTAAGGTTGTGTTTAAGAGTGAGTAAAACCAAATCCCAGCTTGCCTGACCATGCTGCAATGCCAAGCCCATCTGCCTGAAAGCCTGACTGAGTCCAAGGCAGCTTCCAGGCTCTGGTAGGGTTCTAAGTCCCTCCTGCCTGGTTTTGGGATAATCACACCAAAACAGCAAAGGGAATTTGTACTGCTGCCTGCACCACTGCAGGGACTCAGCTATGAAATATGATGGGGAGCAGGAAAATGCTTTCCCAGACCAAGAACAATTAAAAGCTTCTAATAATGTGCCAGTGAAGACAAGGAATGTAAGAAGAGGGAGAGAAAGAATCTGGACAGCTGCATGCCTGTCTGTGCCTCAGTAATGGGATATTTGTAGTAAGCTCAGTAGGTACATTTCTGAGGGTGATTTATCTGAGTTTCAGCTGACACTAATGAGATGCTGTTTCATTCTGCATGTGTATTTTCTTTGAAGAGAGAAGAACATCATCTTCCACCTGCTCAAGGATCTAACTGAAGTTTATATAGAAACAGGAAAGAAAAATGATTTATATCTCTGTCCTTGCTATAGTCTCCTTCCTAACTCCTAAACATAAGTTAATCTCACATCTCAGCAGGCAAAATTCATCAGGATTTTTACCTAATTCATTCTTCTCCTACACTCTTTCACAAGGAACATGATATTCCTTGGGTATTAGTTATAATCTCCTCACAACAAGGATGGTGTATGGGAATTAAGGGAGATGAGAATGCCATGGGCACTGTAGTAATGTCAAAGAATTTATTTATTTAAAGATTTATTTATTTAAAATACATCTCTCTCTGTAACTCTGTTCTTGACTTAACACCAGTAACAAAAAACAACCAAACGCTGTTTGGGAGTCTCACAGCAGTGCAGCTGTTGGAATTCCTGTTCTGCTCCCATTGAGGGATTGGGAACTGGGGAGAGGAACCACAGCACAGGCACAGAAGGTCTGAGTGGGCTCCTTGCCCCAGTGCCTGTTCTAATGTACACACAGTCCAAAACTCAAGTTCTGTCACTTACCATTTTGATAAGTAAAATTCATAGAGTCGGACTGGGCACCGGAGGGGATTATCTGTGTTTTCAGCCATTTCCACTGCAGTTGGAACCTCCTCATCTTCACTGCGTTTCCTTTTGCCTACTGATAATTTATCTGGATACACAAAAATGGCATCATAGAAGTTCAGTGAAAAGAGCACCTTCAGAAACAAGGCCTGGTGTCTCAGCCCAGCACCCAGTGGTGACTGCATCACCCAAACCCACTCCTTGAACTGGTTCTGTCTTGTGTCACCATCCAACCATGGTCACCTGGTGTGATCTGCTGGGTGGGCAAGGACTGCACATCCTACAGGCCAGGTCCACAGCCCATTCCTCATCTAGAAAACCCACAAGAACTAGCAGGAAAATATGGAGGACATAATTTTACTTATTAAAGATGAATTCATGTAATGCACTGGAACTGTGAACTGAAGAAGCCAAAAGGATCAAAGACTTCCCCTTCCCAAGTACCAAAATTAACAGAACAAAAATCTGTGTGTCTGTCTCTGAGTGCAAGCCCCATATTGTTGTTCTCCACTTGGGCTGCCTGGTCTGTTCCCCACACACACCCAGGACAAATATGGGAATTAAAAAGGCATAATAAAGGTCTGGACCTGCAAAACCCAGGATTATGAAGTGCTGAGAAAAGGACTTCAGAAAAGGCCTTTAACTCTTGCAGTATTAATAGAGCTTTATAGATAAATAAATATATTTATTTATTAATAGAGCTGAGGATGTTATGAAAGACTATAAATTTAAAAAGGCATAATAAAGGTCTGGACCTGCAAAACCCAGGATTATGAAGTGCTGAGAAAAGGACTTCAGAAAAGGCCTTTAACTCTTGCAGTATTAATAGAGCTTTATGCAAGCTGAGGATGTTATGAAAGACTATTAAACAAATTTACAGCCAAATCTGTGACACCTTTTTAAATTTTTCCTGGGTGCCTTGGCTCATTCAGAATTTCTCTTTAAAGCAGAGAAAAACACTGCAAATGTATTCAGGATAACAGCATATGCTTAGCTCTGCTTGCTGCAGAACATGTTTCTCCCCTGTCCTTTATAAAAGAGAAGCAGACAACACAAAATCACAGAATTCTCTGATTCTGTAACTCAGACCACACAAATGTGACTGCCCAAACACCAATGATCAGAGAGCACTCACCTGATTCTACCTCTTGTTTTGGAAAGGGTGGGAAAAAACGTAAATATGTCATCTTAGTATTATACTTCAGAGTTCGGGTGCGCCTCATAACGTGGGCAAAGGACAGTTTCAGGTGCTCACTGACATTCTTTAGTTGGAAGTATTTGGTGTTGAAGAACAGAAGAGTGTTCAACAAAACGATGGGGGAATATGCACCCAGCTGCTTACATTCCCACAAGTGTTCCTCTTCAATTCTTGAGAACATATAACCTACAAAGAATGGGCAAAGAAAAAAGGAAATAGTTATTTATGCATATAAATTATCTTTCAGCTAACCTCTATTAATGAACCACATATCAAATCAAATTCACACCTATCATCAGCAACTGTAATCCAAAAATACCAGAATACTGCATGCACAAACATAAGAGGGAGCATGGAGAACCAAGCTGTGGAACAGCATGATCTTCCAATACCTGAAGAGAAGGATAAAAAGGAACTGCAAACACCAGCAGATTCTCACTAAGTTCTAATTTCACTGTGTTAAACCACACTCAGCCAACTGCAACAATGTGTAATTCCTACAACGTGAAGTATGAATTTAAAATGTCCCATTTTGTGTATAAATACCCCATTGTGATTATCCTAAATCAGGAAAGGGAGATGTGGGGGCTTAGAAGAAATTTGTTGTAAAAAATATCACTGTGTGCAGCAAGCTACAGGTAATTGGATTATTTCTGTGTTAAATAAAAAGTTCATTTTTCTAAATGAAAAGGCAGTTGTGGAGTTGCCAACATTATTCAAATTTCACTGATCCTCTAAAAATGTTGTGTGCTCATAGGGCTGGTGTCCAGCTCTATAAACCACATAATCAGGCTTGAAAACCAATTAAAAAGTATCTGCAGACTTTGGGAAGTCTGAATTTGGAGTTGAGACAAGATTCCAGTGATTTGCTAATGTGATCCCCAAACTCACCAGGAGTATTTCCAGCACTAACAGGGAAATATCAGTGCAACTATACACAAATCTTACAGTACCTCATCTCAAATACAGAATTAAATTCTGGCTACTTGTATTAAAAAAGAATTAAAATTTGAGGGAAGAAGAAAACGAAGTGTTGAGTGGCAGAATGGAAATCCTTTCTTTCCAAGGATTGATCAGAGGCAAAGATACATTTATGTGTAATCATAAGTGGTAGAAACAGACATAAAATCCATGGTGTAGAGAGGGAAGACATGTGAGAGCTTCAGATCACATTCTCTTCCTGGCCCTGAGAAAAAAAATTAATTTATGATACAGCCTTGTCATGCAGCTCCATAAAACAAATGAATTGTCCTACCATTTGGAAGAATTGTAGGTTCCCAGATTTTCAAAAGTTTTGTAAGTTCAATCATAAACCTGGAATAGGGCTCGGTGAAAATGTTATCTATTCTACCATTCTCAAACAGGTACTACAAGAGAAAAAAAACCAGGAAGAAAAGCAGTTTATTATTATATAACGTTGTAGAGAAGATACAGCACATCAGATTCTTTTCCTTTCTTATGTCCCAGTGGACTGTGGGGCCAAACACTGCCAGAGTTACCTGCTGAATTCCAAGGCACAAGTATAAGATGCTGTCAGGGTCGTATTTTTCTCCGTTTGGTCTCCGCACCTCTTGAATAAACTGGCACAAGCCAAAACTCAGTTCAGCAAATGTGCATGAGAGAATGTCCTCCTTGAGCTTCACAGGATGAACTGGGAAGTGATCAGAAAAAATAATTCAGCACATTAACTCTTCCCACATTCCTTATTATTTCATGTAGGCAGAATTCCTAAATTCCTGTCTCATGCGTTAATTACCCTGTATGACTAAATGGTGAACTCCTTCCTATGTGTTGGTTGAGAACTGAATGATTTGGCCAATAAAACTCAGACCAGCTGCATGTGCAATCAGTGTAAAAAGTCATGTGTCACCCCTGTGAGACATGAGGTGCAATAAAGTTAGTTTCAGGGAGGTTGCAGCACAGAATGGGCAGACTTTTGAAATGTTTCTTTCCAGCTGTGAAGCCTAGAAATAAGGTGTTAAGATTTTGATGTTGAATCAAACAATTTTTTTACAGCAAACAGTTCTGCTGACCAACAAATACTTTGGGAATGTGCCAGCTACAGATAAAATGGATGGGGCCAAGTTGGTGCTGTCAACTTAGAATTATAGCCTGATAGATCTGTAATTTCATGGTTCTATAATAGCTCAGAAAAGCTCTGCAGCTGCACAAAGCATCTGTGCTGCAAATGAAGAACTGCTGCATGCAAAGGAAGGCAAAGTGGAGATTTCTAATGCTTTAAAGACTTTTTTTAAAGGAAATAGATCAATTAAGAATGTAATAGCTACTATTTTTAAACGCATGGAAAGATGCAAGACAGAATTCTATAAAATCTGTTTTCTACTAATGGGCATTGCAAAACTCAGTGGTATCTAATCCTAATTTTTACTTGAACAATGAATCAAGCCAAGTGCTCTTCAACTAAGTATTTCTGTTTCCACTTAGAGAAAAATGTACCTGAAAACTTCAGGTCCCCTTGTTCCTCCTGTGCATTTTTCCACTGGACCCAGTTTTTCCAGGCATTTACCCCATACATGTATTTTAGGGTCATCCCAGAAACAGAGCAGCCAGGGTAGGAGCCCTGCATCAGACTCCGGGGCTCCACAGCAACCACAGACTTCTTCCGTCCCTACAGGCAAGCAAAGACATCCAAACAAAGCAGCATTTCATCAGCTCCTCGTCTATAGATGGTTAAATTAGGGCACATAATGTTTTTATTTGAAAATGTAAGGGATTTGTGTTCCAGGAGTCCTTCCTTACCCTTCTTTTTGGCTGGGGGAAGCCATCCCTGTGTCTCCGTCTTGCCCGTGAACGTGAATGCAAAGCCGGTCCTTTGCTGAGAGGGTCAAATGAGTCTGAAGTCAAATCAACACCATGAAGAGTTTAATCACATGATTTAGCAGCCCAGGTAGAAGTGTCACTGTCACTGAGATACTATGGAACACCTTACAGCTGACAATCACACCTGTATATTCAAGTCATCCTGACATTTGACTAATTCAGCAATCTGTGCACTTGCTGTATAAAGATAGTAAATTCTCAGTAGGACAAAAAAGCCCCTAAAAAAGTGGGTGTATTTATTCTTATAAATATTTATTCTTATTCTTATATTATCTTAGCAATAGGTAGAAGTGTCACTGTCACTGAGATACTATGGAACACCTTACAGCTGACAATCACACCTGTATATTCAAGTCATCCTGACATTTGTCTAATTCAGCAATCTGTTGCTGTATATAGTAAATTCTCAGTAGGACAAAGAAGTCCCTAAAAAAGTGGGTGTGTATTTATTCAGGCAAATATCTTAGCAACCACTCCACATGGATTATACCCAGGGACACAGAAGTGATGTATTCAAAGGAGGTAAGCAAGAACTTCCTGCTACCCCTGTCAGGGGTTCTGCAGAGTGCTGTCTTTAAAAACAGCAGTAATATTCTAAAAATAGTCATATTTTGTAGATGTGATCAACTGTTGCAGCTTTAAACATCCACTGTCACTACATGAAAATGCACAAGCAGGCTGCTGGGACAATGTTCATGCAGAAAATTGTGTGTGCTTTTATCAAACAATGAGTTTTCCTTCACAGGACACTGACCTGATGGGAAATCTGCCTCCAGGTCCTGTTCCACATCACCTTTGGAGAACTGCTTGAGCTCTGGATCAGGTTCTGGCAGGGCATTGGATCTTAAGGCGTAGTGATTCAACTCCTCCTCCCAGCTGTGTGGGGTGGACACTGCTTCTGATTCCAGATCTCCACTGTACGTGCTGCCCTGGTCTGCAACGAGAGGGACCACAAGGACCATGTGCTACAGGAAAGGCAGAACCAGGAGTTTGCAAGAAAAGATGCAGCAGGAACAAAATCCATTTGTAAAATGAAGAAATCTGACTGACCTTTCTCAAATATCTTGGGGTCCAGGAAGAGCTCGTGCTCGGATGTTTGAGATCCTTTAGAAAAAGAAGGAAATCTGTATCTACACATGACTGACAGTTTGCACAACTAATATAAAATACTTTTAACAGCAAAAACCTAGCTATTAGGTCATAACATGAACACACATGCTGTGCCTTCTCCTCCACTGGAGCTTTTCTAGCAGCTTTCTACCTTGGTCATGCTATTGCAGGGGAAACAGAAATCACAGCTAACGTAGGTTTGCTTTTCCAAAGGCTTCCATCCCTCCCTGTTTGGTATTTGAGTCATCTGGAGACCAGTTGGATGTTTTGTTTATCTCTTTCCAGCTTGTTTCACTTTCATTAAATGGATTGGTCACTCTCTAACAAACTCTGACCTGCCTCACTCTTCAAGAATCCTCCGTAAAAAGCCCGAGAGGAAAACTTTCTTTTAAGGCAGCTGCTCTGTCTTCTTGATTTTGACTCTTCCTTCTAACACTTGATGTACTGATATGGAGGTTTCTACCTCTGGTAACCTGTCCCTGTCAACACAAGTCAAATCAGCATCTAGAATCAGGGAAAGGGAAACTTCTGTGGTGAGAGGACCTTCACCTCACTGCATTTCATATCCTTTTAAAGCCACCACCTACCACCATGAGAGTGTGTTTTTTCTCTCTCTGCATCTTCTGCAATCATTTCTGCCATCTGAAGGAGATCTGCTTCAAATGGATTAATGGAAATCTTTTCCTTGTTTTCCTGAATGTTTTCAATGATCTTATCAGCATTATCCGGGGTGGTTGGGATGAGCATGGGAACTGGTACCTATGGAACATGTGGAAAATATCAGAACATACTTGGGGTGAAGGGAAACAGTAAATACACTAGGGAGGTCCCTCCCATTTAACCTTATGTATATTTTAGGACTACTAAAATGAAGTAAAAAATAACTCCAGACTGGACAGCTCTGTACTCTCCCTACAATTTGGTAGTTTTGTGTGACAATGTTTAACCAAATGTGATGTAATAAGGAGGGAAATGGCTTCAAGGACTCCAAATACCACTTGCATGACCAGACCCAGCACCCAGTGACACAGTGCTGGGTGTGCTGGATGCAAATCAAGCCTGTAAACCATTGCTTTCTGTAGTGAACTGCAGCATAACTTACAGGTACTGGCATTCCCAGGGGAACTGGTGTGTACTGGGTGTAGAGGTGGAGGGGCACTGGCACAAACACTGGTACAGGAACAGGTACCACAATGATCTGGGGCTGAGGAGGTGCTTCTTCTCCTTCTGTTATACCAAAAACAGAACAGATCAAAAATTATTGGAAAATACCATACAACAACCTGAAAACTAATTAAGGTTTAATAATACATTCAAAAATATTCTCTGCTACATAAATCATGCATTGCTCTCAAATGCAGTACAGACAATTCCAACAGGGGTAGGAGATCAGACACCCACCTGTCTGGCATTCTTTGTTTTGTGTGTGAGGTTTGCAGGAGGTGGCCTTAGTCTGGGTGATTGGCTTACACAATAAAGCTTTGTTTTTCAGAAGCCTGGGTGGTTTTGATGATGGGAGCTTTAGGGCATCTGTCTGGGTACTTGCCTGTTTGGAAAACACAAATGAGGGTCGAGTCAGTATTGGTTTGAAAGATAACACAAGACTAGAGTTTGTTCTATACTACGGGAAGCTGAACAATTTAAAATTGTATTTGCTGATAAAAATGGTCATTTAAAAAACCACTGCAAAATAAGCTTGCTTATTTGGTGCTTTCTGGTTTCCATCTCAATTTACTTTGATCCAACAATAATGTTGTTTAAAGCTAATTTTGCTAATAAAGCTTATTTTGTTAACAGTGCAGTGAACAAATCTGCAAGAATATTTGGTTTCTGTCATCAAATAACTGCTATAAACTTTTGACCTTGGAATTTTATTGATGGCAGAGATATAAAGAGGAATTATGTTAAGATACTTTTGATGACTAAAAGTCTGGCTGATACAGACACCAATAAAACTGAGTAAACTAATGTGAAACCACTGAAAACAAATAAATGTAAAAAATGAACAGCAAAGCTGGCAGCAGCAGCAGCATTTCCTGATACACACAGACAGACTATTCATGCTTGTACTAATGTCCTGCTAACTGCAATTTTCAGTCATGCATTCAAATAACAGGATCTATTTCAAGAGGGAACACTCATACTCTAATCCATAAGTGACACTCCAGCTAAAAGCAAAGCTGTCAGTCTTCCAGAACCTAAAGCTACATAAAAGCATCTCTGTGTTTTAGGAGAGTTGCAAGATGTTACACCACATACCTCAAAGAGCTCAGGAACATGAACTCTCTGAGTTATTCCTAGATAAGTGGTGACAGTGGTTCCCCACAGCTCTGTTACCACACTGCCAGGCAGTGGGAAAGGAAAATGGAGCTGCAGGAGCTTGGTCATGTCAGTCCCAGCAGCCCAGGCTGGTCCTTTTGCTATCCTATCCCACTTCTGTGCACAAAAGGCAGCCTCAAGTGCAGAAGTCACACATGAATTACTTGGGAACCACAGACACCTCAAGAGCTACAATCTGACAAGTTTTGCCTTAAAACATCCAAATCTGTCAGTGGACACAAGACTTTTGTGCCATCTAAGTTCTATCCATTTTTTAAAAAGCATCTGCAAGCTGCATGAATTTTAAATCCTCATCAAAAATTAGTTACACAATGATAGTGCCAAACTCTTGGATACTTTATTTGTTATTGATACAATCTGGGCAAAACTGAAAAAAGTTTCTTGTAAAACTTACATCTCCTATTGTTTTTGCTGTCACAGTAGGGACTGCACCTGTGAAGGAAAAAAACCATACAATAACATGTCTACTTATCATCAAGAACAACAATCCATATTCTGCCAAGGTCAAGAAAAAGAATTCCAATTAAAACTCATTCCCTGATGTATGTACATAAATTTAAGTCATTATTTATACCTAGATAAAGGAAGGACAAAAGCAATCATCTGCAGTGATGTGAAGCATAATGAAGAAGTGGCCGTTGTTCTCAGTAAAATCCCTGAGCAAATATAAATGTTCAGGAATAGAGATGTAAAAGTACAGGCATCGTATTCAGCTGCCTTACCCTGTAAAACATTGTTGGAGTTAACAGTAGGCTGGGCAGCTGGGGTGCTTGCAAGGGACACCACGTTTGCTATGACAGGGGTTGAGTCCTTTCTTAAAGAAGGAGGGCCTGAGGAGGAGGCTGGTGCCATGGAAAGGTTTGCTGGACACAGTGGACAGAAGAAAATGAGAAGAAGCAGTAAGATAATTGAGAAAAAAAGCATTTCTGAAAAAACACCCACCCTTCAGATCTGTCTCCAGATGAAAGAGGCTGCTGTGTGAGAAGGGATGCAGGTGTCAAGTTGCAGCATTTCTGTTTAAACAGGAGCTAGTTCCACGAGCAAATCAAGCAAGAAAGGAAAAGAGCTCCCACCAATGTAAGCAGCAGATTGCACCAAATTGAAACAATGTGCACCAAGCTGAACACGGCCTGGTGCACACTAAAAACTTCCAGTTAGTATTTTATTGGTTTTGGATATCCTACTCTTGCAGCCACTCCGTGGGAAATGATGCCCTTCTTTAGGGTCAGTGATATTCCTGCTTTTTCTTTCCCTTTCTCTTCCTGTCTTTCAGGGTCTTTAATCTCTTTCTGTCTCATTCCCTACAGAAACTCCTGTTCCTGTGGGCTTCATTCATACCCTTATTCCCATCCCACCTGCTCAAGGAAACAGCTACAGCACTTGTACACCTTGGGATTGACACTTCCCAAGAAGCAACACTTAATGACACAGAAATGGAAAGTCTTCATTTGCCTGCACACTGCACAGAAGTGGCTGGTTTAAATACATATATAGGAGTCTGTATTTAAAACCATGAAGTCTACTAATTTCACCACTTGATTGTTAAAAGAATATTAACATTCTACCATATCTTCTAGGTGTTATGAAGACAGGCTAGATATTTAACATGTCTGCACTAGATATCACTATATTTTACCCCAATGAAACAGGCCTTTGTTTCATGAAAGTGTCTGAAGGCAAGTGCTTTTGCTTCATCTTCTTTAAAATTTGTTTGGTACATGAAGCAATTGCATTTCATACCTACAGAAGTCTGAAATGGTCTCAAGTAAGAGTGATCTAAACCAGAGCCCACTCAACAGCAACAGACAAGCTCTCCAGGAGAAGACAGATCCTAAAGAGTTCACTGAAGTGAATTCGCAGATAAACATTAATTTCACTACCCCACACATCAAAAGGCAATGCCATCCCCAGCCTGCTTTACCTGTGTTGTTTGGGAGTGAAGGGTCAGGAGCACCTTGCTGTTTACAGAACAACAGAATACAGAGCAGATTGCAAAAATGCTTCATCTCCCCTTGCCATTTTATGGACTCGTTGAGTTTACCTTGTCTCTTACAACCATCACACTTTGCCATCTAGGAAAACAAAGTGAGGGAGAAATTGAACACATTTGGAAACACCAACGAGGGGTATAGGTATAAAAACCTAGAGGATGTGAGAATATAGCTTACCTGGTAAAACAAAACAGTGAATTTAGACATGCATTCCTCTGAGCAAAATTCCTCCGTTTTCCCCCCAAAGTGATTCTGGACCAGTTTGGGGGAAGTTTGTAAACAGTAACTGCACATTTTACAGTGGTTTCCCCAGCGCTTAGACAAGTCGTGTTTATAGAGCAGTTTACAAACTAAAAGAAAACAGCAAAAACATTCTTGAATACCAATAGGACAACCCCTCAGCACTCCTAATTCCTGTTCTAAGTGATGTCTGCAATAACTCATTGAAACATACCATTAAAATGCAAAGTGTAAACAGGGTTCTGTGTTCCTAAACCTAAAAAACAGATTCCTCACTTAAAAATATTAGATTTCCTTTAGTGTTACTGATAATTTTTCAACAAAACACTTATGACTTGATTTCTTTGAGGCAGGGTTTTGCTCTTTCTTACCTTCACTACAGAATGTTTTATCTATGCCTGAGACTCTCACTGTCTCCTTGATAATTTTCTCAAACCTGCAGTATTCACACAAAGCCGTCATATTGCCCTTCTTCTTATACTCATCACAGCAGGTCTTCCCACAGAACTGGAACATTTTACCCTGCAACACAGCCAGAATGTTTTGGTTTCAGTGTTTGAATGAGTCACATCCCAGATAATACATTTAAATTGTTAATAGAAATGCAGAAGAGTATTTATTCCCTTAGAAATCAGCAACAGAGCACTGGCAGATGAGTCTCCCCATTTGGTTTTATAATAAAACAAAATTTCTTGCAGAAAGCTCTCACCAATGTGCTTTGTCCTTGGATTAAAAGGTACATCCCTGGGTCCAAGACACAGGAATGTGCATTTATAGATAGGCAATCATTTGGTTTGGGGTTTTTTCAGAGGTTTGTTTTTTTTTTTTCTGGTTTTAAGACCATAGAGATAGTATCAGTATTAATTTGATATTGGTTAAACCAAATCAGTTTCAAAACCCTCCACAGCAGATCTTTGCAAGCAACAAAGCAGTACTGACAGACCAATGCACATAAACTACAATTTTTTAGGTTTCTGTTGTGAAAAAAGAGCTTTGAAAGCCCTGATCTTTATTACCTTGTAGTCAAGCAGTTCTGGTTTGGTGGCAAATGATCTATTACAGTGTTGACACTTGATTTTCACAACAGAACGGGTAAAGGTGACCTGCTGGCACTGGGCAGCCAACCTCTGGAGCCCTGCTGCAGCTGGGGTGCTCGTGGAGCTGGGGGACACAGTTGAGCTGGTGCCAGTGGCTGAGACCACTGTCCCCGAGGAGATGCTCACAATGACCTGGCCCTGAGACAGGGGCACCACCGAGGAGTTCAGTCCTGCAGGCTTGTTGAACAGATTCTGTGGGAAAGCAAATAGACAGGCTTTACTTTACAGGGTTACATCTTGCACCTGGGTATTTCCACCATCAATTTAGCATTCTGTTAATTCAGCTAAGAAGAAATCCTAGATGTCACACCTGAAAAGCTACTACACAATTGTAGCTGCAAAAATTGCGTATGCTCCCATCTGACATAGCCAAGTGATACTGAGGGTTTGCTGAGGTTTTACAGCTGTTGCACTGAACTTGAACACCTGAGGGTGAAACAGAGAAGAAAAAGTGATTTATGCAACATCAAGTTGTATTGCAGCTAATTTTGCACCGTGCATACAACAACAGAGTCTGAATGATGAGCCAAGGCACAGACAGAAGCCCAAGACGATGTTTCCACAGATTCAGAAGCAGACACTGCAGCTGCTGTGCCTGTTGCTTGCCAGAAATTTAATTAATCTCCCAGTATCCCTAGGATGTCAGTAAGCATTTTTCTATTTCCACATGAAAAATAGCTGAAAATGTTTGCCTAGCTCCATGCAACATTGGGCAGAGGCAATAAAGCTGATCACTCCAGGGAACACGGGCCAGGAGAGTCCCAGCAGTGGCATGGCACATGTCCACACAACAGGTTTGTCTAGCTGGGAAACCCACCAGCTGCACTTGCAAGAGCAAAAAAAAAAAAAAAAAAAAAGTAGATTTAAGATTGGTTATCATGTGGAGTTCCCTAAAACCAAAACTGAAATAGCTGTACTGTCACTGCTACATTTACCTACAATAGAATGTCCTTTCATTCCCATCTCAGCACTTCCCTTTAAAAAAAACACTTCCCACCCTCCCAAAATAAGAATATCAGCCTTAACTTCCAAGACAAATAAAGTTGGGATATGAGCCACAGGAAATGAAGTTTCTATAGAAATAAAAGGATAAGCTTACCTGAAGAAGTGACCATTTTTACTCTGTATGCTGACAAACAGTTAACAGAACAAAACAGTTCCATCTTCCCCAAGTTATTTGTGCCCTCCACCATCTCAGCTGAAGATCTCAGAGATTTACACAGTGTGCAGGGTGTAATTTTAGCTGACTTCTGTGGAAACAGGGAAATTGCTTGTTCATTTGAAACTTGGCATTTTTTATTAACCTGGAAATTGCCGCAAATATATAAAATATTTCTAAAATGTGCTGGTGTGCTTGAAACAGCACTTGTTTTATAGCAGTGTTATTTATGGTGCAGATTCATTGATCTGAGCTGTGGTTTGAGCACCTTCCCAGGCCACTTTAACCAGTACCAGTCTGGGTACTGCAAACACTCCTACAGGTACTAGCACAGATCAGCACCTTGTATCAGACAACTTCCAACATCTTGCTGAGGGGATTGATATTTTGCTTATGGTTTTGAATGCATCAGCTGTACAGATAAACAATACTCCCACTGAAGAGATGAGGAAACAAGGAACAGGGAGAAGCAGGTCCCCTGATGATGTTTGATAGCAAAATGGGAAAGAGATCCATCTGCTTGTAATAATCACAGCTTTCAGTGTGTGGTCTACAAACTTCTTTTGAAGAGAGACACAGGAAAAAGCCTGATTTTCATAGACACATTTTCTGTGTTTAAGGTTTTTTTTAAAGGTCTTTAAGTTTGGAAAAAACTTTGAGAATTAGTCACCAGATTATTTTAGTATGACAGCCTTAAAAATGCACTTTGTTCTATCACTAGCTATTCCAGCTCTTCACAGGACAGAACAGAATACAAGCTTTTAGGGATTTAAAGACACCCACAAACCTCCAGAAACTATCAGAATGTACCTGACAATTGAGCTGAATACTGTTTAAAAATCAATTAAAAATAGATTTGACTTAACCTTATAAGCTTTGAACATACTGTATTTTCAAGAGAACTATCACATATGGGGTTTTGATGTGTGATATAAAAGGAGCATGAAAATGTTTCCAGCTTATTTAATTTCATCTCCAGATTTGTTTCGGAGGAAAACTAATTCTGAAGGTAATTTTCTGGATGAAATACATTTACCATAATTTTTTTTTTAATTCATTAGGCCTTTCTTGACCTAAGTGGCCTGGATAATGGGACAGCAGAGCCAAGCCATAAAATGAAGTTCCATTCTTTTATCAGAGGGCAATTTTTCCTAAAGTAATTGCATTAGAATAAATCATTCAAAAATAATTGAGCTATTATAATAAATTAAGGTTCTCTTAAATGCCCAGGTCTCCAATAATCAAAAATAAATATGAAAAGTTTAAAAGTTAAAATCATAATTATCAACTAATTATTACTTTTCCTTTCCACTTAATTCAAAGGCTACAATTTAGAAAAGAATACTCTTTATGGAGCATCTCAAGGCTGAAAACAGCCACAGGAGGCTGCTGCTGGGGAGTCCCACCGTGTCTCCTGCCACACTGGAATTCTCTCATAGCTGGTCCAGTGGTGAGGAAAAAACAGAGCAACATGTTTGGGCAAAGATTAAGCAGCAAATTATCATCCCTGGAAGTGTTCAAAATCCACTTTGACCTGTGACACTTTGTGATATGGTCTAGTGGGCTTTGGGTATTTGGTTGACGGTTGGACTTGATGATCTTGGAGGGCTTTTCCAACCTTAATGATTCTGATATTCTTGAGATGACAAAAGCAGTTACTTTAGACCAATAGAGTAACTGAAATAATCAACCAGTAAAATGGGTGCTTCTTAAAACACTTAAAATCTAATAAAAAATTAGATGGATTCTATTTTTAGTATTTTGTCCAAATACAGAATTGTGGAATCCCAGAATGTTTTGGGTTGGAAGGGACCTTAAAGCCCACCCTGTTCCACTCCCTGCCATGGGCAGGGACACCTTCTACTATCCCAGGTTGCTCCAAGCCCTGTCCAACCTGCGCTTGAGCACTTCAAGGGATGGGGCAGCCACAGCTTCTCTGGGCACCCTGTGCCAGGGCCTCCCCACCCTCACAGAGAAGAATTTCTTCCCAATGTCCATCTAAGCCTCTCCTCTGGCAACGAGAATCCATTCCCCCTTGTCCCACCACATCTACCTGCTTGTAACCTGTCACACATATGGAACTGCAGAATTTTTTGGACTGTCCCTCTATCTGCAGGATGTGACACTGGCCAGAGCCACTGTAGCAGTATCCTCCACAATATTCACAGCAGTTCATGGTCAGGTTGTTGGCCGAGCGGAACTGGGAGAAGCAGGCGTCGCTGCAGAGCTTGTGCACCACGTTCTGGTAATTCACCTCGTGCCTGATCTGCAAGGAAAGGAATATACAGCAAGGACAGGAAGAATATGTGTGTTCATGTCAGAGACAGCAAGTTGTGCTGAGCTAAAGAAATTCAAACGAGGGAATTGGCAATTACCACTGCGTTCTTCTGGCACATGCTGCACTTGCTGGAAATGCTGTTGGTGTGGATAGTGACAATGGGTTTCCTTTTCAGTTCATATGTGGACAGACAAGACTGGCTGCAGAAATCCTTACTGAAGTCTGTGTTGTCAAACTGGGCAGTGATTACGTCCTTTGGATTTAGAATTTCTCTATGGAAAAAGAAAAACAAACACAGAGGTAAAAGATTAATGTGAGTTTCATGTCAACTTGCTGTTCTTGCTTATTCTGGAGACTAAACATTCTCCAGGAGAGGGTGGATCTATTTAATTGAAACCTTGAATACATTAACTAACCCATGTTTTACTGCATTTTAGGGATTCATAAATCTATTTTTCTTTAGTAGAAGCAATGCATAAAATACTTTTTGAAAATGTACTCTTGTCAGTAATTTTGAGAGTGCAATGACATTTTGAAATGGCAGGCAGATGCTGGACATTTTCAAACACAGTTTTTCATATTTGGCTCATTTAAATCAAAAAAAGAGAAGATGCATTCTGCACTACAGAGGCTTTTAAATCTCTGTGTGTGCAAAACCCAATTAAGGAAATGGAACTGCAAGCAGACAGACCAATTAACAAAGAACAGCATCAGCCACCAATTTTTGAAGGGAAGCATAAGAGGAGCAGCACTACCAACACAGAGAGGGGCACAAGAACAGAACTGAAGCCTTTCATTATCTGCTTGAATATCAATTATTAGTAGAACAAATGAAAGCACTGTCCTACTTTGAGCAGCTGGAGCAGGTTTTCTTGGTAGAAGCTGGTGGGCGAGAAGCTGGAATGGTGTATCCAGTGAGGCACAGTGTGGAGCAGAAGAGCTGGGTTGAGCCTTTCCTCTGGTAGGCAGTTTGCCCCTTCTGCAGGATTTTTTTACAGCCAGAACAGGAAACCCGAACAGCTGTGCTTGGAACTGAGGGTAGCATTTTACTCATGCCAGAGGATGCCACAGCAGGCTGGAAACCTGATGACAGCTGTGGAACTAAAAAAAAAACCACGCAGAGAAAACACAGAGTAAGTGTTACAGATCCATTACAAAGAATTCACTGGGTGCAGGGGCAAGCACAAGGCTCATGGCTTTATTTGGGTTGTCAGGGTCTAGAGGAGAATCTAATAGCAGATGAACTCTCCACAAATACATGCCCTGTGCTGGTTTTCTGCATAGCAGATTTTTATAACTACTCTGAAGATGGAGAATGCACTTTTAACATCCCTTTCATGGAATCATAGAATGGTTTAGGTGGGAAGGGACTTTAAAGATCATCCCATTCCACTATCCCAAGTTGCTCCAAGCCCCAATGTCCAACCTGGCTTTGGACACGTCCAGGGATCCAGGGGCAGCCACAGCTGCTCTGGGCAACCTGTGCCAGGGTCTCCCCACCCTTCCAGGGGAGCAATTGTTTTCTAAGACCTAATCTAAATCTGCCCTCCTTCAGCTTAAGAGTATTTAACACATTCAGTTCTCCTATGCATTTCACATTCAATTTTCCTATGCCTCAAAACCAAATTATTTTACAATCTCAATTTCATTCTCTCAAACTAGTTCTTCATTCCTACTGGGATCAGACACAGCGAATGAAATGCAGAGTGACCTGCAAGACTATTTGCAAAGGTGACACATTTTACAGATTTAAATGAAATTAGTCTTCTCTATTCCTTACCAAGAGGATTGCCACTGACTGAAAATACAGCACTGATTTTCAGCTCCCCTTCCTGAGATTTTGGCTGTTGGCCGTACTCCTAAAACAAAGGGAAAGGAAAAGGAGAACAAATACACACATGTAATAACAGGTTACATGATTCCATTCTTTCACAATGCTGCATTGAGCCTCAGGGAAGAGTGGGTGTCCTAAGCCTGCTCCGAAGGCTGGGTGACAAGTGAGCACCACACACAGCTCCTGCTCAGAGCTCCACAGCAAACCACACCTGAGGGGGCACAAATGGACAGCTGGGGCTGCCTGGTGCATCCCCCTCTCCAGCTGCACTCCAAGACACCTCAGAATTCAGCCAAAGCTTAAAGAAATCTCTGCTTTCAATTCCAACTTTCCAGCTGGATGTGCAGCCCTTGCCCCTGTTCTGGGAAAGAAGTTTTATTTTCACATAAAGAAGGATAGCAATGAAATAGAGCTGGGACCTTGTAGAGGAGCATTCTGTATTGATCAGGAGTTGGGACCTTGGAGCAGCCTAAGGTGAAGCTTTGCAGCAGACCAAGGCTGGCACCACCAGGGCCAGACCATCACAGTCCCAGCTCCAGCACAAGGGGAATCACCTCACATTTGGTACAGGATGAGAAAATCCCTGGACAGCTGCTGGTGGAATAGCTGACATGCTATAAATGACTGGCTTAGTCCCCAGCAGCTATTCACACTGACAGCACACTTCCTGCCCCTGCTCTCCCTAGAAATCTGAGCCAAAAAGCAGCTTGGAACACTCCACATGTAAATCTTAATAGGCTGAATAGCATAATCTCTTGGAACTACAGAGATGATAAGATTTAGCCTACTTACAGTCGTTTGGGAGTAGTGAGCCATGATGTCATGTTATGACTGAGCTAAATTCACAGTTGCTGCCTGGCTGCCAGGGAAACCAATTCAGAATCACTAAGCAAAAGGAAGCTCTCCCTTCCCAGTGGCAGTGAGATGCTCCCCCAGCTTCTGCCTGCTCCCAAAATCCCACAACAACCTCCACTGAGCACGTGCTCAAACTGAGCACTCCTCTCACTCCAGTGGGAAAACTGGAAGTTTCTATACTAGACAACCAAACTATTTCTCAACATGTTTCCCAGAAGACAGGCAGTGGTATTCCTTGACCACGTGAACAATCAGACTGAAACAATCAAATCTCAGGATGAGAAGGTCAAAGCTGGGTATGGGCATGCTGTGATGAGATTCTTAAGGACCATTTTTATTATTATTATTTAAAAGTTAATCATTTGCAGACATACAATTTTTAAAGCACTTTAACTGTAATTGTATCATTAGTCAAGAGTAGGAAAAGAAATGGAGGCAAATCCTGACATCAACTGTGCATGATCAAGCAGTTTCACAGCAGCTTAACAGTGCTGAAAGCCAAAAACCTTCAGCTCCAACTATTGGTTACAGCAAGAAATGCTCTTATCTTTCAGGAAATATTAAAAAAAATTCCATAAAATCCCCCCCCATAGTAATTCCAATCTAAAGCAAAACAAAATTAACTCAGTTCTCCTACTTTTCCAGTATCAGGCAGAGTTGATAATCACAGGATTTTACTCCAGGAAGGAATTTTTTGAACCATACGATATTTGACATTTAAATTCTTCAAGTCTTCATTTTTACTTATTAATATGATCTTTGATAACCACAGACATCTCGCCTTGCATTCCACACAAATCCACACAGCAGATGCCATCTTGGGAGGACAAAAGAAGAGACAGATTTAACTAATCTACACGTGGTTTGACATTCTACAGGTTCAAGGAAAAATAAACCCAAACAATCCCACAAAGAGACTGAACAAATCAGAAGGACAGTAAAATCTGAAGTTGCAAATATTTTACTTATTAAATTGAGAGTATTATGGGAAAAGAAGAAAAAGTGCTGGGAAGACAGGCCCGGAAAGCAGAGGAGGTTCAGCAGAAGGACAAAGACTGATGCTAAAAACTAACACCTGCACAGGAACACCAACACTCCCGTGTTGGTACAAAGGGATGCATCATTTTGGGAAGTTTTGCACACCTTTAGCATATAAAATCTGATATGTAACCTAGATATGAGCAGTGAGGAGACAGGAATTGCAGCACAGCTCGGTCCCTGGCGTCACACAGCAAACCAGTGGCACAGAGATTGGCTGGAGCTCAGCAACCCTGGCCCCAGCACTGCTCAATCCATAGGTCACACCTTCTCCAGGTTGCAATTACTGAGCTTTACCTGTATCATCATAAAAAGTGTCAGTCCTGAATGAGAAAGTCACTTAAACACATACTTAAATTGACTTCACTGATGTGTAAGTACTGAAATATTTTGCTAAGTCCTTTAAGTGCTAATTTAAAACAAGAACAAACTACTGTGCTTGCAAAGGCAGCTTTTAAGAAGGAAGTAGCAGCAATAGCTGCTTTAATTCATATCTCTAATTGTGACCACTCATAAGTTATTTTAAAAAATGTGATTTACAGTTTATTTCCTAGTTAGAGAAAGTGTCTATGTTGCCACAGATTTAGTTACAGAAGTTTTAGAGCACCTGGCTTTGTTTCTAACTGAAAAGCAAAACATTTTCAGAGACAAGGTAACAAGACATCAAAAAGTTGAGGGGGGGTGGTTTCATAGTAGTGTAAGAGGGAAAAATCTTTCTACTAAACTATGTTCTTCAAGTTAAATTTCGGTCAAGAAACCAAATAAATGGCTGAATTTTTGTTCAGCTTAAGCGGTCAGCTGTCAGACCAAAATGAGAAATGCAATGGGAAACTTACCTCAGAATTACCAGGTTCATCTTTAATTTTGTCTAATAGTCCCTGCTGTGGGGCCATAGCTTTAGCATATTCGTCATCCAAAGGCTCCTTCTTAATTCTAATATTTGGTGCAAAGGAATTCCCCAGCTCTTGTCCAATAGATTCCTTACTAGAAAATAGGTAGCTAGACTCCTGAAACAATAATATGAAAAAGAATTCACCCTCCTGCATCTGCCATGAGGAGTTGGGCTGCTGCCAAGGGGAGTTTGTGTTGCAGACCAAGAGATTTGGGTCCTGCCAAGGTGGGAGAAATGCTGGGCAGCAGCTGCTGCCTCAACCTCCCTGCAGCCCCCTCTCTCATCCCACCCCCAATGCTTTCCACTCCTCTGGCCAAAGCAGAAGACACCCAGCTCTGTAAGTTGGTTGTTTGGGAGTGTCTCCTGTGGATACAGCTGTTCCCTGGCTCATGTGGAAAAAAAAAAGCAGCAGGTCAGGTGGATGCATCCAGCTGTAGGTTCGGCTCACCGGTCACTCCAACCATGCTGAACAGGAAAGTGGCTACCAAAAGAATCCTCAATCCAAAGAGAGGCTCAGGAAAATTTTACAAAATCACATGTACTGTTTAAGTAGCAAAGATGTCTAAGAGTCAGAAGATCAGTTTCCTTAACACTCAAATTTACACTCAAATACAAAATACGTATTTTGAATTATTCCAGCATATTGCTGCACTTGCAAAAGTGGTTGAAAGATCTATAGCTTACCCTGAAGTTAGTTTCTGGAGTTTGTGGCGCTAACTGCGTCCGTAATGTTTCTTCTACTTGATTATGAACTGAGGAAAACATATACATTAAATAGAAATGAATACAGGTTCCAATGCATTTCCTTTAAAACTATCAGAGTCTCATCCTGCTCCCCAACCCCAGTGTCTGACAGCACCTCACCACTATTAAACTACTCCCTTTCTCCTCCCTGTAGGTAAGGTGGTAATCCCTAAAGAGAATTGACTCTTTTTAAATTATTCTACTGGATCATTATTTTCCCATTCCAGCAAAATAGTTGCAAACTTCCGATGCAAATTCTTCGTTCAGAATTTTCCACACCTCTGCAGGTTCTGAACTCCCCTGTTTTGACATTTAAATCAGAAAATACTTTTCAGAGCAACATCTTCCAGCTTTTTCTTTGCTGTTCTTTCCCCTCTTCTCAGGAAATAGCATCTTCTGCTTTTTTAGAATATACAATTTAAAAACTTTGGATTTGCCTAGATACTGGATGTTACCATGAGCATTTATCATTCTGGTTTCAACTACTGACTACTTTACCTGATCTTCTAACTGTAGGTGTTTACAACTTTTTGAAATACATCTTAGGTACAGAAACATTCTTCCCTTGACTTCTAACTGAAGGTAAAAGTAGAGATACATCTGTAACTTTTCTTTATTTTCAAAGATATCTTTATTGCTTCTCTATCATTGGTGCCACCTGGAAGCACTGATTTTAAGATGCTGTTGCTGAACATAGAAAGTTTAAACCTCAGAACTGTAAGCTGTGAATGTGAACAAGCAGCCAGGAGTTCCTCACGTGCTGGCTCACCCTCCCTCTGCTGAATAAGATTAAACCATGTGTTCCTGCTTGGTTATTCTTAACTCCTTCAATCACTGTTCTGCTGTAACTTTCAGAGCTTGGAAAGACAAAAATAAGTGTGTGGGCAGCAAGATTATGGAGACTGTCAAAAGAGAAAGGGATTTTAGGCATCTTTGGTTCTTTCCATGTTGGCTGGATGAAGTCCAAGACACAAGTATTTGAGGAAGAAGGGGAGCAGTCTCCCAGGAAAAGCAGATTTCAAGCTATGTTCTGGCTTAGTTCCTGCAGACACTAACTCCTTTCTAGCAAGACTTTCCCTGATACTATCAAATCCACACTGATTTGAAAGCCTAGGCATTAGTGAAGAATTGGTGCTTTGCTGGAAAAATCTTTACTGGCCATCAACTTAACCTAAACTTCATCACCTTTTCTTTTAGGAAGCTCCATGGTCTATAAAAAACAGTGAGAAAAACCAAAAGGAAGCTTGACTTGTCACCCAGCTTGGTTTAGGAAACCACAACAACAAAGGACATGTTGAGGCTCTGTAACAAGCTGTGGAGGATGAGACCTCCCTGACACTGCCAAGCCCTTTGCAAATCCTCCTCCTAACACAGAGTTCATTGGATTTCAGGGTTCTTCATAAAATGTTCCCCTACACACAGCTCTGCCTGTTCTCTTCAACAAGGTGATGTTTTTAATAATTAGCCCTATTGCTGATTTCTCTCTAGTTCTTTCTTCCTCTTTGCTGGGCAGCCAGGTCTATGATGTCAACAGTTACCTGCTTTGTCAAGAAAACTGCTTTTCAATCTAGAATCCATATCTTTAGGGATTTTTTCCAACCGTTTTTCACGTTCTTGAAAATGTCCTTCTCTATTCTTGTCCTTTGCTGAAAAAGTCTCTTTGCCATTATCTCGTGTTCTGCTAAAATCTTTTCGAAGTGATTTAAATACGGGGCCCTGCTCAAAGGGGGAAGTGAGATCCTTCTGGATCGCATTCTGAACCTGAATTTCTTTTTCACTGTCCAGTTCATGATCTGGAACTCTCTTGCCCTCTTCCAGACGATCTTCATCATGAATTGCTGAAGAAAGAGTGTCTTTTGGAGCGAAATTCTGATCATCTTCGTTGTCACTCCCAACAACAGGTATGCCTGCAAGATCCCCAGAGTTCAGAAAATAATCATGATCATCACCCTGCAGTGAATTCTCAGGTCCTGCTCGATTCGGTACTCCGTAAGACAAGCTGTCCAGGGCGGGTGTTAAGTTGTGGTCAGCGTCCTCAGACATCTCTGCATCCAGAATTTCACCACCTAGGGAGAAAAAAATCCCAGTGAACTGTCAGAAAATTGACCAATTTCATGTGTAACAAAGGAGAAGTGCGTCCTCAGACATCTCTGCATCCAGAATTTCACCACCTAGGGAGAAAAAATCCCAGTGAGCTGTCAGAAAATGGACAAATTTCATGTGTAACAAAGGAGAAGTGTGAGTGTCCTAATCTGGGGCTGATGCTGCAAATCCTTGAATATTCTCAGCCTTCTCAGGCCATCGTTACTGTGAGAACATTGCTGACAAAGAAACTGTTCAGTCCCCCTCACCACTCTGAAGCAGAAGCTGAACTGAGTAAAACTAACCAAAGAAAGAAAAAAACATTAATTTCCATTCACCTCACTTGTAGCACTTGTGGAGAAGGCAATGCAGGAGGGAATGAGCAGGAAGGGCTGGGATGAGGGCAAGGCAGTCTTGTTCAGCAGCAATGACACTTCCAAGAAAGGCTTTGTGAAACTATGACATTAGAGAATAAATAGAAATACTTACATTTTTCTGTAATATCAAATACCGCATCAGATTTATCTTCAAACTGTAAAAAAGGAAAGCACTGTGTCATTGTCTTGGTCAGCTGCCATGTACTTTGCTAAAAAGTATCTGATCAAAACCAAGCAGAAGGATCACAATTCCTCCTCCTCCTTCCTTGCTTGCCCCAAGCAAATTTTTATGAATTAAGACTGTTCCATCACTGAGAAGCCACAGTGATGAGCCTAATGAGTTCAGAATACATAGAAAAGGCACACAAGGAAAATTTAGAAATAGTGTTGCTTCCCAGAGGAGAGAGGAAAGGGAACATCAATTTTCTCTACTACGTGGGATACCAGTACCAGGTCAAGGCCACAGATTCTGCCCTGATACTCCATGAGCCTTCATTCCCTCTGAACATCCTAAATAAAAACCAGGAGCATGGGCAGCTCCCACTGCCAGGGGCTGCTGCATGGGCTCAAGGTTTCACGTGTCTTACAGGGAATTTTCCCCTTTCCAGGAACAGGAAAATGCAATGCTTAACTTTCCAACACAGCAAGTGTCAGTGTGAGCGTAAGCACAGAAGACCCAGATGCTGACTGAGTGCAGACAAACATCTGTCTGCATTAAACATCCTCTGACAGATGTTGAAGTTGTTGGCATGCGTGGATGGTGCCTGGAGAAGGATAATTAAAGTTTCCTTCAGAATGTCCAACTCATTAGCAGCCTTCTTTTCTGCCCAAGAGATAACAGTAATTCATTTAAGCCCTTTCTCCTTTCTCTGTGTTGCCAGCTCTACACTTCTTTCCTGGTAGATCCTGCTCACACTGCAATTCTTAAGCCATCTTAGGGAAAGTAATGGGATTTGATAGCAAAGGGATGAGCCCTAATTTCATTTAACTCAAGTCATTTAGTTGATAAATCCGGTACTTCTCAGGACTGTGATGGGAGCTATCAGTTTGGTAGCAGGCAGCTCTAGGAAAGGATGACAACAGACTGTCCCAGAGGTCATTTGATGGCAAAATGTCCCTTTCCAATACTACTTGCAGGTCTGCAAAGACAAGGTAGCTCCTTCAGCTTAACTGGACACACATGGAATAGTGAGGACATGTCCAGCATGGCATCAAGTCAGTTGGATACTGCACCAGAACTTTCTAGTTTCTCTGAGTAGACACTTGAGGCTGGAAAAGTAAAACAGAACCAAAACAAAACAAAAAAAGGTTACAGTTCCACAAGGCTGATGCAAGTCTTCTCCATGTAATTATCTACAGGGAAAGAGTAAGGAAACAGCTCCCAGGAAGGTCTGCAAGGCCTGAGCTCTGCTCCTGCTCTAATGATCTCAGGAGTGTCTGAAAGAGGGAAGTTTAATGTTGATCTAGAAGCCCATTAACAGTCAACTAAGTTTACACAGGTGTAAAACTAATCCCCATAAATACTGGATATACTAAGTGCTCATACAAGCTGCTGAGGACAGGGACAGCAGGGGTGGGCTGCTTTAAAGAAGGACATGGAAAGGAACTTGTTGCCATTTGATAATAATATCAGAGCATGAAGTTTTAGGAGGCAAAACCAATATCTAGGTCCTTGACTCTACACTGACCTTTTTTTGATCCTTTTTTGCTTCCTGTCAGGAATTCTCTATCCTCTCCAAAAATGTCACAACAGAATTTGATGGTAGGATGAAGGGAATTGTGAGATGAGCTCATCCTTTTCTCAGGATAGCTTTGTATCAAAGTAGTTCTTTAAATCTTTTGAGACACATAGAACCTGGGGGAAAATGTTCCAGGTCCTACACAACCCTGGCTGCCTTACACACCCAAACCCTAGGTACTCCTTCTCCTTTTCTGGTGGTAACAAATCTTTTGCCAGCAGCTGACAACCCCAGGAACGCTTGTATTACCAAGGGATACATGTTGCAGTGTGGATCTCTCCAACTGTTTCATTCAAAGATACACTCAGAGGCAAGTCAGCACAAGGGGAGCGTGAGGGATTCCCATAAACATTATGGAGAAGCTGGAAAACATTTACAGTCTACCTGGAAAGAACCCAAGACACTTCCCAAACACAAGGTCATCCTAGGGAAAAAAAAAGAAGCCTGTTTTGTTTCTTCACTCATTATTTTGTGAGTGAAGAAGAGATCATCTTGGATATCTTCTTCTTTCCAAATGTTTTTGAGTACAGAGGAAGATCTGTGTCTGTGGTCAAAAGCTTTCCCTGAAAATATTTATAAACCAGGAACTCCAACATCTGACAATACCAGCAGCCTTATCTAAGCCACCATCTAGTTTCTGACTGTGAACAGCATCAGAACTCCCACATAGTGTAAATTTAAAGGGAGAAAACCAGGGGAAGTGTTGGGATGATTGTGTGTGTACACATATGTATCTACACACACATAAATATATATATATATCCCAAACAAATTACTCATTCTATAAGTCTATAACTGGACTGTCCCTGAAATTAGAGTTTATACATATTTTCTCTGCATTAATGTGGGGTATTCTCTCACTTATACACTTCTAGTCCCTTCCCCAATATCACTGCAGTCTTGTTTAATGCCATCTCAGGAGGAAATCTTGTGTATCACCAGTTACAAAAAAGTATCACTGTAATAAATCATGTACATTAGCTTTTAACTGGATTACAGCCTTGTATCACACAGAAATGTGAACAACAACACCCCATTTACTATTTCTACATTATTCTATTACAGTTCTGCAAGGCAATTCCCTCTCTCCAGTCCTCATGCTTCCTTCTTTCATCACTGTTAATTCCTTTTATTTCTTCTGCTCAGATTTTTTAAAATTTAGTGAGAAGTGGAGCAAAAGTACTTGAGGGGCAAACATGGAACTGATGGCATTTCCTCTGGGTCACTTTTGCCAGATCTAAGGGGAAAGGTACCTCAACACTCCACATTAAGTCTTTGATAAAAGACTTTCCTACAAAAGGAAAGTCTCAGGAACAGAGTTTTCTGTTCAAATACTGAGGCTTCAACTCTTCAACTCAGCCCTCAAAACACACTGGCAGCTGTAAAACAAAACTCAATAATACAATATTCTAAACCACCTTCATTAAATCACCTTGGCAAATATTTGCCAGAGAATAATAATTCTTAGTGGTTTTAATCATTTAACTCCATAAGAGTTTAATACAGAACTGAGTTTGGTATTAGTGAAATTCAATGTTTTAGGCTATACCTTTTTAGTGACTGCCTCATTCGCTAGGACTGCACACAAAGTGGTGTTCTGCCTACTCAGGCTGTAAAAAACAAATAAATGAATCAATGAAATGAAACAAGAATACAGATGTGGTGACAAAACAATAAGGTATTTCTGAAAGCAATGTGACTTGCTTAAAAGTAACTACTCTGTAAAAAAAGACAGCATTGCTTTATAAACAAAATAAAATTCCACCAGATATGTCACTGTTTTTTCATAGATGTACATGAGACTCTGAGGGAGCAGTGTCACAGCCTCAGCACTAACCTGCCTTTGCTGGGAGCAGGGGACAGAAGGACACAGATTTACACTTCAATGCAACATGCTAATTTGAAATAACTAAAAAGCTGATCCATACCCTCATGGTGTTCAACATAGCCATGTCATCAATAAATCAAATAATTCATAGATTATTTTTGTGCAATATAAAGAGACAAGCTGCCTATGGCTACAGTATTGCTCTGTATGCAAAACAGAGAATTCTATTAAGAAATTAACAAAACAGTGTATCTACTTTACACACACAGAATGTCTTTCTAGTAAGCTTCTGAAGTTTCATCCTACCCATAAGCAAACCGTGGAAAGGAAGCAGATGTTAAGAGAACTGCAATTAAAAACAGTCAGAAATGATTCCCAGTTTGCCTGTAGTTTCCTTGTCCCTCTATGCACAGCATAACCCCCACTCCAGAATTCATTCAACTGACATGACATCGTTTGAAACAAAAAATAAAAAAATTAAAAAGGAATTGAAATTTCAATCGCTACTCTTGAGGCAGGCGGGGTGAGCTCAGGAAGCATCCCCTGACCTTTTCCACATGGCAGGGCCCTGGCAGGGACGGCAGGCAGGGATGGCAGGCAGGGACGGCAGGCAGGGATGGCAGGAAGGGATGGCAGGCAGGGATGGCAG